GCAACTTGTCCTGTAGGCTTTGTGATCATACTATGAGCCGGTACTATCTCGGATAATACCAAATATTACTTATGAGCTTGTCGCTACATTAAATCGCATGCCTAGTTGTAAATTCGAACAAGGGTTAACATAAATGTATGGCACACTGCCAGCAATGTTTCCAAGTCTCAACATTTAAGTACTAAGTGGTAAAGTAACTCGGATATCTTCTAGTAGTCAACATAATATGTTTACTTGTAACAATGGTTATGTCGAAAGAGTATCCAATAAAAGACTCACGAAGGCGACGAATGCTGATGCCGAGGTACACACTAGGAAGAGGGCACCAATCCAAGCCGCCTTGGCCAGTGCAGCCTGGGCTGTGGTTTCTATGATAGTAATGTATGCAGCAGCGTTTCCCCTACTGATTATACCGGAATTGCAGAAGCATGTATCATAGAAGCCGGAATACAGAAGAATACACGTCAATACCACCCAGAGGGAGTTTGCAATGGCCAACAGTTTTCCCATCTTTCGCAGCAAGTGTGAAAACGTCAGAGCAACACGTGCAGACACTGATGCTCGATAAGAATAAGCTGCGGAATAGTGGGCGAGAATACTGGATATCAGGAGCATCATCCAAATGACAGTCGATAGGACTCCGTAAAGAAGGTAACCCAGAGATCGACACCCAACACCCTGCCAGAAGTTAGCCGACGTATCATATATACCAGAAGAAACGCACAATTGTTGGAGTAAACCACACGACTACAAAGGCTCCTCCGACTGTTCCCCACTGTAACGCAAGCGAAGCACATGACGCGATAATCATTCGTGTGAACACGCCAGGCGCCCAATGGCTGTGCCGAGCACAGCCAGATTGCGCACAGTATGCAGCAATTTCCTGAGCAGTCCCACATCGATTGCGGGGGTGGATAGATTTAAAATCGTCGGATTCGACCCACTCACTCTCGACGTTAACGGGAACATGGTTTCGAGCCTTCTCCGATGCCGCTTTGTACATCAGGAAAATATTCTCTGCTGTGCATGCCCATTGCAGCGAACGTGAGTAATTAAACACCGGAGGGGTGAGGAGTTCGTCTGGAGACATAACATCCTCCTCCTGAGCAGTTATTGTCAAAGCTCTTTGGGCGGATGCAGGTGGAGTTGCAATAGGTCTATCTGCTATTCCTGCGCGTGCATGTCGGTCGGCACGATCATAAGCTGCTTGTAAGCGACTGAAATCGCATTTCGGGGAGAGTTGCAGCCATCCCATGACTATTGGAATCAACCACAGCCACATTGAACTAGTGGATTCGCCGCCGGCTTGAGCATTCACAAAAGAATCTGACGGTGAGTTGACGACAGATAGGATATAGGCGACGACGACCCAGGCGATGGAGGTCGCGGACGCAATTGACCACGTGTGAGTATAGTCCACCAATTCAGAGAAGTATTGCCACCAGGAGTCGTTTTCCGGAAGGACAACGAGGAATGCAAAGCGTGCACGATCAGAATGCAGATTTAGCGGAGATTGTTGAAGGCTACTGATAATAGAGACTGCGAATTGTGAATTGGGATAGTCCACTGATTGACTGAATCGGCGGTTGATCCAACGAGAATTGAGGAGCGTGATGAATAGAGAGTAACCAGCTAGTGCCGGTGACCCCACGGTTAAGATAGCAGACATGAGATTATCAAGTCTGTACTGTGCTCCAAAGGGGAGCTGCGATATCAGAGCAAGGTATGGCAGTAGCCACGAACTGAAATCTTGCGCAAACACAGCCACATCAAAATCCTGTCCCTTCCTGCAGAAGGAGGTACACAGCGAGTAGCTTATCGCTGTCGCATCAGCAACATTCGACACAGGATCTCCGTTGCTATTGAGGAGACCAACTAAATTCTGGGTGGCATTTGCATTCGCCTGGATGTCGGTCAAACACTGCATCCAATCGATTCCAGCGACTTTTTCGACAGAATGTACCAATAGTAGGAGAGATACTAGTAGGCAGAGGGAAGGGTGAGAAACCAGAAAGCCGTCGGCAACTCATTGCACTTACATGCCTGGGACCTTATGTGCAAACGCATTCTTTATCAGCTACGCAAGGTAGATGTGATACGTACGAATATCTTTGGCGCACTAGAAACCAGCACCACGGCCTTTAATAGTGCCAGTATTATATAGAAAACCTCTCACCAAATTGCTGTAAAAAGAAACGGATACCGTGACTGTGAAGGCATCTGGGGGTATTATATATGTCTACAAAGTGTCGACCCGAGCTAAGGCCTGGCTCATCATGGCTACCTGAGATGAACGCCTGCCACTGGCAGTGTGCCTGCCAAAGAATATGACGTGAATCGAGCCTGAATGCGTTAGCGGATGACCCTGGCTTGGCCCTAGCACGATTTCCTCGTCAACAAGTGGTCGGAGTTTCCGCATTCATCGTAATGTGAATGTCTTCTTCGAGCTTCTTCGATACACTCCCAGAAAAGTGCAACGAACCGCTGCATCGTGAAACGAATACGGAGATATGGGATGACAAAACATTAAATGACTGAGCGCCGCACTGCCACTGATCATGAGAGCGCTAGGTCGTCCCCTAGCGCTTAGCTGCAGTACTTGGTACTGCCAGAGTCCACCACCTAGTCAGTACATGATATGTCGTGTTAATTCTGATCAAAATGCGGGAGAAGGAACGGGGCCAGTGCTTTCAGGTCCGGCCAACCATCAAGGCACTCAATTTGGCAACGGGCGGATCAAAAGTTCTCATAGTCCTGACAAGTTCCTAGTGTATGGAAAGCCGGACAGTCGCGCTCTGTTACCACCCGTGACATGGGCCAAAAATGGTAGTCACAAGTTGAGGACTCCGTACACCTCTAAAGAGATTAATGCGATCGACGACTTGTAGGTTCCATAGTAAGTATAGCGGCTGTCCGGCTTTTTGTCCTGCAGTTACAGCGTCATATCGTGACGGCGCCGGCGCCAGCCCCCGACTCAGCTTATTCCTGGCATGTTTTGTGTCCATCGAATTAAACGCAAATTAGTCTTTTTATTTTATTTTTGGTAAATGACTGCTAATCCCATGCGATTCTACTGTCAATGCATGATGTTCTTCGGTTTTTCAAGGCCTATCTTGAATAGTCATATACATAGCTAACCGTTTGGCACCAGAACAGATTAGAAATGTGCTCTCTTGTGGTGCGGGTTCGGAACCTGTCGATACGGACAATTCTTCGGAGGTTGGTCCAAGGTGGTTAACACAACAGAATCAAAATTTGTTTCTCTTGTACTGCGCAGGTTCGAAACTTGCCTAACAACAGGGTTTTTTTTCTATCGGAACACGCCTTGAAGATTCACTCATGGACAGTTCCTTGGAGGTTCATCTCAACTTCGTCCTCACCAAAGTGGTTACCACAACGGAATCAAAATCCGTTTCTCTTGGACTACGCAAGTTCGAAACCTGCCTAACGATAGGGTTTGTTTTCTATTGGAACACGCCTTGAAGATTCACTCACGGACAGTTCCTCGGAGGTTCATCTCAACTTCGTCCTCGCCAAAGCGGTTACCACAACGGAATCTAAATCCGTTTCTCTTGGACTACGCAGGTTCGAAACCTGCCGAACAACAGGGTTTTTTTTTCTATTGGAATACGCCCGATTCCTCGGAGCAACTTCGCCCTGACTGAAGTGGTTACTGCAACATAATCAGAATCTGTCTCTTGGACTGTACCAGTGCAGGTTCAAAACCTGCCAATGAGTTTTTTTCCCATCCGAACGCGCCTTGAAGATTCACTGATGAACAGTTCCTCAGAGGCTCATCTCAACATCGCCCTCGCCAAAGTGGTCACCTCAACGGAATCGAAATCTGTCTCTTGGACTGACACTACCACTGCAGGTTCAAAACCTGCAGACGAGGTTTTTTTCTCTCAGAACACGCCTTGAAGATTCAATGATGGACATTTCCTCGGACGTTCATTTCAACTTCGCCTGGCCAAAGTGGTTACTACAACATAATCGAAATATGTTTGTGTCGGACTTGCGCAAGCTCGAAACCTTCCGACAACAATTTTTTTTTCTATTAAAACACACTTTAACATTCACTCATGGACGGATTCCTCGGAGGATCCTAACCGATCTTAAGCAAGTGGTTACCACAACAGACTCAAAATCTGTTTCTCTTGCAGCCGGCTCGAAACCTGCTGACAACATTTTTGCAGTGTATAGATCCTCAAGAGTTCCGTCTTAACTAGGCCCAGTCATTGCGCCGAAGCCTCCTTTTTATGTGATAGTCTGTCCATGAAATAGAATTCACCTTCACCCCTCGTGCGGATCGTCTCAGAGACATAATAATGTATATCCCTGAGATGTGTACGTGCCAACCTAGATTCTCGACGGACTAACCAAAACTGTCGGGATTCACCATCAAATGAAACATTGATGGAGCTGGAGGCCAGAAGAATGCATGCAAGCTAAGGACAGTGAGTCTGACGGTCAGGCAGATGATGTAACCTCCCCAGCCTCGCTGAACTCTCACCGATGAACACTCCTTCGATCGTTGGCTCTTCCAAAGCGACCGAGGATGATTCGGAAGCTAAAGGTGGGAGAATTGAAAGTGGCAGACCGAGCCATATCAGAATGATATGTGTACTAATTTGCATGCGCTCTTGTTTTGTGTTGATGCGGGGCGGGACATACTTTCGATTACCACAGCAAGACCCGGGCAGCTGGACGGAGATATCAATAGAGAGGTCAACGCGAAACTCGTTCATGCGAAGCAGGCTTAGATACGACGGACACAGCATCGCCTGCAAGTTGCTGATCCATTGTGACCAACAAGACAGGAGGGACCAAAGCCAATGGCGAAGACAGAGCAGAAGACGAGGACGCGGCCATGTGATGAGGTGAACAACGACGGAAGGCAAGAAAGCCCCTCGAGAAAACAAGCATTATGCTCAAAACGGAACCAAATTTGCTGACTCGGATGACTCGGAGGTGCACGAAGTCCTCTTACCTATTACGGACGCGTGACACTGACTAAGGGAGCGCGGCTGTCTGGCTTTCCATACTAGTGTGACTTGTAAGTATACGGAAAAGGAATCTGGCAGTGCAAGGACTCATTGGTGTGCGGAAACACGTATACATAAAGGATGGTAATGATATAGATGCGGCTCGATCAACTCATCAAGGGTCATCACAGAATCAAAATATTACATCAACCCGTCATCTATTACTCGGTCAAGATGCGGTCGATGACTCGCGAGGATTCTCTTCTCGGTCATCGTGCTGTATGGTATATGACTCTTCGGAAGAGGATTGTTGAAGCATGACAGGGCCTCTCGTAGGGTTGTCTTGCTGATGTTGCGTGGCATAAGGTGCGCAATTTAGTTGCCTGTACTGGATAGGAATTGAGGGAACAGGAGGGGAACCCATCGCAGAGAAATAAGGTGACGATGACGGTGCATGACATGAGGTGGTCCTCTGTCGAGGTTTAGAGGGTGAAGCGCCGTGCCGGTATGTAGCAGAAATTGCAGGCGAACTTGGTCCTTATCACACAATAAGCTCGAAAGTTCACGGAGAACAGGAACGCTGGTGACTTACGGATATGATCAGAACTCACCGACCTGTGAAGTGGGGGTGCCCACATATCGACCATGGTTGTGCGCATTGACGTCTCAGCATCCACGCCTAAGCTACCCGCTTCTGGGCCAGAAAGATATGGTTGCAGAGAAGGAGCGAGAGGGGCAGGTAGTACGAGTCTGACCTGACTTAGGGGTCCATGCGGAGCACCTATGATAGTGCTCCTTCCAGAACTCCTGCTTCGGATGGAGGTGCTGGACACTGCTGACGCAGGACCAGTACGACGGGAATACGAACGGGTAAGCGTAGCCTGTGATGGTGAACGTGATGGAACAGAAATTGAGGGGGGAGTGGAGGAAGCAGAACCCGAAGAGCTGCTACTAAAACGCCTGGCACGACTAAATGCGGGATTTGGTGTTGGAAGAACTTTTTCGTCATTTGCTAGAGACGGGGGCACGCCTTGGTCATCGCCTTTATCTGCAAGATACAGACTTGATTGCGAAGGAGAATTCTGGTTGTACTTCACACTGAGGAAGGAAGAATCGCTCGCGGCGGGCGATAATCCAATTGACGGAGAAAGGCGTGAGGACAGGGAGTATATTGACGACATGGTGGGCTGTTCAGCGAATTCTGTCAGCCGCTGCTTGCGATAATGAGCGATAGGCTGCACGGGTGGTAGGGGAGTGGAATGTCGAGCCAATCGATGGCGTAGGAATCGAAAAAGACCGAACAAGATCGACATGCCCCCAACAACACAAAGAACCACGATGATAACGGTAGTTGTGTGGTTGACATCGGTGCCGCTAAATATTTGTGTGGCGAAGGAGCTAGGTGCTGAATTGTAGTCAGATATCTGTTCCATATTGAAAGGCAGTAAAGAGCGTCGGTTTATAAACGAATGACAGTGGATGGGTAGTAACTGTCGAATATGTATGTTAGCTTCACGGAACCGCAGAGGTTTAATCTAATATAACGCACGGATTGATGCTTGGTCAGACGGACAGCAACGAGTGGACTGAACCGTCTACCTGTAACTTAATGTTGGTGATAGTAAAAGAGATACAAGCTTGTGAACGTGCATCCGGCCAAGTGACATATACGGTAAAGGATAAACGATTTTCATTGGCTGACTAGAACGCTAACTTCGACGACAGTTACGTAATTATGATAGATCCGGATGTTCAGTCGGTTGCGCGCACGTGTAACTTATGGCGGGTAACCTCCGCCCTCGCTCAACGCATTCTAACAGTATCACATCCAACACCACAAAGCAGCAGCAGCCAGCAACACTTGCAAAGCGCCTGCTCTTTCCGCATTTGCCACCAGGCTCAGACTTGCCGCCGTTGTTTGCTTCACCAACATGCTCACCCGAACTTAACGCGGAGGCCTATGATCTTCTTGCGCTTGCTTTGCGCGCCTTCGTCAATACGTGGTGGACCAAGATTACTCGCTATGACAAGGAATTACTTCCTGAAATTACAGTTGTCCTCACGACCGTCCTTCGGACATTCGAAACACGTCTGCTAACCACCGACTTTTCATTATTCATATTTTCGGTCGCCCCCGCTCTAATAACGCAACACTATCGCGACTACCGTCATGCCGCGTCCAAGGTGTCTACCTCGTATGCAATGGGTGGTGCTGTACCACTTCCGCACTTCTTTCACCAGCTACAGCCTCACGTGGCAATTTCTCCCGAGGGTAAAATTGACGAAGAATACTTTCGCCAGGTATTCGACCATGTACTTAAATCATGTCTGCCTCCTCAGGATTATGCTCCAGAGGCTGAGCGATACATCATACGTGAAATCATCCTCAAGGTACTAGTGAAGGATGTTATTCCGCGAGTCATCCAGCCATGGTTTATTCAGAAAACAATCTTGGACTTGCTCGGTCCATCACTTGATGCAGAGTCTGACAAGGTTTGCCACCTCATATGTTGATGTATCAAACTCTGAACGAATGGCATTGTAGCCTCCAAACGTACCGCCACCGTCACATACTCATCACGCTCATTTTTCTTTCATTCCCTCCTCGTGTTCTTTCTCTCTGCTATGCAGTCCATTTCTGGGATGGGCCTAGCTCTTGTTCAAACATATAAGCAGACGCTCAGTACCATCAAACTTGTTAATCATTCCGCGCGTCCAACAATTAACCAACGGCGAGCAAGTGAACCATGGAGGAAAGCTCGTCCAGCTCCTATATCGCCCACGAGGAGTGCAAGATCAATCTCACCACCTTCGTCATCATATGCTTCAGCCGCGTCGTCTACTCTGTCCTTGCATGTAGATATTCCTCTACCCAACCCTCAGCGTCCATCCAGTCATTATGCTCGAGAGCCTCTCACAATGATATCCGAGCTGTTTACGATGTACGAACGCTTTGCTACAAGCGCAGTAATGCATACGGTGTGTATGATTTGTGCGGCCACGACTCCGTTCATGGATCGGTAAGGCAGTTACTGTCTTTAATCATGCACTTTCTAATTCTTGTTCCTCAAGACTCTTGACCCACTTACTGTATACTCGGATTCTGTGCACGTCCTCTATATTATTTGTACTACGACTGTCCAAGCATACTTTATTTCCAAATGGATACCCAGGCCCACCTCCAATCGATCCCACTCCAGAAGAACAAATTATTATTCACCAGCAGTTACTTCGGCGACTGCGTGAACAGGTGCCAGCGTTTCTGGCTCCCGTCCTTCTTGGATCCTCACCAGAACGCACTGTTGAGGAAATAATCAGTCCCCTCGGCGACGCTGCGTGTAATGCACACCTTGCAGTCTTTATCATGGATGCGTTATTATTGTCCATTTTCCCAGAGATGGGAGTCGAAGGGAGTGCTGGGAATGCCGACGTGGATGTAGCAGAAAGGTTAGATGACGACGGAAAGGACTGGACGCCAGGGATAAGTCGAACTACGTCGAGGATGACTCCATAGCGATGTCACGATTATTCTGTGCGATTTTCCTGAGTTTCCGATTCGGAACTGTGATCAAAGACTCATGCGTATTTGTCTGTGTTTATATTGACGTCACACGGTACGGTATATATCGTCCAGCAAGAAATCAAAACGCGTATTCCCAGCGTTTGCCCCCCTAATCATGTCCTCTATCCACCAACCTCCTAGCCCTCCCATTCTCTATTCGTTTGGGTCCCCGAATGAGTTGAGCGAGAAGCTCGCTGCCTTCATCGTTAAAGCACAGAAAGAAGCTGTCGATAAGAAGGGCAGGTTTACGGTTGCTCTCTCAGGCGGCTCTCTGCCAAAACAGCTGAATAAGCTCGTTGATAACCCATCTGTGAAATGGGACAAATGGTAAGGATCGATTCAAAGATCACAATAAACATCCATCTCACGAATACAACAGGCAGGTCTTTTTCGCCGATGAGCGTTGCGTTCCGCTGGATCACGAAGACTCCAACTATAATCTTTGCCGGAAAGAGTTATTCAGCAAAGTTCCCATACCACCAAAAAACATTCACCACATCGATATCTCCCTCTTGGACGACCTCGAAGAGCTCGCAGACGCGTACGAGAAAGCGCTTATCAGCGAGTTTGCCCAAAAAGACTCTGCTCGTTTTCCCGTCTTCGACCTCATCCTCCTCGGCATCGGTCCAGACGGACATACCTGCTCCCTCTTCCCGGAACATCCTTTGTTGACGGAAGAGGACAGGTGGGTTGCGTATATCGAGGACTCACCGAAACCTCCACCAAAACGCATCACTTTGACATTCCCAGTTCTCAACCATGCTCTACGCATCGTATTCGTCGCAGCGGGCGAGGGAAAAGCTGATATTCTCAGCACTATAATTGATAACCCAGAAGTAGGCTTGCCTGCTTCTCGCGTCAGGCCATCGCACCCAGGCCAGGTGTACTGGTATGTCGACAATGCTGCCTCAGCCAAGGTCGAGTACGCGAAGTCGGAGTTCAAGCTATGAGTTACTGGAAGGAAGGAAATACGGAAGGAATGTGTCTTGTACTTGTACCAACCTTCAATGCCGCATCTTCACTTATGTTTTATCTCACATATGCCTGTCACGATCCGCCGTAGCCTGCGTCGTGAATAGATGAGATCAACAGCGTTCGTGGTGTACGCGATAGAGCACAATGTAAAATATTACTCGGCGTAATTGCAAGGGGTAACAAACGGCAAAAATGCCGTAGAGAGCATGACCAACAGAAGAAAATCCCAGTCCATAGATTATCCATTAACAGTTGCACCCATAGTTTTGTGTGCTCTCCCGGTCAATCTGGATTGGGTCCGGGTAATCAACATACCTACCACTCGTCATGAGCAAGATGGCCAGACATAATCGGATAAACGTACAGTTGTTCTTCTGCTTCTTGTTGCAGCGCGTTCTTCGAGACGGTCTGGAACGCCTGCTCCACATTGATAGCCTCCTTGGCAGAAGTCTCAAAGTAAGGGATATTGCCCTTTGATTGACACCACGTCATAGCCCGCTTCTGTGTTACCTACAAAGCACGTGAGGAAACATATGTTATGACGCTGCCTTCGACGGACCTGCCGTTTGTTCTCCTCCACATCGATCTTATTCCCCAACACGACAAAGGGAAAGTTCTCCGGGTCGTGTGGGCTCGCCTGGATAAGGAACTCATCACGCCAGCTGTCGAGCGTCTCGAACGACTTGGCACTGTTTACGTCATACACAAGCACACAGCAGTCTGCACCGCGGTAGTAAGCCACACCTAGAGATTGGAAGCGCTCCTGTCCGGCGGTATCCCAGAGCTGAGCATCCTCATCAGTGGGAATGACGCACTTACCCTACTATGATACGTACCTGCATTGTGACAAGACGGTCATCCACCATAACTTCCTTTGTAAGGCTGAGAACGGGTAAGAGCCGTGAGCGGAGCCACCAGCGTGAAAGGGCACTTACAAGTCGGCTCCAATGGTGGCCTTGTACTGGTTGCTGAACCGCTTGTTCACATATTGGTTCATGAGTGATGTCTTGCCGACACTACACAAACGAGAGCAGAATGATAAGTATCAAATTCATAGGTCAAGGCTAAATACTTTGCAACACGCACCCACTGTCGCCTAAGATAATAACCTGACCGGACGAGTCAGTAATAAGATAGATATGCAAAAGCATAGCAAACGGACCTTGAGTAATACACGACCCATTTGTGAAGATTAACAAGAAAGTTATGTGCGAGGAATGGGTCGTAGGGGCAGTAGGTCGTCGTGCTGCACAGGCTCGAAATGAACGGATGGTCGGTGGGGTGCCGGCGCCGGATGGGCCAGCGCCACCGCATACGGAAGGTTTCATCTCCGCTTCAACTGCGTCTTGTCTCAAAGCAGCCAATCGGCATGACTCTGCATGCTTCATCGAGTCACTTGTAGTACCCTAGAACTTGCTTCTTTCCCCAGATATCAACGTTCGCGACGTTTATTGGGCCATATTCACTACAGAAACATGACCACCCGTATTGCGCCCGCTGTCAGGAAAGTGATCCAACTGACCGACGCTGAGGATCATCTGTGCACTTTACTCGACGAATTCACACGTCATCTTCAGGAGAACAAAAATATCACAACAGCGTGCAGGATCAACGGGGGATGGGTCAGGGATAAGGTCAATCCGGACCTCTGTCATAGTTCGGGCAAGCTCTTATACTATTTCATTTATGTGTTACAGTTACTGGGCATGGACAGCAATGATATTGACATCTGTCTCGCCGATATGATGGGCGTGACCTTCGCTGAAGGTTTTGTAGCATTTCTGTCTGAACAGAAACATCTTCATGTGCACAGAATCGCGAAAATTGAGAGCAATCCTAATCAATCCAAACACTTGGAAACTGCACGGACTACTCTCCTTGGCATGGACCTCGATTTCGTGAACCTAAGAAGCGAGGAGTATGCAGAAGACAGTCGCATACCGACCGAAGTTGTGTGTTCAAGGTCTCTTTGAAGAACACGCAGAACTTGACCAGATCACATACAGAAATTTGGTACACCACTAGAGGATGCTCTACGGAGGGACCTCACTATTAACACGCTGTTCTACAACGTTCATACTCGTTCAGTTGAAGATTTCACTGAAAAGGTGGACTCATGCCACTGATATCACCGACATTGATAATACTGACATGACATGGATAGGGTCTCGAAGATCTACAAAACGGTATTATTCGGACACCATTGCCGCCACGTGAAACCTTCCTGGACGATCCCCTGCGTGTGATACGATGCATTCGCTTCGCAAGCCGTTTCGGTTTTGAAATAGAGTCTGATTTGCAGCAAGCTGCCCAGCTTGAGATAATTCAAGATAGCCTCGCACAAAAAATTAGCCGAGAACGAGTCGGGGAGGAACTTGATAAAATGATGAAAGGTCTGTGTTGACTATCCCGCGAAAAAGAGATCTCTGACAGGTTTCTCATAACGTGCAGGGCAGGATCCTCTCCGCTCGATACGCATTATTAATGATCTCAAACTCTACAAATGTATATACCCCATCCCACCACAAATTACCAGTATCGCCTCGTCTGCTCCGAAACCACAGGAACTTTCTTTACGTGCTGCTACCATTCTGCATGGCCTCCTTTCATCCACCAGCGAGGATTCGATGTCTTTGCATCCCACTCTCCGGTCCTACGTTCTGCAAGAGCCCGGGTGCAAGGCACGCCTGTTCCTTGCAGCCAGTCTCTATTCGTATCATGGAATCACGTACCTGGACCCAAAAGGCAAGGAACAAACTCTCGTCAAGTGCGCAATCCAGGATGGGCTAAAGCTAGGTAGACAAAATCATTATCTGGATGGCATACCTCCCCTATATTCCGCTTCCGAATTCTTGAATGGTGTTTCGTTAGAACAGGACAGGCTAAAAATGCCTTCAGAAAGGGTTGCTATAGGTATGGTTGATAATCGTGCAGCTCTGTTCAATTGATGATGGGTCGTCTAGCACTTTTACTACGGCAAGAAAGTGTTCATAATATAAACACAGGTTCTCATTGGGCTAGCTCCCTCGTGTTCGCTCTCGTGTGCGAGCTAGTCTCAGCGTCTGGCCATGAAGAAGCAGCAGAGTGCGTTCACCGTTACAACGCATTGACGCGCCGGGTCGAAGAGCTTGGGTTGGACAAAGCAGCGGATGCTAAGCTGATACTAAATGTGAGAATTTTTGATTTCACTACGCCTGGCTTGGGGTTGAGCTGTCACAGGGCAAAACAATCGCCCGCGCCATGGATGAAAGGCCTGGTCCATGGATGAAAGCAATGCTTAACATGGTGCTTGAATGGCAGCTCGAACATCCCGACGGTACTCAAGATGACTGCCTTGCCTGGTTGAATGAAGAGAAGAGCGCAGGACGCATCGACCTGGAGGAGCTAAAGGCTGCAACTATGGGCAATAAGAGAGTGAATCCAGACGAAGCGGCGTCTTTGAAGAAAGTCAAACGATGAGTGATTCAAATATGTACTAATCAAATGGTATATATACAAATTTTGGACATCTGATGGCATGTATGTGCTAGCTGTAACAACGGGGTTTTCTAAGAATACAGCGGAATTTACATGGTATGTGACAAGAGTTGCGTTGGAAATCCGTGCTTGCTGGGTATGCAGAAGTGCGAGATGGGGGTAAAGTGGAAAAGAGATCGTCGATGCCGCGAGCGTGAGTGGTATATTCCTTGAATGACGTAAAAGTGTATGAGTATAGAGCGAGTGTGTATCTGAGACTTTTAGTTGAAGTGGATCCAGTCTTCGAGGTTGAGGTCGGGTTGCACGTCTTTAGTAATGGGATCAATTCCCTCGGGCGTGAACCTGACTATGTCATCGTCCTTAAAAGAGTTGTATGGGGACGGAAACGAAGACGGCACGGAGTCCATCGACGGTACGAAGAACTCATCGAGTTCGTTGTCCGGTGAACAAGACGTGAAGAAAGTAGTCCAAGGGTTGGTGAAGACAATCGGAGACCGGGGAGGTGTCAAAAGAGGAGACGCATAGTCACTCGACAGGGGAGAGTCGTTATTTTCGATAAGGGGTGGAGTCGGGGGGCAACTGCAGGCTGGGGTCGAGGAAGTAGGAGTCATTGAAAGGCATGACATCGAGCTCAGCACCGAAGTAGGAAAGCCCTGCAGCTGGCTTGATGCCTGAGTAGAAGATGTCAGATGTCTCCTGTTCTGCAATCTTCCCGTCCAATGATAAGTGTCATTAAATCTATGGTGTATGGGGATTGGCATACCTTCATATCACATATAGCATCGAGATTTAGAGGTGGAATTTCATTAGTAGGAACGAACTCATCCAACATATCGGCTGGATACAGCAGTTCAGAGGTACTGTTGATTTGCTCCAGAATAGGTGTGGCCTCCCGGGAAGCAGAGGCAAGTGGGAACAAACAAGCCCTTGGGGCGTCAAGATCAAGGCCTGCGGCGCGACGTTGCGCAGTGGTTTGGCGGGTGACTCGAGGACGAGCAGCGACCTTCTTTTTGCGATGTTCACGCGATTGGACAGGAGGTAGAGCCCTGGGGGCGACTATGGGAGCTTGTGGAGGGATGATGGGTGTCGGTATGATCTCGTCTTCATCTTCAGATTTGACGTGTGCCATCGCGTGCGCCAATGCAGAGCCCTCAACTCCTTTCTGCAGGAGGGTAGCGATCATGTCACACTTGGTCCTCTCCTCATCGCTGTTGCGTCTCCCCTTCCGTTTTGGTCCCGCGACAGTGCGATGAGAGGGAGAGTATTTGTAGTTGGGATACATATTCGCATGCAGTGCTTTAGCTTCTTTCGCCATCTGCACGAAAGGTTCCTTCTCGTCGTCAGACAAGTTACGCCATCTCTCGCCAGCTATGCGCGAAACGTTGCGATGGTCAGATTCTAGGCTTCTGAAATCCTCATTACTCCAAAGGCAAGAACGAAAGACGATGAAGGCGTTGGGAGGGCGGGGTATGTGACCTTCCTCTTTTTTACGGGAGTGCGATGAACGATTAGGGAACGACAACAAGTGGGATAGGACAGGGGATAGTGACGAAGAAATGTGGGAGGCAGAGATTATAGTTCCAACAGGCGATGGGGGTGTGGTATGAATCGAAGGAATGCCAACGGTCCTAACGCTTGAATAGCCCGACTGAGGGAAGTAGGAATCTTCATAGACATAATCTTCAGCTGCGGAAACTATTAGCGATCGCGTGGACCCACAAGGTCAAACAAGGAAATGATCGTCGTACCTGCAATCGGTGACTGATGTGACAACCGGCGGGATCGACGAACGATGTTGCGTACGTTGGGCATGATAGCAAGGCTTTTTGAGGATATGTGTAGTATCAGAGATAAAGCTGAGGGAGAGGTGCAGAGGCGTAGAGGCGTAGAGGAGGATCACAGTCGATTAAGGAGTTCTTCTCGCCCACATAATGGAGCGCTTAAGAATGTCAAGGCCAAAAAGCCTTGTATGGGGGAGACCTAGTACAACCACTTTGCCCCGTCACCTCGAGGCTGCCTTGAGGTCACAAGGCCCTTAAGCCCTTCCATATCCGTCGAGTCGTCTAGATTTCCGCTTTGCGACCGTTGTTCTGTGAAAGGGGCAGATTCAAGATACGAATAAGCTTCAAGAATCAATCATAGGATTCAAAACGGGGGTGATATCGAAGGCTACGACCTGCCAGTGAAACGTGCCGCAAAACGTGCGGCATTAGAATCCCTGGCCCAAAGTCAGCCGAGAACAGCGACCTTGAACTCACTTTGTAGCCTGATTTGTGTAGCTCCTGGCGGACTCACCTACACAAAGATTCCCAGGGATTGCCTCGTGGAGAGACTTCATCCCAGCGGCGCGGCGTTTTATCTTGACACAATGCGCTTCGAAAGCAAACCTTCAGGGCTCCGAAATCCACGATAGATCACATCTCGTCACATCTTCACATCATCGCCTCCCTTCACCTTTCACATTATCACATTAAATGGTTTGCTCATCGTCAGCCTCCTTCAGCTCACCATCGATATCGTTATGTACACGTTCCGATCGAACGAGTCGTTATCTTGACCAGGGACAGTTCCTTGCAAGGAAAGACATGCCATTTTTCAAAGAATTTCAGAATACCAGTGCTGCTAATGCCGTCATGACATGTTCATCAATACTCGAAGCCTTCTGACACTGACAGTAAAAACGACGTGCTTTTAAATTTTCGAAAGAAAAATCATTTATCTGATCTATCCTCTTCCCCGACGTCGCTGTTTTTATCGGTCTCACGGAGCTCTTTCTCCTTCCGCCTCTTCGAGCCTGCAATCATGTCCCTTTACATCGACATAAGCTGGAAGTAGTGCCCGAAGCTTTGAATGAACCAACCTTTTCTTAATCGCATCATTGCGACCGATTTTGCGGGCCGCATTCACGGTATCTGCTCGCTTCACCTTGCCCATCTGTTTTCGCTTCATTTTTGACGGTTTCGGAAGTTTGAGAATCCATTCTGGGACCGAAGAGCCGGACTGTAACAGCACGTTGGCAATACTAGGTAAGGGGTCATCAGTTAGATGTCGGTCAAGATGGCCGAGTGTCACGTACGCTTTTAAAAAGGGTCCATCTTCATCTGTGAAATAAGTCACGGCTTTCCCCTCCCGCCCGGCGCGACCCGTACGGCCTGCGAAGATTAAGTTCCAAGACAAGCTGATTACAAAACGGGAGTGTACCTATTCGATGGACATAACTCTGGACACTGGTCGGGAAATCGTAATTGATCACCTCCCGGATGCCTTTGAAGTCCATGCCACGAGCCATGACCTCCGTGGTCACCATGACCCAGCTTTCGCCACGGCGCATCCTGCTCACCGCATCATCACGCTCTTTTTTTGTCATTCCGGCATGAAGACAATCCACATTTGAAATGCCGTTCATTATCAACTCCTGTGCAAGCGACGTTGTTCTTGGTTGAGTAGATGTGAAGATAAGGAGAGGTGGATTGTATGGTTGAGAAAGATATGATAGTAGACTTGGGAGTTTGGAGGCATCATCGGCCACATATGTAAGAGTTTGTGCGATCAAAGGGAGTGGTGTGTCTCTAGAGAAGAAAATTAGCGGCCGTACACAAACATTCGGTGATCGATCAGTACTTAAGACCAACAATAATTCGTATAGGGTTCCTGAGGATACCCATCGCAAGTTTCTCTGCGCCAGCAGGTAAAGTAGCTGAGAAAACCGCTTTTTGTATGTTCGGATGAGTGCATGCCGCGATAACTTCTTGAACTTGAGACAAGAATTCAGGGTCAAGCATTCGGTCGGCTTCATCTAATACAAGATGTTGCACGCTAGTGATATGAGTTAGCCATGTGCACAGTGGGACAAGCGGCTCGTGGCTTACTTATTCAACTCCAGGTTTCCTTCCTGTATGGAAGCCACTAGCCGAAGGGGTGTGCTGATGATGATATCTATAAAGTATCAGTCTGGATAGAAAGTGCGCCGCGTATGAATTTAGCGCACCTACTTTGTCCCTGACGTTCTTGTCGCTCAGGGTGTTAGCCGTAGCCTTGCTAAACAGGACCGCGCGCCATTTACGCCCAGCGGCAAGTTTCAGGCACTCATTGTGTATCTGGTGTGCTAATTCCCGAGTCGGTGCAAGAATTACAGCTCGAACTCCACGACCTCCATCGTCCTTCATGCTAGATATCGGGGAACCCAGGGCAGACATGATGGGCGTCAGATATGCTAGAGTTTTACCCGTACCAGTCGGCGAGACAGCAGCAAGGTCACGGTGCTGTAGTAAGAATCGTCAGCTTCCTCCAAACCATAAGAAAGAACGTCTGGTGGGCTCACCTCGAGCAGAATCGGAATCCCGTGAGCCTGGATTCCAGTAGGATGTTTGTAACTGTTTTCAGAAAGGTTTGATAATAGACGTGGAGGGACGTGATATCGTTCGCGCAGGTCCTCAAAGGACGCAATTGGTTTAGGCACATCTGATCCTTTGGCAGTCACGCGGTGTTTCTGTGTGGTCGGTGCTTCTTCCTCTGTACCAATGTGATTATCGTCTGAGTCCATTGATTCGTCCTCTATCTTTCGACGCTTGCGTTCCACCTTTTCTGGCTTGCCTTCGGCATGAACATCGCTCTCTTTGTCCCCAGCTTTCCGCTTCCCAGCAGAAGCTTTGGCATATTTAAAAAAGTCTAGCTCAGGAGGTAACTGCGCATCGTGCGATATCAGGACCCCCTTTCCTTTGATGTCTTTTGCTGGTGCCTTCTGAAAAGACGTGAGCCATTAAAACAGCTTATGGATACATTTTCTTACGTTGAATATTTGGACGTCAGACTTGAATCTTTGTTTGTCAAATCGTGCACCTCCCCGAGAAAGAAGCTGAAATGCTTCCATAATATCTGTCGAGCACAGGTGGCGAACGGTCAATGGGGACCTGCTGAATTTGTGGAATGAGTAGGACTGGGTGCCGAGATGGTGCTTAGTGGTCACGTGGACCACAGTCGACTGCACTTTCAATCTGAAACTGACATAAATTCCAGAAGTAATCCACACGTTGGACCGTGAAATAACGGCGTTGCAAAGAATTAATGCTACATAGATCTCGTAGCTGCGTGCGCGACGGCACCAAGTACTATGATAAGTAGTTTTTGGTTGAGAAAATTTGCAGGTCCTAGTAAGTTTGTCCTAAGTATGTAGGGTATTTACCATTTTGCCAGGTTAGCTATTCAAGTTCGAGTAAGTAAGTCAAAATCTACATCAGTGTACAGAGAGGGCGAAAGTGAGATGAATCCAAGGCTACATGTCTAGGATATGTCATCTAACGTCTTAATGGCAGATGTCCAAGCGTCAATCCGACAACTTGTAGATATGAGGTATCATGTGCTTGACGATGCGCAGCGAAATTGGATATAGATTACGAGGGGACCAAGGAGGACCAGCCGCGTTTCAGTTGCTGTTGGGAACGAAGACATCGATGTGCAGCCATGGAAGAAGTTTTCTTAACTTACCTCGAAAAAGACGAACATCAGGACGGTGTTAGGGCCAAGACGCATCCAAGCGGGCGTCCAGCCTTTGAACATGAACGCGGGACCTTCCTCGCGCAAGGAACGGACTAGGACATCTATTGGACTAGCATTTCCAGACTGGAAGTGACTGTCAAACTCCATCACGAGTATTCGGTATTTGAAGGAATACGTACAGAGCCCATGATCCTTGTCCTTATGACATCAGCAGGAGAGCATACGGCTTTAATAATAAAACAATCAGTGACATTCTGGTAACTTCATAGAGGCAACTAACTCGTGCCACATGTTCCGGCTGCAAGACTTGCAACTACGTGCAAGAAGAAACCGTCATGGAATTGATAGTTGACCACGGGTATAGGGTATTGCAAGAGAGTGGTTTTGAAGAAGTCATAGCTGTCGAGACCTGATAAGCTGAAACGGCAAAGAGATAATAACGCCATACTCACGATCCAACCTGTGATGTCTGTATAGATGTCGCGTGAGCATTACACCGACGGAAGATAGCAAATTAATTTACATTCATCAAGACTGCTCGGGTCTTTGCGGTGCTCATGATCAGTGAGAACTAGGTATGATGTCAAATGTACAAACTGTATTTGTCCCGAGGCCACGAAAAAGACCTTTCTGGCCATCTTCTTTCACTAAGGAGACGAGTCCAGTAATAGCATTGCGGTAATTATAGCGCTTCTCTGGGGGACGAATGGAGTCACTGGTCATCCGAACCAGTAGAATATCTGGAAAGCAATTTATTTATTACACATAGCAATAATATCACAGCATGTCATGAACGGACCTGCTGGATTTCCTGCGATTCCTCCCAAACCGCCAGCCACGCCAGCCGCCAGGAGAAGCTTCGCAGCGGATGGAGAACGACCATCCTCAGACATGAGGCGTTTCATCTCCTCATAGCTGCCTAGACGTACGAGCGAGTAGGTCATCTGGCGCATGAGCGAGGCAGAGAGACCGGTATAAACACTACTAAGTCCATAGTTGGATATCGAGTGGCGCAGAATTTTGAGCATAGATGGACTTGGTACAGTAGGACCAAGACTCTGCATGCGCCTGTTGAGTTAGTGTGAGTATGGCATCACGAGGGCTCAGTGAACTGGGCTTACACTTTGGCCAGGTCAAGGGGATGCGTAAAACATGCGGCCACTGCAAGGTGTCAGGTGCGTTTCAATCATTGGGGATGCACACAGTTGCTCACTGGATGCCGCGACGCCTGGTCATGATGATAAGTAGTGCCTAATAACACGATCAATAGGTTATCTTACCTCCGAGCCTTTGAAATCAAGGCAAAAGCCAGTGCTTTAGCATAACTTTGGTGGGTTTTGTTGAACTGGTATGAAACTCACCAAAACGGATAGTTGGGCATCTTATTTCGTTTCTTCATATCCATAACACCCGCCTCCACTTATAAACGCGTACCCGCCTGTGTCAATGCTGTGCCGATTAAAACCGAGACACATATGTTGTCGTCTGCTGAAAATTTAGACGTCGATCATAGGGCACGAAGTGACCAATATGGCAATCAAATACACGAACAAATAAAGAAAAATCAGAAGTTTGAGTCGGAGACGGGAGGCCGCTCGATTGGAAGGCGTACGTCGACGACAACACTAAGAGACGGAATGATAACGTGGAAGAGCGTAGAGTAAGATACAACTATATATATGATTCTGTGGGTTGCGTCATAGCCTGAGGCTGCGTCAAATCTGTTAAACGCATTGGATTTGGCTTGCACTAGCCAGACCAATATCATATTAAAGTGGAACACTAGGGGCAAGGGGCACGCTCTAGGATTGAGGGTATCGACGGGATCTCCCGTCAGGCAGCCTGTGGCACAGAATCTGCCCAGTAGACACCTACAACGCTCATTTAATACCGTATTAGAGAAATACCCCACTGCCGCAGGCTTGCGTGTTATCATTGCGATGATGGCAGGGCCACTGCCAACCCTAGTACTTGTGTAGAAATGATAAAACTATTGTTCACTACCAGCACTAGTTGCTCGCCGATTGGGGGCATAGCTAATATTGAACTCGCAGACAACTCACAGCATTAATGGGACGCGTGCGAGGGTCCGTGCGCACGTGATTCCAAATTAGTAAGCTCGCCACGTTTAGAACAGCGCATTTTTGTGTGTCGTTCTTTAACCTCAACCTTCTCCTCCTCTTGCTTACTTTTTTACCTTTTCTCTCGACGACCTCTGACAACATATTCTCTTTCTGCTTGCTGTCTGCACAACAATGAGCTCCCACGACAACGAAGAACTTATCGACTACGAGGATGAGCACGACGTTATCCCCAACGGCACAGCTCCTGCAATTCCTGCCAATGGGGGAACGGCGTCAGCAGTGGATGGTGAGGTCGACAAGGACAAGAAGAACTTCTCAGGAATACATTCGACGGGCTTCAGGTTCGTTTTGCGTCCATGTTATTACAAACCATGGTCATCTAACAATTTGTTTCCTTTTTTTTCACAGGGACTTCTTGTTGAAACCTGAACTTCTGAGATCAATCAGTGACTTGGGTTTTGAACACCCCTCGGAAGGTATGCTTCAGTGATCATTAGCATGCTATTCTCAACTTACCGAACGTCGTTCAACAGTTCAACAAGAATGCATTCCTCAGGCTGTTCTGGGAATGGATGTCCTCTGCCAAGCAAAGTCTGGGCATGGTAAGACGGCAGTCTTCGTGCTTGCGACTTTGCAGCAACTGGAGCCAGTCAATGGGGAAGTTTCCGTCATTGTCCTCTGCCACACCCGCGAGCTCGCTTTCCAGATAAAGAATGAGTACGCACGTTTTGCCAAGTATATGCCCGACGTGCGGGTTGGCACGTTCTACGGCGGCACCCCCGTTCAAAAGGATGCGGAGACTCTTCGTGACAAAGCGCGCTGTCCCCACATCGTCGTGGCCACTCCCGGACGACTCAATGCCCTAACAAGAGACAAAGTTTTGGACGCAAAGAACGTCAAGCACTTCATTTTGGATGAGTGCGATAAAATGCTAGAACAGCTTGGTTAGTCTCATCCTGCGATTCGATTTCGGCTACGATTCTGCGGTATCTTGGTACCGGTTGCCGCCGCCGCAAGAGGCACTTGTCTCGTCAACGTCCCCTCCCTCCGCCGAGGGCGCAGGTGCCTTGTGCGCCCTGAAACGCGCTGTAGATGCAGGGTATTGGGAACTTTGTTGGGTTGATGAGAATAAATATATAAGATATCATCGTATCTCTCCCTCCCATCCCCCACACTTGTCATATCGTCTTCTGACGATTTTTGAGTCCCTTCCCTCTCGAAATGTCGACAATAGTCTAACCGCATCTCCTCGTTGTTCTTTTGTTTGATTCGCAGACATGCGCCGAGACGTCCAAGAAATCTTCCGTGCAACACCTCACCACAAGCAAGTGATGATGTTTAGTGCCACACTAGCAAAAGAAATTAGAGCCACGTGCAAGAAATTCATGGCAAATGTATGTGATGCACTCTTTTGTATGGACTTCCTGCTGATACTTGCCGCAGCCTTTGGAGATCTTTGTTGATGACGAGGCGAAGTTGACGCTACACGGTTTACAACAACACTACGTGAAGCTCGATGAGAACGCGAAGAACAGGAAGTTGAACGAGCTACTAGACACCCTAGAGTTCAACCAGGTACCACATTGTCTCCCTTGAAGGACGTGTTTATTTATGATTCTCAGGTAGTTATCTTCGTCAAATCGGTTGCAAGAGCTGTCGAGCTGGACAAGCTCTTAGTCTCTTGTAATTTCCCTAGTATCAGCATCCATTCAGGCTTGGCTCAAGAGGAGCGGTGAGTCACCATTAGCGGCTCTCGAATACCTTTGCTAAGTGCTTGCTATATGCTATAGCATAAATCGTTACACCGCATTTAAAGCCTTCGAAAAGCGCATCCTTGTCGCAACCGATATCTTCGGTCGCGGCATTGATGTTGAACGGGTCAACATCGTGATCAACTATGACTGTCCACCAGATGCAGATAGTTACCTTCACCGCGTTGGTCGTGCAGGTCGTTTCGGAACGAAGGGTCTAGCGATTACGTTCCAATCCAGTGAGGCAGACCAACAAGTCATGTCTGCCATCCAACAACGGTTTGAGGTCGCTGTACCTGAGCTTCCCGACCACATTGATCCTGCTACTTACAGTAAGTGTCCAGCTGTTGTGTTTCCTTGACCTTGAACTTATGTTCTCGTTTCTCCTTCAGTGACGTCTTAATTTCATCTACGTTTATCTCTTCTCGATGTTGTTTTCTCGTAGTCTCAAACACTCCTCGATTGCCTGAGCGTATGTAATGTTATTTTAGTGGATCGTCGAATCCATCATTGTGCTTTCTGTCTCTTGATGAAATCAAGTTCGGTGTAAGTTATCAGTGTGTTGTTCAGGTTGCAAGTACTGCAGATCGATTCTATGTTTTCAGCGAAACTTGAGTAAAACGTCGACACTTCACGAGCAGGAATGAGAAGGTTACTGTTGTGTGCATGCCCATATCCCTAATTCTTCTGCCCGACTTGTTGATGACCCGTCAGTCATGTCAATTGATGCAATAATTTTGAATTGTGAGTCGTGACACGTATATTCATCAATTCCTGTGGCCAACGTAGCGTGGATGGGTTCATGCTGGAGTCGCTGGACCGATAATTTATGTAACCGTTCTTGCCAGCAGCATGGATCAGATATCTATGACGTGTTTCAAGTCAGATCAAACCCATTCAGATATCCATACCTCAGCTGCGCAAGGGCGGTTGGGTCCACCGATGTTCGTCCGAAATCATCAATATCATCACCATTGGTGCAACCAGGCTCAATTTCAAAATTCCAGTGGACTCGAAGCAACAACATGAGGAGTACCCTAAGACTGTTTCGTTTTTGAGCCATGCTTCCTACAACGTTGATGATGTTCGCACAACAGACTTTCGTGTAGTGACTTCGGCATACGGGCGAAGTGCCATAAGAACCGAGACAGCAGCTCATTTCGCGGAGCAAGAGAAAGAGTATCGTGTAATCCAAAACAATAAAAGATGACAATTGGGCTTATGAACGCACAGAAGGGTAGGGTGAAACAGTAACTGAAGGGATACATGCAATCACAATCGCTCAGTGCCTTTTGAGGCGAGGACGCTTCTCGCGGAGAGGCTCTCCTGTATGCGCAGAAGCTATGCTCTTTCTTCTTGTGCTCTCGGATTTAACCTGTAAAATGCAATTGAGTGCCGAAAATTCCAGAGTTGAAATTCTTACTTTACGCTTGCGCGGCGAAGCTGCGGGACTGTTGTCATTGTCTGAAGAAAGAGGAGTCAATTCACTCTCGTCCTCAGTGGTGGTCTGGGAAGTTTAGGGGAGTGAAGATACAAAATTCAAAACTGAATCCAAAATGTACCTCAGTCTTCCCTGCTCTTTGCTTGTGCGGAAGGCATTGGACCTCAGCTACAAAAGCAGAGGTACGGCCACCAACAGTGATCCACTTGACAGTCGCAGGCTCCCCCGAAGGCTCAAAACGCCTAAATTTAGTGTGTGCGAGCAGAGTCGAGGAAACAAACATACCAGCATCATAGATTGCTTCACTTTCTTACCTTTCCCCTTACGAAGGTCATGGCGATTAGTAGATCATTTGACGGAGGTGAAACTTACCCAGCGATATTTGAAGATCCAATGGCTGGGGTATTTGTCGTCGTCTGCATTGGCTTCCACAGCTATTCGACAAACATCAGCCACTTCACGGTGCAAAGCTTCGACCTGAGTTTGTTGCAAAGTATTGCACCGTTGTTCGGGGTGAACCTTTGCTTGATATAATATTTCATCTGATGATAGATCCCATTGGATAAAACATTAATAGTCCAGTAAGATCACTCACCAGCAAGGTAGTTTCCGACGCCTGCACTGAAGGATTGGTCTAATAGTAGAGCCTTAATTGGGCACGATCTTTTCAGGACGAGGGCCTGGAATTCCCACAGTGGAGGCATGGATAAAATTGGATCGAAGCCAAGTTCAGATATAGGGGGTTCTTCTCTGGGGTGGATAGTAAGACGAATGCGTCCCAGACGACGCGCATCGGAAAAAGCCACTTCAGTTATGGTGCCCGACGTCTTACCCTCGATATGTAAGATGAACTGTCAGTGTTAAAGTTTGCAGTTAGGTGGCAAGCACAGGAACGACCCGTGAATGAAAAACCTTCATGAATTTAGGCGGCCATATGTCAGGGCTCTCACGGATTTTCGACCTGTACTGAAGGGTAGGCTGGCCTCTCACCTTGAAAAAAAATGGCAAGCCCTGATCGAAGCATGTACGGCAGACTTACATGTAGCATCCCAGTCATCCCAAAGTGAAGCAGGGGCATCTTTCCTGCACCTTCGAGCTCGATGTAGAAATATTTTCCTAGGACGAAGTTCCCATGAGTCCGACGGCAGCTATTATAAGAGAATACCGCAACTCTGAGCGTACCATATCGGAACGTGTCCTTCACAACGCGCCCAGTGATTTCCCTACCCTATGCAGAAGAAATAGACTCAGTCATCCCATCGGAACTAACATGCGAAAGACACACAAAGTCCTCGTGGGACAATAATCCTTGGAAAACGAGATTATCCTCGGATGTTCCGACCCAAATAATTCTATTTCCTTTGGCAATTGACCTGAGGAGGGTTGTTGCACGCTCTACTTCTATGATGCGGCAACAGGTGAGTAGACCAGGTCGGAATAACTTGAGTTATTAATGTTTACCAATGAGCTTGGCAAGGACTTACCAGGGAGTTCAGGCATATGGACAGTGACAGCTCACAAGATAGTAATCGACGGGGAATGTGAGTCACTGGGTAAGTCCTTTTGCAGATTTTCCCATTGGTTAGAAATGCCTTGATTCGGCAATTGAAAGGCGGACAAAATTTGCTTCCGTCTATTACTTTAGTTCCGAGTCCTCAATCAGTCACTATAGTACTGGTAGTACGGATCAGCCGCAGGAGCGCGCCGGGACCCACGCACGACGTCCTATAACCACTGCGGGTGCACTTTGCTTATGGGATGCACATGTTCGAATCTCCACGCTTAGAATAACCAAATAACCAATTAATTTCCTGATGACGGTAAATGCCACGAACAGGTGAACCTAGTAGTGGGGGGCGGAGCGCTCCAGATATTGGATTACTATCCGTAGCCAAAAGATTATTACGGACTTTGAAAAAAAATTGCAAAAGATAAGCCGTACAGAAAACACACAGAACAAAATGACGTGGATTTTGTCGGTAAGGATCTATTACAGTATATAAGGATGGCTTTCTTTATGACGCAGAAGACGCGAGCCACACTGGCTGCTTGTTCGACTCAATCATATCGAGACCCGGAACCCTGCCAGTGGACGATCATCTAAAGAGATTGGAGTTGGCACGCGGCGACCCTGGCCAGTACGTCGACAGTCTGCCGCACAGTCTGCGCTGATATGATTCTGTAGATGTTAGAAGAAATTTTCACCAGGTAGCTCAGGAGAGGTTTGGACCATATGGGCATATCGTGAGTGGTAGATTAGGCAGCGGATTCAGATTGCTCAATTCTTAATTTATGTCGTTGTCAATCGACCGTAAATTACTTAGATGGACCCTAAGGCCTAAACCTTGCCATGTGGTATTAGGAGGTTTATCAAGGTTTAGCAATATTACATGGGAAGGATTAAGTAGCTTATAACTTGGGCTCTATACAGCGAGGATACTCTGCGACAAGGTGTAGAACGTCTCCCATTGACGTGCAAAGGTGTGGTGGTGGCCAAATCAGACAGTAAATATCAATAGCAAGGGGGGGCCTTAGAGGGGTCAAGACAGTAAATAGTGTATTACAAATTCAACCTAAATGAACAGCGGCATCGTGGCTGTTACATAACTGGTCTTTTTTTATTCTATTCTATTCCGCAGTATAATATTTGAGCCTTCGGATAGTGGGTAAGCATTGATCAAATATATATATATATAATAAAAGAACTCCTCCTTCCCGCACATCGACAACTCCTCTTCACTGGCTAGTTTTAATCCCTTTGCATAGATTGCATTATGGGTCTTTGGATGCCCTTCTCCTCTAATAGAAAGCCATGGGGGCTTCGCTGGCGGTCGTCAGTTTGGTTCATCACTACAGGTATGTTTTCCTCACAATCCTAAATTCATCGACTTTAATTATTTCACGCCCGCCAGTCGTTGGATTCGGTCAGTAAGCCTGCATGTCAGGATGCTATCCATGTTAATGCGCATTTCAGGTATTACCACAGATTTGTTGGTTTACTCCATCATCATCCCCGTCTTGCCATTCCAACTTCGAGCGTTTGTCATACCATAAGGTTTCGTCGCTCACAGGGTGGCTACTATGTGCATATGTGAGCTGAATCATCATTTTTCGTAAACCCCATCACTCATATCCTCTAGTCCGGCGGGCTAGTCTTTTGTAAGCCAGCTCCTTCCATATCGCTTCAAATGGGTTTAACCATTCCCACAGCGACAATCCCTATTGCTATGCACTCGGAGCGATATTCAATGAGACGAATGCCATTGATCTTCGGTCTCATTGCGCTCATTGGCTCCCAGGTTATGTTCATGGAGGCCCCTAATTACGCAGTCATGGCCATCGCTCGTGTGTTGCAAGGAATCAGTTCCTCCATGGTGTGGATCGTAGGCTTGGCACTTTTGTGAGAATATTTATGGGCATTTTTATACACAAACTAATCCCTATTGTAGGTGTGATACTACGCCAGAGAAAAACGTTGGCAGTGAGTTACCCTGAAAATATCGTTCTGACTTCCATCAACGACCTTTTGTCAGAACAATTGGGTATTGCGATGACTGGCCTGTCCATTGGGTGAGTATGCTTCGACTCTGTCTGCGTTATCTCACTCCCAGAAGTCTTCTGGTTGGTTCACCCGCAGGCGGTGCCTTGTACTCTCGCTTCGGCTTTCGCGCCCCATTCATCTTCGGATCGTTGTGTGCAGTTGTCGATCTCCTCCTCCGTCTTCTTCTCATTGAAAGGAACGTCGCATTGAAATGGGGCTATGACCCATCAGAACCCTCGGCCGTAGTGATGAAGGAGGCGCCGGACGCTTCTTCTACACCTGATATACAGCTCTCCTCTATCCCAATAGCTCATGTGCACGAAAGCACTGATCCAGAAACTAATGAAGTAGAAGAACCGACAGTTCCGGACAAGTCCAGGCTACCCAACGCACGAAAACTGTCCATAGCCCGCAGATCAATCATTGACCTGGCACTCAATCGGAGGCCAACACCATTACTCTCAGTTATTGTCAAATTATCGCAGTCACCTCGCGCGTTGGTCGCTCTAACCATGGCGTTCGTATATGGGTAAGTATTGTTCAATATTACGTAGGCGATTATTCACCATTGCCACAGACTTGTGCAGAGCATGCAAGAGCCCTCCCTTCCGCTTCATCTCCAATCTGTGTGGGGATTTAATTCGGGCCGGGTGGGTCTTGCCTACCTGGCAGCAGTCGTCCCAGCCTTGATCTGTAAGTCTCATTGTCCGACAATGTGTCGTCTCGTCTTGACGAGACTTGCAGCGTCAGCCGTTAGCAGGTTTTTACGTTGATCGAGCGGGGTCCGACTACATAACATGTATATGTCTGTTCCTGGCACTGCCGTGGTGGATTGTTCTGACCCTACAGCGTTCTTTACCGTTATTCATTTTTGCTCTCGCCGCTCAATGTATGTTTACGCCATGGCTACATGTGTCGAGTTGACCTTTTTTTCTTAGGTTTCTTTGTCTCTGGTGTCGTTGCACCAGTGACGACTGAACTTGCGTCTGTCTCTCGAAAAATGGCAGGTGTTGGATGTGAGTGATTCCCAACGGAATGCGATCTTTTTTCATCTCCTGACATCGCACAGATGCTCATGTCTATGGCGCATTTAATCTTGCGTTCGGGATTGGTACAGCAGGTGAGAATTCATAGTTTCATTTTCGCATCAATTTCTGAGTTTTCTCAGTGGGTCCTGTGATCGGAGGGCAGGTCAGTATCTATGCTAACGAATGCAAAAGCCACGTTTTTGATTGGGTGATGATTTCTAGATATATGATCGTGCGAGACATGGATGGACTGTGCTTTGTTGCATCACCTCCGCGCTTATCCTCGTCTGCATCACCCTCGCGTTCTGCTATACTGGTGTTGATCCTTTACTTGCCAAGGTCCTGCGTCATTATTACCCAATCGATTCGATACGAAAGAACCCAGACGAAGAATCTAATAGCGCTGATAATACTAGCAGGACTCATATCGTCAGTAGAGTTGGAGCCTGATTTTGCATCGTGTAAACGTGGACATTTTTTACATTATAGATATCACTATTCACTTGGAAGTTCATATGTAGTAGTACATGCAGTAGTATATAGGCCAGTGGACGATAGGGAACACTACATAAGTATTCTAACCACAGTGAAATATTTGATTTCATATCATTGCAATTGTGAATATCTGGTCAGCTTCGTTTCAGACTTGTGATTTGTACTTGCTTGTCACCACTTGACTTGGAAACGCCGTGTCTGTCCCTTTGACTTTCCAAGGCCCACAGTTACCATTCATTCCTTTATACCGTATCTATATCTTTATACTAGTGTCTAGGCGTTTGCGGGGCCTTTAAAAGCTGATACCTGATGAACCCTCTCCGAGATATGTCACATCCTCCGTCTCCCGCCCCGAACCAATCAAACTTCACGCCGAGTTCTGACCAACCCAATGCTCATTCTGTCCCTAGTAGACAACTCCGCTAGTATCAGCCGCCGACAGGAGACTCAGAACAGTCTGAGACAAGCCTCTGTAGCGCTAGATGCTGCATATGACCGTGTCACACAACTCAGACAAAACATCAACAATTTACTCAATCGGATGCCACCGGAATTCGCAGAAGGACCCTCGCCCGTACGCGACAGGACCACAGAGTCCAGTATCGCACCCCAGCATGCTGCCTTGGTCCTTACCGGGTCCGACACTCCAGAGTCCGACGTGGACTTCAACACACGCGTTCAGCGGTTGAGAACTATTATCAATCCCTCGGCCAGGCAGCGCCTGGAAGATTTTGAGAGCATGTCAAGACGCAGGAGAGGCTCCACTTCAGAGCGTCCATTAGAAGTGTCAGGCCATAGGTCCCAGTGGTGGGATACACCTGCCGATATACCCTCTCGGATACTCCCCGCCTCACCCCCGTTCCCCTCCGCTGCCAGACTTGATTCTTCCTTCAAACAACAGAACCCATTTTCAAAGCAGTCTGGAAGAGCGTTCTGTCTTCCGCAGTGAGCTTGGGATCATAAATCCCGATGATCCCAACACTATGATCGGGCGACAAGTTGCGGCACGTACTGCCTTGGACCGCCAGAGCACCACTGCCCCCCCGCTTGAACAACGACTCCAAAATCAGTCTTCTGTTATTGCGCGGGATCTAGCGAGTTTGACTAGCCGCCTTATCAGGCGGGGCGCTCGTCGCTTGGAAGCTGCTCGGCAAGCGGAGTCTGAGCAACCAAGCAATAGATCCAGTTTACAGGGACAAGAGGTAGTTCCGGTTCCTTCGGAGACTGAGATGGACTGGGAACCCACCATACCACAATCAAATAATGATCCACTCTTGACTCTAGTACTTGATGTTGCGGCTGTGCCCGACTCATCCATGCGTCCTTCTCAGCCATCGAGTGGTGCGAGTAGGCGGTGGACTAGTGACAACGCCGACCGAACACTACTTATAGATGAGCGGGGCCAAGGCCCCCCTAGCGTGTCGGAGAGACCACTACCTCATTTTATGAACGCTAGGTCGTGGCCTAGCGAAGTAACTGCGAATGGTGCAGGCGAGGCTTCGACGTCTTCAAGCTCTGTCAGACGTCGCAGGAGATGGGGTATGTGGGTCTAATTATTAGGTTTACTTCTCTGAAACTCAATTTCAGCGCGTCTTCTCAATGCGGATGGGGATGAGGTTATTTCGGATGACGAAGATGGAGTCGAGCGTAATCGCCGCTCGCAGCTGCGTTTGATGTATGCGCTACCAGATGCCACTGTTTCATCTACATCACCTAGATCCGAGGATGACTCCTTCCTCCCATACACCTCCGCCTCCATCATGCACCCCCTGGACGATGATCCAGCAGAGGCTATACGCGTGCGTCTCAACTCCCACCAGCAATCCAAAGAAGATCTTTTTTCCCATAGTATCTCTTCACATACTTACTCACAACATGTTGACCCTTTGCCGACGCCTCTTTCAGAGATGCTTCGTCATCCAACTGTTCCCGCACAGGTTCCGCGGTATATTCCAGTGTCTAAACATGCGAGTCTTGCGGGACGGTGACATTTTTTTACCACTCTACCCTTCATTTTTAGTCATATCTTGATGCTCTCTTTTTATGACAACATGCATACATATCTTGGTCTGTCATTACGAGTATCATCCTCATAATCCGAAACAAATGGTGCGATGAAAGGACGACGGGGATGGAAAAAATATTCTGGCTGACGATACGGTACAGTTATCGCACAATCCGAGCTCGCAATGATGATGCTGGGTGATCCGGCAAGCTAATCTTTTCCCGGGGCATCTTTCCACAGATGGCAACCTCCTTTTGGAATTTCCGATTTCCGTGTATGCCCTCGAACATATCTCCAGTGTGAGTGCACTTACGATTATAGGCGGAGAGACGTTCAAAAGGCGGCGTTATCCAGATCATGAACGAAGGTGGCCCCGAGACCACCGAGAATTGGTCCGGTGCACGGAGGTCGCCTTTCAGGTGATTGAAATGGAATCCGCGCCAACTTACCAGTTGCCCACGGCGTATGTGAACTATTGGACGCAAACATTACATGGGACAATTCAAGTTTGTACAGGCGTTGTGTGATACGCCGCATTTGCAATCATCGAGGCTTATAAGAAAAGGCCGCATCTATCAGAGATGATGAAGCTAGTGCATGATTGGTTTTGCTTTTCTTTTGGCCCTGTATGTGATTTTTTATGCAAAATGCCAGCGCTCATATTAGCGAAGTCAAGACGGCCTTTATATCTTCCTCTTCGAGATCTGAGATATCCATTCCGGCTTCCTGTATTCATGAACAACGATAGGGTTACAAGCTGCGATGAATAGAAAGTCCACGTCCCTGAAAACGGTATGCTGCAGCGTTTCGCCTTCTGCTAAGCAAGATGGTCACCAGGTGTACAACGAAGCCAGACCCACCTCCTAAAATGGAACGTGAAGCTGCGCTTATTCTTCAATGATCCATTTTTCATGCGCAACCTGGAAGCGGGGCCTACCCTTTAGCTATCAGATTATTGTGCCTAAAGTTCCAGCTGATTATTCTCTAGGACATCATACCAACGGCGATTAAAATCAACCACTGTGCTCAGCCTTCTTCGAAATTCGTGCACAACCTGGCTGACTCCTGAGAATGGAATGATGCTCGACATGGTGTGCCGCTGGATATTCCACCTGCCAACATGTCGCATTATGTTTGGGTTTTCGTTATCCACCTTCGGATTTCGATGCCTTCAAAAGAATGACTCGCACATATATAACATGCGCTGGATGGCAAACACATTGAACATAGAAGACCGAGGAGTAGCACACAATGTTAAGGAGGCCATCTTCGACGTACGTTCTTCTGGTCATCGTGCCCGTACCTGTGCCGATAAACTGAAAAAATGGTTACTCCACTGCTATGGTGAACCAAATGGACATTTGATATCAAATAATACCTACTTTCCGCTACGAGCTCGCGAGGTCTAATAGGACGTCTTGTCTGCGAAGTTTTGGCCAACGGCGCTGCGGACAAAAATTAGGCAAAAGAGAAGGTCCTTGAAGCCGCCGAATCGAACATCCCCTTTAAAATTCAGTTCTGCCGGTATTGCAGAGCGGTTCTTCCTACTACCGTCAAAAAGAACGATATTCAATGCATAAAGCAAGGCGTCTTCAAGTTCCTACTACATATCTGAGTCGAAGTTCAGATTTATCTGATACCATATCACATCCTCACAGACAATGCGCTTCTCCCTTGTCCTCATCGTCGTCGCTGCTTTGACAGAATTAGTATACGCCAGTGACGCTGAAGCCGAGGGCTGTCCTTTAAAGTGCAGCCATAGTAGTGACTGCACCGCCTGTAAAACGCCAAAATGCGTGAGTAGCTTGCATCCTGGATTTGACCACATGACTGACCAGCATGGATTAGAACCTCTTTGTATGTGTCAGAGTTGATCAATATGACAGGCCGCATAAGGGTTGAAATCCACAGTCAAGCAAAAGTCATTGTAGCACAGCGCTTCTTTCCGATCAACTGTAGCATCCTGTACCGTCGCTTAAGAACTAATAAAGGCTCCTGCTCAGCGAATTTTGAACGTGCCGTAATGCCCAATAAGCGATCATGATAATCACACTCAAACACGTGATAGTATATGGTGCGTCTTGCAATGTGAAAGTAAGGAAACAGGGGCTGCAGATGACATATGCGCGAACCAAGGACACGTGCTACCAGTCTGAGATCACGCGTTGGCTCGTCAGCGAGGTCACGCGTGCCATGGTGTTTTACGGGCCTCTGGTTCAATAAAACCAACTTTTGTGTTCGGGACTGTTGTCAGACTTGACAGAGTCTTGAAGTTTGAGCTTCAAGTTGAAGTCTGAGCATGTTATGATGTCCCGATTTCGAACAGTTTCCAATCACTTGATAGCATCAGACTAATTCCAATTACATAATCAATATTCATTATCACAATGTTCTACTACATAGCTCATATTGTACTCACCCAGCTGGCCACACGCGGCAGTGTCCGCACCCAGCAAACACAAAGAAATATAATTTCGAAACTAAAGACATAAAACAAAAGATCAAAACACCCATCGCTACTATCATTGCGCAGGTGATGCAGCAGCCGCAACCTGAGGCTGAGGCTGATACGCCCCATAATAATTAGGCTGGTAAGTATACCCCCCTTGTTGTGCGGTACCGCCTGCAGCAGCGGTTCGCATATGCGGGGGGAGTGTTGGAGGGATATAACCACTTGCACCAGCTGTTCCTGCGCCCCAAATTGTGCCTGCAGTAGCCTGGGGTGGTTTTGCAGTGACGGTGTTCGCCACTGCACGCTGTCCACCCTGGGCAGTATGACTAAAAAACCCTGCATAACTCGTTGGGATCGTTGCAGATGGGGTCGCAGGTGCAGTTGCAGCCGCAACTGCACCCGTCTGAGGTGTCCCCGGAGCAGCTGTCGTACTAGTACTGGCGGCAGCAGTTTGGGTTGGAGGTTGATACTGATACCAGGAAGAGTAGGCGTATTGCTGTTGCCCTGATGTTGCGTATTGCTGGTTAGCATAATATTGCGTGGCAGCTTGGGTCTGCCCTTGTGTGCCATATGAAGCAGGGTAGTAGGAGGGTGTCTGTCCTGGCTTGTACTGATAACTACCGCGGTAGCCTGCTGCTGCTGCTGCGTAGTTATACGAGTACTGGTAGTTCTGTGCAACTGCCGCTGTTGCGGCAGCTGGTGTAGCAGCAGCGGGGGTTGCAGGCGTGGGCGTGGGCGCGGCTGATGGTAGAGAGGGCACTGCGGTGGCGGTGGACTTGATGTAGAGTGTTGAGTTGTCGCGAAGAGCTGTTGTGCGACCCGTAGGTAGGGTACCATACCAGCCTTGTGAAGGCGCAACAGGGAGTGTGCGATGTAGTTTGTGGAGTGTGGCGGCGGAGGGAATGAGTGGTACATCAGCGCTTCCCGACTGTCGGGGTCGTAGCGATGCTAGCAAGGTGAGTGATTCGAGAATGCTTTGAGCTGTGAGAAAATCTAAGTCTAGTGGCAGAATCTCTCCAGGATGACCTTACCAGTATCCCACTCTTCTGATCCTTCTTCGACTGCATGGAACCCCCCTTCTTTCATCAGCCGTTGTCTCTGAAGCTCTTCTAATCGCCTAAGAGCTTTCGTGTTCCGATCCAGCAGCTCCTGAACGGCATTCTCCAACTCTAAGCTCTTGAAGACAGACTTGAGGGAGATGACCTGCTCTTTCGAAAGCAGACCGTCCAAAATCTCTTCGTCATCATCAAGACTCTCCTGAAGTGATGGGTCGATGACGCTATCCTGCTCTTCCTCGTCTTCCTCCAACCCTGCCATAGGCGAACATTGTGTAGCCTCCTCAGCAGCACGCGCTTTCTCAGCAGCCCAACTCTTCTTCCTATCCTCCCATCTCCACAAGACCTCCCCAAGCGCTTCTCTTCCAATCTCTACTCCTTCCTGATCAAAGCTCGGAGCGAAGCTCGCATAGGGACCATAGTCTAAAAACGACCCGCAGCTCACGTGCCGAGGGCCGAGAACCTTCGACCGATGTCCTGGAGGCTTCTTTGGTACGTAGGCACCCAGCGTCATCGGAGCTTGCGTGTCTGTGAGAGTGATGGTCGACTTGAGGTAGCGTCGGAGTATGCGAGAGACGAAGGTGAGGGGAGGACGGCAACTAGCTCTGCGTTGGCAGTTTGGAGGTCTTTGAACTCTTTTGAGTCGGTTAAGAGGTCTGAGCCGAGGGATGACCACCAGGTGCCGGATGGGAGGCGTTGCATAAGGGCATATTTCTTACCCTGTCCGGTGTGAGATAATTTGTCAGGGAGGCTAGGGCTTAGAGGTGGTGCGTCTGCAGCACAAGGTTCTGGGTTGACTGGGATTATGGATTCGATGTCAAGGGGCAGCGGAACGGAGTGGAGAGATGCCTGGTTGAGGAGGGAGATGGCAAGATTACAAAAGCGCAATTGTAGTGCGGCAGCAGTGGATGGGCGAGACCTCGCGGGATGGACCTCTGGAAATAGATTCTGAACTGCGGACTAGAAGCCATTCATGAGTCAATTCGATGTCGGAGAATGCAGGAAACTTACATGCAGCACCCTGAGCGGGTGCTGTGATGACTCGCTGAGGAGGGTACGCAGAGAACACGTCCCCGTTTGCGATTTTGAAGTGGAGGGTTCGGATGGATTTGTGGCAGGCAGAGGAAAGACACGGTCGAGAAGACCTTGAGAGTCGACCCTGTAGGGGTGATTAGAAGATGAATCGATGGTAATATTCGACTCACATTTCAAGGATTTCAAGTATATTTTGTGCGATTGGAGTGTCTAGAGGGACATCGGCTACATGGTCGAGCTCGGGCATCTTTCCCTTGGACAACTTGTCGTCTGTTGATTCCTCCTTTATGCCATTCTCTCCACGATGCTGCTTTTGTGCAGGCTGGTCATCGTCTGGGAGTGAAACGCGCTTGCGTTTCTTTGTAGATTGCTTTGCGCGTTGTGAAACTCCTGGATCTGGCTGTTTATCCTTTTCATTCTGCTGTGTCGCTGAACGAGTGGCCCTAGCCATGATAAAATTGTTCGATTCGTAGTTTTTATAGATTTTGAGTGTAGCGAGGAAAGATTAGGGGATGAACGCGTTCAGGGCTCAACGCGTCGATGGTCGAATTAGAATATTAATCCTCACGCAGACAACTTAGTCGATGTAAACCAAGTCTTCTCTCCTCGCTCTTTTCATACTCCGATCGATCTCACCCGCAAACGAATTCATACTCCGATACCCCTCCTGCTGAAGTCCATGGCCACAAAACAAATCCTTAGAGCTCAGTTACGCTCGTATCCTGCAAATGGTCACTCTGCGTACCTACCACAGGTCAGGAAAATAGTATTAGAATACTGCCAGAAACTTCCTTCTTCCGCCAACACCCGTACTTTCATCTCAAATGACCTCCAGCGTGTTGCATGGCAGAACCCACACGTAGAATTCGTGGTCAAGCAGCGCAACGGTCATGAACCAATAGCAAGGGGATTTTATGGTTCTGTTGCTTCTTTTTATGATACCGAACACTCATCTGACCTAATCGTAGTTAATAGCCGTGACAAGGTCATTCCATTGCAGGAGTTCGAAGTTAATGGTGTGGAGAAAAAAGTTCAACTACTCCTCGACTCCTCGGGCGCGAAAATAAAGCAGCTCAAGAAGGGCCGTATTGTGGAGAGTACGACAGAGGCCGCAAGAGGTATCTGGAGCGGGCTGCATGTTGACACCCCGTTCAAAATATAGACGGGGTTATAATTATCATATCCGTGTCATACCTTTATTACTCTGCGTCTAATGGAATTCTGCAGCTCTCGCGATGAAACCGGATACTGTCAATTGCCAGGTTTCAGTTAGACTGCGAAGTTATGCTGCTCGATCTGCGGACGGATGAAACATCTTGTGGCCTCGCGAATTCTGGTTCATTTCACCATTTCCCGGTGTGGCATGGTTCCGCAACTGCATCAATTCCCGTTTTGTTGATCGCGAGGAGTGGGACAACAAAATGCTACATCAGTGAGTGAATGTTGGCGTTGACAAGCACAGGGATGTAAACAATAAGTTTGACGGGGAATCATGAAAGATGAGTGAGCAGGGTTAATTCACTAATTGTACGGAAAGTAAGCACATACTTTTATATCTGAGCGAGTAGCTCATCAAAACAGCACAAAGGAAATTTCATCGTCAGTGCTCGAGTGCGCGAGCTAAAACTTGTGACATGCCTTTTGCGCACATCACGTTTGATCATGTCGGACACTGCACAGCGATGAGTGCTAGCAATAGACTATTTCCGGACCCTCCATCATTTCATTCATTCACTAGGGACCCTTTGGTAGATCTATTTTGAGGAACAACCATGTATGTCCGAATCCTCCGTAGAATATGATGGTCCGTAAATATAGCTAGCACCGTGATCTATGAGCACTTCACGCCTTTGACATCCTAGGGTTAGGGTTATTGCTCTTGAACTCATGCCACCTATGTAAGTTAGCTGTATTCATAATACCTGCATCAAATGGTGACGCTGTGACTTACAGCCGCGATAAATTCACGATCCACTCAAGAGCGGTGGTCTGCCAAGATGTTGAGTTAAAGGGAGACATTACTATCGGACCTGGGACAGTTGTACACCCCAAAGCTACCATCTTCGCAATAGCTGGCCCCATTATAATTGGCTCAGGTTGCATCATCGAGGAGGCCGCCATAATAGTCAATCGCCGCAAAGAAGTGATGAGAGTCGGTGACAACAATTTGTTTGAGATTGGCTGTCGTATGTCCTTTCCTCCATCCGTGACTTCAGTCACGAACTTCTCGCACAGGCGTCGAATGTCCATCTGTTGGCAACTTCAACACTATATCGACGCGTGCGCGCGTCCACCATACTGTGCGAATAACAAATTACTGTGTCATTGGTGCTGCATGTCTCGTGGTTCCTACAGACGACGAGACCCTTGACGACTACACGTCCATCTTCGGACCCGCTGCAGAAAGAAGGACTTGGAGTGGAAGGGGACGGATTCAAGAGGCTGATTTGAGATTGAAACATGCAGAGTATCTTCGTGAGATGCTACCGAAGTTCAATCGATTACGGAGGGGAGATGGCGCTTGACGTCTTGTTGCACGTTTTTTATTACCTCTGCCTCGGACTGACTGGGGCACTGGTTGTACGTGTTGGAGGGTCATCGGGTACATTCGTTATTGTACGGGCATCAGCGACATCGGTAGGTGGATCCACTACACATAATCGCCTGTCATTTCCAAGGTAATGACCTACGTTGGAATGGCATGTCACGACTACATGGAAAATGACCGAGGCGACGGAGATCACCGCTGTCGTTTTCCATGACTCGCTTCCATATGGCCTTTGTGTGAAAGCAATTAGTATGCTGCACACGATGGGCTTGAGCATGATCTATACACGCATGCTGGGATGTGCCTGGCCCTTAGCGCGGAGTTTTTAACCGAACACGCCCCTGCCACCTTGCAAGATGACTCACATCCGGTATTCCGAGTCTTATCTTTATGCGTTTCCTAACTCTCATAGCCCTGCAACGTGTATCCGGAACACCTTTGAATCGCCCTTTCAGAATGCACGCTGGCTCTCTTACTCTCTGCAACTACCATGTCCGTCACTCAAACTCACAGGTTCAGCGTAAGCGCCCCTGGGGATCTCTGATGTCACTTTAGACTGACCATATATCGACTCTAAAAGCATTCAGAAAAGTTCGAGCAGCCCACCTACTTTTTCGCACCCGACGACGAGATTCTGAGAGATTGGCTGGATACTGATACCATAGTCAATGTGAGCACATCCATCTCGCCGTAGTACTGAGCCTCTGATGGACCGTTCATGCAGTCCATCACTGATCTTTCACCAGTCGACACCTTGAGTGATCTAACGGTGAGTAGTCAGATCAACGCAACACGTGGCATCCCTAACACAAAGTCAGGACATAACACCTGAAGAAGAAGAGGAATTCGAAGGTAATAACTCTTCGATGCCGCACAGCATTCGAAGAGTTCTGGTGCGTCCTTATCTCCGTCAAACATGCCATAACCCGCAACCCACCCTTCCATATAGACCCCACCTTTGGAGTGCGATGAATCCTCAAGCAGACCTAGAAGCATACTATTTGAGTCCTCCATGCTTTCAAGCCCAGGAATGCCCTCTTATTCGCGATATCGCTCGGAGTACTTCCAGCCTGCAACACATCGTGCACGCCAAAGCGTCTCATCCATCGCCTCTTCCTCGACAGTATACACAAAATCAGCTCCTGCTCCTGTAAAATCTATCCTCACTCGACATGACTCGGGAATCTCCCTTGCGACGACAACAAAGACATCCCGCAAGAAAAAGCGGTCCCCTCCGTCGGTGAAGTTTGTTGAAGCACCAACGGTGTATCATAGCCATCGTGACTATTCACCAATTCATTTACCTCCCCATTCCCCCTTGGCAACTCCGTCAGGTCAGAGCAGAAACAAACCAAGCCGATGGCTTGCACGGTGGTGGAAACCCACTCCACCTCCGAGACCAATGATATCTGGCCCATATAGCCTAGCGCATACCGCATCACTGGTCGATGTGTATAGCCATCGTTCCAAACCAACTCAGTGCGGGAGACTGAAGCGGTTCTGGGTACGTATAACGAGCGTGGTTCGATAGCGTCTAACTCCGCCTACACCACGTAAGTCAACTTCTATCGAGTTATGGTGGTGATTGCGGACTGTGTCTCTCCAGGTTCTTCCCTTACATGACGCTGTCGTTTCTCACCTCATGCGGGAGTTGACTTCTGCCTCGGACCTGCGGTTCTAGTGAGGATAATTAGAGATATGAATTTGACACCTAAGATTTAGTTATGTCCACCCCATACGTAGACTGGACAGGAGCCGCAGAGCGCGCTTGCATGTCTTTACAGCATGTCATGTTTTGTTATACCCCCATATTCACTTCCCACACCAACACACGCGATGTTCTTAGCTAGATCATTCATATCTCATCTCAACCATGTATCAATGCATATAGTCTTAATACATGCACTACACAGCTGTTCTTCGTGCTCTTTCTGCGTCCCAGCGTGCGCGCACTAGCATGGCGCCTTCAGCCTTGGAGCGCACGAGAGGAGGAAGGAGTTGCAGACGGGCAGCTTCCATGTGTGGTGGTAGGAGGGCGTCGTTGCGGATAACCTGCGTACACGATGATGTCAGAGGCCCATTTCCAGGACAGCCCATATCCGTGGAGAGAAAAAACACGTACGGAACCGATAGCAAGGAAGAAAGAGAAAGTCGCGGCGCTACTGAGCATATACTGCGAAAGCGTAGCTAGGAATCCTCGAGGACCGGAACCACCTCTGTGTAACATGTTTGATGAGTAAAAACGAACTTAGGTGGAAGTCAGTTGGCTTCCTACCGAAGGATGCTGTATGATCCAAAGATGAACCCGATCGTCAGACCGACGCCTCCGCCCATCATCGCGCCCATTCTGAGATGAAAGGCATGTTTGAAAAGGCTTATGTGATGGGGTAGCTATAACTAGGACCTACTTCACTGTCAATCGGTCATAAGAAATTATTCTTGGATTTGAGATGTATGGTTGGACGTACGTTTTTGCCATGTAGAAGGTTCTTGTGCTCTGTTCGCTGCGGGCATGGGCGGCATTGTAGTAAACTCGCGGTGATGAGTGAAAGTGAAATATGTGACTAGTTGTGGTGAATCACCGAATACTTTCAGTGAATGTGTGGCAGAAAAGAGCAGCTGCAATTGCGGCCGAGGTTACCGAAAACATGTCTGCATCTTCTTCACGCCTGCCTACGTTTCCCGACGCTCAGCAAGCTCAAATTAGTGCGCTGTCTCATCGTTCTTGCATCAAGGAAGGCTGATAATCATGCAGTAAGGGCGAACCAGAGAGATTTGTTCCATGTTGCATCGTTGAGGGAACAAGCAGAGTCGGTGCTTCGATCGTGGCTTGGTGCGCTCTTATATTCTTTCCTTGCCGCTAGTGCTGATGGTGAATGGAAAGGTACACGGTGGCTCACGCGATGGGACAAGGAAGTCGAGCTGGCTGTGAAACTCATGTACTACGGACTATCCGTTGGTCGAGGTATTCTATATCTTCTGCAAGGGTTTGCCCTTTACTAACCGCATATTAGCTGTCCAGACTCTCGGGGAGGAGTACACAGATATCTGGGAGTACTCTTCTGATGGAAGAACACCTTCGCGTTCTCTTCGAGCTGCGCTTATCCTCTTCCCTACGCTCCCTTCGTATGTTCTAGCACGTTGGGGTTCCCACATTGGTGCACTTAACCCGAAGGTGGGCGAGTTGCTTAAGGCGCTGCAGGTGTGTTTGGAAGTAGGGACGGAGATCAACCTAGCGGTGTTTTATCTGCGGGGCACGTACTATGATCTAGTGAAGAGGGTGTTAGGCATTCGACATGTGGGTCGTGTCTCTTGCTTTCGATGGACAAGAAATTGATCTAGATATTTGGTGACAGGTGTCTTCCATCCCAGAGAACCCTCATGTTCGCCCGCCGTCATATTCATTGCTTGGGATACTCATTGCAATACGCCTCCTCTACCGACTCGTTACATTTTTGCGCAGTAGGTCTCAAGCTGCTTCAGAAAAGTCCTCAGGGAAGCGTTCGCTGGACTCGACGAATGAGATGTTCATTGACGATCGACCTGTTTCAACCTTGCTCGGCGTTTCTGCCTCCGAGTCTGATGTGAAGCCAGCGGAAGAAGACAAGAACACGATCTTAGACATCACGTCGATACCACCGCGTCAGCGGGCAGGGAGGACGTGCACACTTTGCCTGGAAGAACGAACTGATAGCTGTGCAACCGAATGTGGACACTTGTTTTGTTGGGGGTGCATTGTAGGATGGGGACGGGAGAAGGCGGAGTGTCCTTTGTGTAGACAGGCACTTAGTCTTACGAGGTTATTGCCGATTTACAATCTATAGTTCGATGTTGTATTCTGTTCTGTTTTGCTGCATTATCGGGTTGTCCTCAAGCATAGCACAAACATTTGCTGGGGTACGTCAGTAGCAGCACAAAATTATTATGATACATTGTAGGAGCACATCATATACCGGTGTGTGCAGAAAGACAAGATTTTACATGAACAGAGCCAACATATCATACCACCTGTTGGATGAGGGTGATGTTATCGCCTTTTAGTAGTATACGACCTGGATCCATATCAGGAATGCGTCCATGGAATCCATCAAGATAAGGGATCTCACCAAGTTCTCGTCGTGGTTTGGCGTCTTTGACGTAGACTTCTGCAGCCTCGTCGATCACGACATTCATGAATTCGTCAAATCCCTGAAGAATAGATGCATTGCGTCAGTTCAGCGGACTTCGAGATAATTCAAGCAAAAGGGGAAAAACAAGATCGCCGCGCAAACACGGAGTGCCATGGCCTTGCCAGAGACGCGCTTCAACGCTCAAAATGTTCGAAACCGGGAAAGTGCACGTACAATGATACGCCCTTCGATCCGCATCTCGATGTTGTCATACAACCATATGACGACTTTTGTTCGCTATATGCACATGTCAGTATTGAAGGAGAGCGTGTTGCATATTGGAGCAGACCTGCTGCAAGTTTTTGAAGATGACATTCTGTACAAATAAAGATAATCGGTGGATCGAAATTGACTTTGAATGGGGGAACGTACAATGGGCTGTACCAACACTCTTTGTTGGCGTCCAGACATGATAAGCGGATATTTTCACGGGTGACGATGTGACGAGGCGTATTGCTAGCTTGCTTTGCCGCGTTGTTGACAAAACTAATCGCAGGGGGGCCTGCTTATGGCATATTTTCCCACAAGTGTTTTGACATTGAAGTTTCGCAGGACGCGTCAAAGCTTCTTACAGAAGCAATCATGGAGGTGAGCACAAGAAGCTAAACGAAAACTTCGAGGTCATCGTGACGCTGACAGTTCTCTAGGCGTTCAGTCCCTCCAACTCATCAACTGCCGCGGCGGTGACTTTCATTACATTCGTACAGGACCTTAAGCGTAAGACCAAGACATGGGGTCCTATGATAGATCTATGTGCCAACGGCGAGAAGACACTAGAGCGCTTTCGATACCAATTCCCAGATGATTGGCTATACAGCGACCAACTTAGAGGAGAGTGGAGCGCATACAACGAGATTCTCAAGAGAAAGAATGATTCCATTCAAGAACAACTGGGTACGGGGTTGTTCTCTTGAACTTGCCTTATCATATGTGACTCATGTTCTATTCGTGCAGCGGGCCTTCAACTTAAGATAGTCGCTGAAGACAAGATTGTAGAGAACAAGATTAACGATATCCTGTCGGAATGGGAACAGACACGTCCCGTACAAGGCAGCCTTCGTGCAGACACGGCTATGAACACTATCAACGTGTTCGAGGGGAAGCTTACTCGCGTGCAGGAGGAATACGACCTCGTCTGCAGGGCAAAGGAGGCTCTAGACCTCGAGCTGACGCGTCATACACGCCTTGAACCAGTCTTCGAGGAGCTACGCGACCTAAAAGCAGTATGGACGGCGCTTTCTGGTGTATGGAGCCAGATCGGGGACCTGAGGGAGATGTCGTGGTCCGTGGTGCAACCGAGGAAGTTGAGGCAGCAGCTCGATAGCCTCTTGACGTCGACAAGGGACATGCCCACGCGTATGAGGCAGTACGCAGCGTTCGAATACGTCCAGGACGTACTACGTGGGCTTTTGAAGTCGAACTCACTCATTTCGGACTTGAAGTCGGAGGCGCTGAAGGACAGACACTGGAAGCAGCTCTTCAAGGTTTTGAGGCTTCCGTCTCAGATCAGCTTGACCCTGTGAGTTGGTTCTGTGCTACCATTTATCCGTTCTACGTGCTGATTAAAGTGCAGTATGACTCTTGGCCATGTTTATGATTTAGACCTCAAGAAGAATGATACTCCCATACGCGAGGTTATCATTCAAGCGCAGGGAGAGGTGCGTGGCATTGTGATATTTATCTTCTTATGCCTCACTTTTTTGAAGATGGCCCTCGAAGAGTATATCAAGCAAGTGAAGGAAATATGGACGAACTACACGCTCGATCTTATCAACTATCAGAACAAGTGTCGTTTGATCAAGTAAGTTATTTTCAGCAAGGCCACGTAGAGATGCTCAACATACCACTTCCAGAGGATGGGATGATCTCTTTAACAAGTGCAGCGAGAACTTGAACTCCTTGACTGCGATGAAATTGTCGCCTTATTACAAGGGTATGAGACATGATTTTACACTGATGCCGTTCTAACTTGCTTTCTAGTCTTTGAGGAAGAAGCAGGGTCATGGGAGGATAAACTCAACAGGATTCATGTACTCTTTGGTATGATTGTTGGTTATTCTTCCCTGTAAAATCCACTGAATATTGTTTTAGATGTCTGGGTTGACGTACAGCGTCAATGGGTATATCTAGAAGGCATCTTCTCGGGCAGTGCGGACATCAAGCACCTCCTTCCGGTGGAAAGCGCCCGTTTCCAGAATATCAATGCAGAGTTCCTGACCGTGATGAAAAAAGTGTACAAGTCGCCATTCGTCATAGACGTCATGAACATCCAGGGCATCCAGAAGAGCTTGGAGCGTTTGGCGGACCTTTTGAATAAGATCCAAAAAGCGCTTGGTGAATACCTCGAGCGCGAGCGGTCTTCGTTCCCTCGGTTCTACTTCGTCGGTGATGAAGACCTGCTGGAGATAATCGGTAACAGCAAGGATATCGTGCGCATCATGAAGCACCTGAAAAAGATGTTTGCTGGTATTTCGACCATCAAGCTCGATGAGGACCTTACTCAGATCCAGGGCATGGCCTCGCGCGAAGGGGAGGAGGTTAAATTCAGTGAACCTGTTTTGCTCAAGGACTTCCCCAAGATTAATGACTGGCTCACAAAACTCGAATCCATGATGCGATTGTCCCTTGCAGATCTTTTATGTGATGCTGTCACCGAGCTACAGTCCTTCTATGGCACTGGTTCTCCCTTGGAAATGGACCAGCTCATGACGTGGATGGAGAAATATCCTGCACAATTGGTCACACTAGCTGTTCAAGTTGCATGGACTACTGCAGTTGATGCCACTCTCGAGTCCGGCGAGCTCCCAGAACCGCCACTTGAAACAGTCAGCCAGGCACTCGACCTTCTTGCGGACATTGTGTTGCAGGAACTGAGCCCCGTCACCCGTCGCAAGTGCGAGCACCTCATTACCGAACTGGTCCACCAAAGAGACGTCACGCGTACACTCATCCAGCAGCGTGTCACGGATACCAAGGCCTTTACGTGGCTAGCGCAGATGCGTTTCTATTTAGACCGCTCTGTGGAGAATCCATTGGACAGACTTGCCATCTGCGTCGCTGATGCATCGTTCCCTTACGGATGGGAGTATCTCGGTGTCCCTGATCGTCTTGTCCAGACACCGTTGACAGACCGGGTGTACTTGACATTGACTCAGGCGCTCGACAACCAGCTGGGAGGCTCACCTTTTGGACCTGCTGGTACAGGTAAGGATGTCGTCTTTATCTTCCGATGTCAGACTGACGTAAATTCAGGCAAAACGGAGTCTGTCAAAGCTCTTGGTGTCCAGCTGGGGCGTTTCGTTTTGGTCTTCTGTTGCGACGAGACTTTTGATTTCCAAGCCATGGGTCGCATCTTCGTTGGGCTTTGTCAAGTTGGTGCATGGGGATGTTTTGACGAGTTCAATCGACTTGAGGAGCGTATTCTCAGTGCTGTGTCTCAGCAAGTACAAAGCATTCAGCAAGGTCTTGTTGCATTGGCGAAGAATCCTAACATCGAAATCGAGCTTGTTGGCAAAAACCTCAAGATCAGTAAGAACATCGGTAACAATTTCATAATACACGGTGGTACTGGCTAATATATACAAAAGGTATTTTCATTACGACTAACCCTAACTACGCTGGTCGGTCTCAGCTCCCGCCTAACTTGACGAAATTGTTCAGGCCGTACGTTCTGTCCTGATGGTTATGCGTCCCATTCTGAATCTACTGTTGCTCATTCAGGATGGCCATGACGAGACCTGACCGCGAGCTGATTGCCCAGGTCATGCTCTTCTCACAAGGTTTCCGTACAGCGGAATCACTCGCTTCAAAGATTGTACCGTTCTTCAATCTTTGCGATGAACAGCTCTCCCCCCAGCCACATTACGATTTCGGTCTCCGTGCTTTGAAGGCTGTCCTAGCAAGTGCTGGTATCTTAAAGCGTGAGCGTCTGCAGAGTGCGAGATCCGAAGATGAGGATGGTGTAGTTGGTCTTTCCGATAGCATCTCGGAGCAGATTATCCTCATCCAGAGTGTCACGGAGACAATTGTGCCGAAGTTGGTTGCTGATGATGTTCCTCTGCTTACAAGGTAAAGTTTTGTTTGTTCTATGAAGGCAAATGACTTACCCTGGACAGCCTGCTTGCTGATGTCTTCCCCGGTACCGACTACGTTCCGGTTGACCTCGATGCTTTACGCGAGCAAATTCTCAAGGTTTGCGCGGAACGCCGCCTTGTCGACGGTGATCGATGGGTTGCCAAGATTCTTCAACTTTATCAGATCCAGAAGATTCAACATGGTCTTATGATGGTGGGGCCTTCGGGTACTGGAAAGACCAATGCTTGGCAGGTTCTGCTTGCCGCGCTTGAGAGGCTCGATGGCATCGAAGGAATTCCTTATGTCATTGACCCTAAGGCCATGCACAAGGACGCGTTGTACGGCACACTCGATCCTACCACACGTGAATGGAACGACGGGCTGTTCACCCACATCTTGCGCAAGATTGTTGATGACGTTCGTGGTGAAAGCAGTAAGAGACACTGGATCATCTTCGATGGTGATGTTGATCCTGAGTGGGTCGAGAACTTGAATAGGTACGTATCAGGATTGGGTAGTTCTGCGACTGTCTAACGCGATCACAGTGTGCTGGATGATAACAAACTGCTCACGCTGCCCAATGGTGAACGTCTGAACCTCCCACCTAATGTTCGCATCATGTTCGAGGTCGAGCATCTTCGCTATGCCACCTTGGCTACCGTCAGTCGTTGCGGTATGATCTGGTTCAGTGAAGACGTCATTGAGCCATCAATGGTCTACCGTCACTACCTCAACACTCTGACAGCAGTGCCCCTGGATGCGGATGATGAAGATGCCGTCGATATGCCTGGCCGTCGTGTTGATGCACTAGCCACAGATGCCTCTAACTCTGCCAATCTTGCCACTCAAGTACAGATCGCGTCCATTCTGGAGCGCTATTTCAGCGACGGAGATCTTGTCGACTCTGCCCTGACGTTCGCCGAGTCTATAGATCATATCATGGACTTCACCTCGACACGTGCATTGCACACTCTTTTCTCGCTATTGAACAAGACAGCGCGAAACGTCATCGAGTACAACCTGCAACATTCCGATTTCCCTCTTGCACCTGAAAAGGTAGAGCAGTATGTCACCAAACGGCTACTTGTGAGCATCATTTGGGCATTTTCCGGTGATGCCAAACTCGACCTTCGGGCTGAGATGGGCTACTTCTTGCGCAAGCAAACTGGCATCGACCTTCCAACGATGGGCCTCCGACAACTCTCTCATTGACTTCGACGTCCAAATCGCCACTGGTGACTGGATTGCTTGGCAGTCCAAGGTGCCCTCCATTGAGATCGATGCCCACGCCGTCACATCTTCAGACATTGTTGTACCTACGATGGACACTGTGCGCCACGAAGAAGTTTTGTACTCATGGCTGTCGGAGCACAAGCCTCTGATGCTCTGTGGTCCTCCGGGTTCTGGAAAGACCATGACACTGTTCAGTGCATTGCGCAAGCTTCCCGACATGGAAGTTGTTGGCCTGAACTTCTCTAGCGCTACCACGCCAGAGCTCATCTTGAAAACTTTTGAGCAGTATTGCGAGTACCGCAAGACTCCCAACGGTGTCATTCTGGCCCCAGTGCAGATCGGTCGGTGGTTGGTTGTCTTTTGCGACGAGATCAATCTGCCCGCTCAAGATAAATACGGCACCCAGCGAGTCATCTCTTTCTTGCGTCAGCTTGTCGAATGTGGAGGTTACTGGCGTGCGAAGGACATGGCCTGGGTCAAGTTGGAGCGCATTCAGTTTGTGGGTGCTTGCAACCCTCCTACTGATCCTGGACGTGTACCTCTTAGCCATCGTTTCCTTCGTCACGCTCCCCTCGTCATGGTGGATTATCCTGGAGAGGTTTCCTTGAAACAGATTTATGGCACGTACAACAGAGCACTGTTGAAAGTGGTCCCGACCCTGCGGGCATATGCAGAGCCACTGACAGATGCCATGGTCGCTTTCTATCTCTCATCTCAGAAACGCTTCACGACCGATATCCAAGCACATTACGTCTACAGTCCTCGCGAGCTGACAAGATGGGTTCGTGGTATCTACGAGGCAATCCGGCCTTTGGAAACGTTGTCTGTCGAAGGTCTTGTGCGTGTCTGGGCGCATGAGGCCCTGCGCCTGTTCCAAGACCGTCTTGTCACGGAGGATGAGAAAAGTTGGACAGATGAACACATCGATAACGCAGCCATGGAGTACTTCCCGACGATCGACCGGAATGAAGCCCTACACAGACCGATCCTTTTTTCCAACTGGACCTCCAAATACTATATTCCTGTTGAGCGTGAGGAGCTTCGTGAGTACACGAAAGCTCGCCTCCGAGTCTTCTATGAGGAAGAACTGGACGTGCCACTTGTTCTCTTCAACGATGTTCTTGATCATGTCCTTCGGATTGACCGGGTATTCCGCCAGGTGCAGGGGCATCTGCTTCTTATTGGTGTCAGTGGTAGCGGCAAGGTAAGTACTACGTTCTCCTGAGCCAACCTACATCTGACTTCTGAGTAGACCACACTCTCACGTTTTGTCGCATGGCTTAATGGCCTTAGCATCTTCCAGATCAAGGTCTCCAATAAGTACACTGGTGATGATTTTGACGACGATTTACGGACAGTATTGCGCCGATCTGGTTGCAAGGGCGAGAAGATTTGCTTCATTATGGATGAGTCCAACGTCCTTGATTCTGGTTTCTTGGAACGGATGAATACGCTCCTTGCTAACGCTGAAGTTCCTGGTCTCTTTGAAGGAGATGAACACGCTGCACTCATGACAGCTTGCAAAGAAGGTTCTCAAAGGGATGGCCTGATGCTCGACTCGCACGAGGAGCTTTATCGATGGTTCACTCAGCAGGTCGCTAAAAATCTTCATGTCGTTTTCACTATGAACCCGCCTGAGAACGGCCTTGCTTCTCGTGCTGCTACTTCTCCTGCATTGTTCAATCGTTGTGTTCTTGACTGGTTCGGTGACTGGTCTGACCAGGCATTCTATCAAGTCGGAATGGAGTTCACGCATACGATTGACCTCGATCTACCTTCCTACACCCCTCCCGCACTCTTCCCCATTGCATACCGCGAATTGTCCATGCCACCAGTCCATCGCACAGCAGTGGTGAACGCATTGGTTTACGTTCATTCGTCATTGCATCAGATCAACCAACGTTTGAGCCGCCGGCAGGGTCGCTATAACTACGTCACACCGCGTCACTATTTGGACTTGTGAGTTTCATCGTCCTTACTTTGGGGTGGTATTGAATATTTTGTGCAGCATTAATCAATACGTTCGTCTCTTCAATGAGAAACGTGATGAGCTCGAGGAGCAACAGCGCCATCTGCATGTTGGTCTCGACAAGCTGAAGGATACCGTCACTCAAGTCGAGGAGCTGCGCAAGAGTTTGGCCATCAAGCGATCTCAACTGCAAGCGAAAGATGCTGAAGCCAACGAGAAGCTCAGGCGTATGGTTGCAGATCAACAGGAAGCCGAACAGAAGAAAACTGCTTCAATAGAGATCCAGGCGGCTCTTGTTGAACAAGATAAAAATATTGCGCAACGTCGTTCGGTTGTCATGGCGGACTTGGCTGACGCGGAACCAGCTGTCCTGGATGCCCAGTCCGCTGTTAGCAGCATCAAGAGGCAGCATCTCCAAGAGGTCAGAACCATGGCGAACCCTCCTGAAGCAGTGAAACTTGCTATGGAGTCCGTGTGTACCCTGCTGGGACACAAAATCGACAGCTGGCGTACTGTTCAGGGTATCATTCGTCGGGATGACTTCATTCAGAGGATCGTCAACTTTGACACCAATAGTCAAATGACGAAGCCCCTTCGCGAGCTGATGAAAAGGGACTTCTTGAGCCGACCTTCGTTCAACTTCGAAACAGTGCAGCGTGCGAGTAAAGCTTGCGGTCCCCTGGTGAAATGGGTTCTTGCTCAAGTACGTTTCTCCGAGATTCTCGACAAGGTGGAACCTTTGCGCAATGAGGTCCAATCACTGGAGTCGCAGGCAGATATGACAAAGAAACAGGCCTCCCAGATCATCACCATTGTCGCCGAGTTGGAATCCAAAATTGCGACCTATAAAGAGGAGTATGCATTGCTTATCAGCGAGACTCAGGCTATCAAATCGGAGATGGAGCGTGTGCAGAGTAAAGTGGACAGGAGCATGAAACTTCTTGAGAGTTTGTCATCGGAGAAAGGCCGTTGGGAGTCGGGGAGTCGCACATTCGACGCGGAGATGAGCACCATTGTTGGCGATGTCCTACTTTCAGCTGCCTTTTTAGCTTATGGTGGCTTCTTCGATCAACATTATCGTGAGGTCATGTGGCAAGAATGGTCGAGCCATCTTCACGAAGCAAGCATCAAGTTCAAGCCAGAGCTTTCGCTCACGGAGTATCTATCGACTGCTGATGATCGCCTGAGCTGGCAATCGAAGTCACTCCCATCGGACAATTTGACCACGGAGAACGCAATCATGTTGAAACGTTTCAACCGCTACCCTCTTATTATCGATCCCACAGGGCAAGCCACTACATTCCTTCTCAACGAATACAAGGACCGCAAGATCACTGTCACCAGCTTCTTGGATGAGGCATTCCTCAAGGTCCTTGAGAGCGCTCTTCGTTTCGGGAATCCTTTACTTATTCAAGATGTCGAACATCTCGACCCTATCCTGAACGCTGTGCTGAACAGGGAAATCCGGAGAACTGGTGGTCGTGTTCTCATCCGCCTTGGCAGCCAGGACATCGACTTCTCTCCTTCGTTTACCATGTTTTTGTCCACTCGCGACCCCTCCGTCGAGTTCTCTCCAGATATCTGCAGCAGGGTAACGTTTGTCAACTTCACCATGACGAGGAGTAGTCTCCAGAGTCAGTCGCTAGATCAAGTTCTTAAAGTCGAACGTCCGGACACTGAACGCAAGAGAACTGATCTGATGAAGGCCCAAGGAGAGTTCAGACTTCGCCTTCGTACGCTGGAAAAGTTGCTGCTGCAAGCTCTCAATGAATCAACGGGTAACATTCTTGACGATGACAAAGTCATCAGCACCTTGGAGACCCTCAAACGAGAGGCTGCGGACATTACTCACAAGGTTGAAGAAACGGATATCGTTATGAAGGAGGTTGAGCAAGTGACTGCGGAGTACCTGCCTCTGGCGCAGGCATGCAGTTCCGTCTTTTTCATTCTTGAGCAACTTAACCTGGTCAACCACTTCTATCAATTCTCGCTGCGGTTCTTCCTGGACATATTCGACTACGTTTTGCATCACAATCCTAATCTCAAGAACGTATCCGACCATCATCGTCGGCGCGAGATCCTCCTCAACGACTTGTTCTTAATCGTCTACAAGCGGACTTCTAGGGCTCTTCTTCATCGTGATCATGTGATGCTTGCCGTTCTTCTGGCTCAAGTCAAGCTCCGCGGAATGGAAGATATCAGCGATGGATTGGAGTTCCTGCTGGAGAGCGGGCAAGGCGTTGCAGTTTCTACAGCTCCCTCTACAGAGCACCCTACCCCTTCGATACTGACGCCAGATCAGATGATGCACTTGGAGAGCTATGCCAAACAATCCTTATTCAAGCCAGTTCTCAACAACATATTGGAGCACCCAGATGATTGGATTCCTTTCCTGCAATCGAGTAGTCCTGAATCTATTGTTCCAACTCCCTGGGAACCCAATACACGTGAGTGACCACACATTTCCATCGTGGGCGACCACTGATCAGATTGCAGCTGTCGTCGAAGCACTGCGTTCAATGCTGATTGTCAAGTGCCTTCGGCCCGACAGACTGTTGCAGTCCACAGCCCTATTCGTTCGAAATGTGTTCCAGAGCGACCTTTCATCTGATTTGGATCTGGGCGCCATGGTCGCGAATGAGGTGCCGGCAGTGACTCCTTTGGCCCTTGTATCGGTTACTGGTTATGATGCCAGTTACCGTGTAGAGAACCTCATACAATCTACTGGTGCACGTTCCTCCTCAGTGGCCATGGGTTCTCAAGAAGGTTTTACGTTGGCAGACCAAGCAATCGCAGCAGCATCCCGTCAAGGGACATGGGTGCTTCTGAAGAACGTGCATCTCGCTCCTACGTGGCTAGGACAGCTGGAGAAGAAGCTCCAGACATTGAATCCTCATCGAAACTTCCGCCTTTTCCTGACCTTAGAAGCGAATCCTTCCATTCCTGTAAACATCTTACGCCAGTCACGCATCATCATGAATGAGCCTCTGCCAGGAATCAAAGCAAACCTCTTGGACTCACTTGGATCCATAACGCCACAGCGGCTGGCGCAAGGTCCATCAGAGAAGATACGTCTGTACTTCCTATTGGCGTGGTTCCATGCTGTTGTCCAAGAGCGTCTCCGCTATGTTCCATTAGGTTGGAGCAAAACTTACGACTTCAACGACTCTGATATGGCCTCGGCTTTCGGAACCATCGACACTTGGCTCAATGCAGTTGCTAAAGGACGAGCAAACGTAGACCCAGCAAACATTCCTTGGGATGCCCTTAGAACGCTGATCAAGCAGTCCGTCTATGGAGGAAGAGTTGACAGTGATTTTGACCAGCGCATTTTGGACGCCTTTGTCGACAAGCTCTTTACCCCTGCTGCATACAACGTTGACTTCGACCTCGTTCCAACCATCGGTGAAGACCATGCGCTTGAAGCTCCTGATGGCACTAAACTAGAGCATTTCTTGACCTGGGTTCAACGCCTGCCTGATCGCGAACCACCTGCATGGCTAAGCCTCCCTCCAACCGCAGAGCGTGTTATTGCTGTAGCGCAAGGTAGGCAATATACATTTACACCGCCGCCTCTCTGATTGCTTCGTTTTCAAGGTAATGAACTGCTTGGTAAATTGCGCAAGATGCGGACTCTAGCAGATGATGACGAGCTCGGAAATGCCGCTGGTCCCTCAAAAGTCAGACCCCGCAGCAACCTGCATGGATGCGCAACCTTCACGAGCGATGTCGTGAGTGGCTTACGCAACTGCCTTCGGTGAGTTTCTTGACGGATTTGTTGTTTGCATGTTGCTCATTATTCTATTTCAGACATTGAATACTCTGCCAAAGCAATCCAATGACAATCCTGATCCTCTCTATCGTTTGTTCTTCCGGGAGGCCTCGATTGGACGCAAACTTCTCGACCAGGTTTGCAAGGACCTGGCAGACGTAGTGAAGGTGTGCGATGGAGAACTGAAGCAGACAAATCACTTGCGAACTTTGATGAGCTCCCTGACAAAAGGTTCTTTGTTGCTGCCCTTCTCCTCTGCATCGAATACTGATACATATTAGGAACTATTCCTTCTCACTGGAGGAGATACAAGGTGCCAAAGGCCATGTCCGTGTCAGAGTGGATTCCAGATCTGGCTCGTCGGTTGACCCAGCTCGATGGCATAACGAGTGTGCAACAAAATCTTTCCAACGTGGAGGTGTGGCTTGGTGGACTGTTCTTCCCCGAAGCATATATCACAGCGACCCGTCAAGCTGTGGCGCATCGCAAACGGTGGAGTCTTGAGACGCTTCACCTGCGCCTAGACATTGGCCAGATGAACGATCCCGGTGCATTCATTGTTGATGGTATGTTGTTTCCTTCCCCTCCCTTCTCGCCTCACTCGAACAACGCCTTTAGGCCTTATTCTGGAGGGCGCTGCTTGGGACACCGAGAATGAAAAGTTGATCCTCAATGACGGGCAGGCTGTCCGACTCAATGCCTCTCAAGTTCGCTGGGTGCAAGATGACTCCAGTAACGAGGAACAGCCTACCGACCTAGTCACGTTGCCAGTTTACCTCAACAATGACCGCAGTGATGTGATGTTTACGGTGGATCTACCATTTGATAGACATTCAGCGTCGCTGGTAGCAATGAGGGCTGTTTGTCTCACCGCAAGGGGTTGAGCGCTTGAGCAGTGACTTAGATTCTGACCATTGGCATGCATAATGTACCATACCCATATCATGATACCATTCCTTCGTTTACATTTTATGACAATCATGGACTAATTACATATATGATGATCTGTTGATATATCTTGCAATATGTGCTGCGTACTCTGGTAAGGAACCCTACTGCCGCTTCAAATTCCTCGATATCATATGGAAAACTGTCACCTGGAAGCCTATCGCTATTCTGCAGGGTCACTTCAGGAATGTCCAGACCATCATGATCTCCTTGTTGAACCACTGGACGAGACGACGCTGTTCTTCGGCCTAATCGCGTTCGGGACCATCGGGGCCGCTCGCCCACTCGGGCGGCCTGATACCGTATTGAGTCTGGCCTATTTCACTCTTCGTTCGAGTCATACCTCCCCCACATCACCTTCCCCTCCTCTCATCCCCCGATGCGTATTGCTTCCAATGATAATATTAATTCTGCCGGCATAGTAGATCTAGTGCACACACGACCTCTGGAACCAGTGAGGCGGACTTTTTCAGACCAATCTGTGAATTTCTTATCTGTTTCTCTCGGTGGAATTTCACTATTTTAATAATATGACACCGTGACAGCTTGCTGTCATAGTGTGCGACCACGACACCGCCCTTCAAGCTTCAAGATTGTGAAGTGATCGTGACGGATACAGCATGGACGGGCGCCCAACTTCCTTGACTCTAAGCCATACACCCACTGTTTCAGTTTGTGCCCCTCTGTGGTGATTAAAGCATCGAGTTGGTGTTCACTGCGATTGTTTCTCGTGAGTGATACTCTAGGCGCTTCCGCAAGGCAAAGCTGACCGGTCGACCTGTAGTTGGGACCAAGTAAAAAGGAACGACTACATATCCTCATTCTGCCATGGTTTCTAGGGCCCCGAGGTCTAGAAACCCGCAAGATAGACTCCCGCGAAAAACAGCAGCGGTCAGGCCCCGCCTAACGCTGCAAGGCCATACCCATCAGGTACGAGGTGTTGTACACCTTCCTGGCAGACGACGCATCGTCACATGTTCGGAAGATGGCTCACTTCGACTATGGGACCTAGAGAGCGGTGTACAAATAGGAGGCGACTGGCAAGATGAGAGTACCCTGGGGGAAATGTTCAGCATAGCATTGTCTCCAAACGGTAAGACTATCGCCAGTGGAAGCGTCGATGGAATTGTCAGGCTGTGGGATGTGGAGACGGGGAAGGTTATTGCCAAATGGACGGGGCATACTCAGGGTGTGTGTTCAGTGTGCTGGAGTGGAGATGGTGAGCGAGTCGCGAGCGCATCCTTCCAGGACGGGATGCTAAGAGTGTGGGATGCTAAGAACGGTAAAACTCTTCTGGAACCAATCAGGACCGGACACTCGCGGGTGTTTGAGATGAGCTACTCTCCCGACAATACGAAAATTGCGACGGGTGGAGAGCGCGAGGGAGAGCGCGAGGATGAAGTGAGAATATGGAATTCCAAGACAGGCAATCTACTTTTCAACTTCAAAGAGTCGGACGCCGCAGACACCGTAGACTTCCACGACACGGTTTTGATCCGGGGCTTGGTATGGGTGTCAAATGGAAAGAAGCTTATCGTTGCCTCAGCCTCCTCGATCTTCTCAAACTCCCGGATATTGATATGGGACACTGCCACTTGGAAGACTATCGATTATCTTGGGGGTTGTAATGCAATTTTTTGTGGCATCTCCTTGTCTCCAAATGACCGCATCCTTGCAAGTGGATCAGATGATTGTACAGCGCGTCTGTGGAATCTTGACACCAACCTCCAAATCGGCCTACCCCTCCGACACGAAAATTACGTCAAGTGCGTAGCCCTTTCTGGTGATGGAAAGGTGCTAGTCACCGCTTGCAAGGACGGAAATGTGTACGTGTGGGACATGTATGCCATCCTAGAAGAAGCTGGTCTTGACTCAGGCCTCCTGTCCATTCCCTATGTGAGTGAATCTCTCATGGCTCTTTCATCAGTTCCTGCTCTGACCTCTTTTCCCTCAGTTGCTCGGTATCTATCACCGTTTCAGGCTGTGTGCCCTCGCTCCAACCGTGCTCCTCAGCCGCCTTTCTTCGCTTTTCCGTCCTTCCCAAACCATCTCCAGTTCGCAAGGCCAAGCGCAGGCCTAGTGTCTCGAGATCCACGCCACCACTCGCTACTACCATGCCGGATGCAGCGGTCGCGCAATCATGACGCCTTCCACTGTGGTCTCATTCTCTCTCTCTATCCTCTTTCATCAGTTACATCGCTCATCGATGATAGTTTTAGAGTACACGTGGACCATAACAGAGCTTTAGAATAGGGGAAACGGTAACCTGTATGACTGTCGTGATGTGGGACCATGACACCAATCCATGACCTCCTTGTAAACCGTATGATATCCTGGCCACGAGCGCAGGAGGCACTGGCACCGGAGTTCCGGAGGTGGCAAGGAAGGGTCAACGTCAGGGCAGTATTTGGAATACAGCGCGGCGACGGTATGCTGTATCGCCTGCAAATATGCTGAATGGGTAAGGACATCAAGTACAAAAATTGACAGTGGAAACAAGATTCAAGGCGGAGGAAATATGGCATCCTGTGGAATGATTGTCACCACCACCATGAAAAGATCCGCACAACGCCGGTAGACTCGGACTCGAGCACTTGGTGTACACACTCACTTAAATCGTGGAAGAATGATCACGGGATATCATTGACGGGCGCCCAACTTCCTTGACTTCGATCTAATTAATCGTTCGAAACGTATACTGAGATTGGACTTTTCCAGGGTGTGGGTGGTGATATACCCACCTAAAAAAATGAACATTGCAACGGGTGGAGGCCCGCTGAAGGTTGTGTAAAAATCTGGATCAGATGGAAATAGGCTTCAAATTTCAAAGTTATCATATCGCTCGACTAGCCACCTTCAGTGAGCGATCATGAACACTTGGTTACCGCCATCAAGTTATATCCAAACATTTGACCGGTCGACCGCCTCCTTACAAGTGCGTATTATGATAACACAGCACGTCTCTGGAATCTCGCCACGAACCTCCAAATCGGAGTACCCATCCAGCATGACACCAGCATCTAGAAGCTACGCGACATCCAGCCCAGCGCAAGATTCCCCTTCGTGGATATGGTTGAGGATAAAAGTGGTGAACCGGTATGGACTGGCGATACGTTGAGACATAAACCGATTGTAATTTAAAAGATGCTACTTGTCACGGTGACCTCGGGTGCGCCAACATGTGGGATGGGATGTAGCCCGACGCAACATAATTTAATTTTTTTTTGTTGACTGGGCGTTTTGCGCACACAACTTGAGCGCGTGTAAAATATGTTTGCTGCCATTATATTGCAACCCTGCAATTCTACATAATATTTTTACTTTTACTCGTTAGCAAGTATACGCCAACTAAGAATTGATGCGTCCACCATCCGAAGAAGTTCCGTCTGAACGAATTTTAGACAAATCGTACAACGGCGGAAGGTTCTTCAAGTTCTGAGTGCGTTGTTGTTGGAAATCTTGGTAAACCTGATCCTTGTTTGACCTTGAGAGGAATTGGATTGAGGCACCCCTGTCGTCGTCGTTATTGGATGTGATATTACCAAAGTTGAAGCTACATTCGTCAAGGTCAGTGCCAGAGTCGATATATGTCAATAGAAAGAACTTACACAGAGTAGACGTTGCGCATGAATATATCACCAAGCAAAAAATCCATATCCGAGCCTGTATTCGACAGTTGCGGACGGAATGCGGAGGTGCAAACAGTGTATTGAGCATTGCCGTCAGTAAAAGTTGCAAGCCTCGTCAATTCAAGCGGGTTAATGGGCAAATAATCGTTGCTAAGGCTCTGGTCAATAGATATTCAAGATTGAAAACACTGGAATCACGAACCCGAATGAGAAAGACAAATTTGCCTGGTCTAAACACGGTACAATCCAGAAATTTTGCCCATTAGTTTGAATGTGAACCGATCCGCTTATGGCACCGTATATCGCATCCACAGCGTCGGAGGGAATGTACGCCAAACTGGTTCCGCTGGTCGATGAGAGAAATAGCAGTCCCCTTCTTCGCTCCCTTGACTGTCGACTTGAGTGCCACGTTGTGGCCATTGACCTGCATGCCCGATAGCGCGATAGTCCAGCGCGATGACGTCGAAGGCGCAAGGGGGTATTTAGGTGTCCCGGAGACATCCTTGAATCGTGGATCGTATTCTCCAATCGTGATAGCGCCTCCAGACGTATTTTCACTATCAATCGTGCGCTCGAGCGCCAAAGCCATAAAATTCGGTGTTGACGGATTTTGTTCAAAAAGGTTTGCCATTATAGGACGGGCGGCTTTGTTCTTGATTTTTTTCTCGATCATGGATAGTGATATAAAGCCAAGGCCGAGAATTCCATCAGTCGCTTGCTTGTACGGTTTGTCGACATTTAAAAACGCTAAAGATAATAAGGAGAAGTCAAAGGAAAGTTTGATAAGGGTCACCTTGATTTTGCACTTGATAAGTCCCGAGTTGAACAGTGGTATAAGCGATGTTTCCTGAGGCGGAACCAATTCCATATGTGAGGTTGATATTGTCAGATGTCTTGCTGTTAATCTTGATTTGTTGACCAGTGACCCACTTGCATCGATACAATAAGTTCGAATATGAACTACAAAACAGAGCACTGCTCACCAGATCGCTGGACCCGGTATCGAGTACTAGGTTGAAATCTAGGTCGGAAAGGTCAGTGAGTGTAGCCCCTAATAAGATGCACTACTTGCCATGTCCTCCTACGTTGACCTGCCCGAGGTACTACACGGAGATTAAATACACATTTGTGACCGAGTTCGCAATGCGTATACTCACCTCTAAGTCCGATTCACTAGTAACTGAAATGAGTGATCCAAAAGTTGTGTTCGTAGCATCGATTGTTGGTTTGTAATAAGCATTAAAATAAAATCCAGTCGAATGGTCGTCCCTAATGATGGCGAGGGCATTGCTTTCCAGAAGCTTGCCGCAGACGATGAGAGCGAAGGCAAAAGTGGCGAAGTGCGTTGAGGACATACTTGCTATGTTGAATGAATGAATGAATGAATGAATGTTGAAAGGTGGATAAATGACAGACATTCGTTTATCGGATTATAAACAGCCAGAGTATGCGGATATTATTGTTATCCGAGTCGTCGATGACGCAGGTCTGTTCATTCTACTGAATTGATTTTAGTTCAAACGAACTAACCTTGACAGTGTATGACGTCGTGACACTTGAGAACTTCTGAGACATTGCGGATGCAGCCGCGGAAACATCAAAAGCACTGAGGGAGATAGTGATACTTTGAGAGTTTTCTGTCTTGCTGATCGCGAGAAAGCATCGAATTATTCAATCCATGACAGCCTGGGGGATATAGCACGTCCGAAAGGACGATACGAGTGGTAGGGGAGGTGTTTAGCGAGAATTACAATTCGGACTGGAGCGTCACAGGCGAGACCACTAAGTATGAGCCCGAGCGATCCGGCCGATGCATACCAAGGTTCTAATAGTTTGTGCAACATTCTATACAATCAAAATATGAGTCTACGCCAAAATACTGAGGAGCGAGCACTGGACGATTCATGCATAATCCACCCTGCAGATTTTTGCCATCTGCCCCTTTATGTCCACGCCAACGAAAGCGAACGTAGGGGTGTTCCCGATTTGAATATTCCACTTCATCGATCAAATCCCCTGTGTTGAAAGCACGCGCCTTCACAGCAAGGCCATTCACACATACAAGATCGTTTTCCTAAGGGTCTGATTAGCATTCTTCTATGTCTATTCGATACCGCCAAAAATCATTGGAGGAAACAACATTCTGATCCGCTGACTGCCATCGCGTCGCAGTGCGGATTGGTGTCCAATCGGTAGAAGAGTAAGTCACATACCATTGAAGCTGAGCCGAAACACAGCTTAAGAGTCTACAGTGCTCCCTCCCGCTACCTCCAGTATCTTCCAATCTACTTCGATCTGCTCCTGCTGGAATATTTCCTGTATTTTTCCAGCGATACTATCAAAATTGTGAGTTGCAAGCGCAAGGATGGTCGGCCCTGCACCAGAGAGGCAAATGCCTAGCAGCCCAGGATGTGAAGCAGGCGTAATTGAGGAAGTGAACCGCTGGCAGGCCAGGTATCTGAAATGGTAGTCAAGAAGTGGAACCTACACAGAATAAAAACTACGCACAAGAGTTTTTCGATACGGCTGATGCACGCGATCTTTCATAGCCTCAAAAATTAATTCTGGGTCTGGTGGCGTCTGACCGAGAGCTGTGGTGAGGACGGCTAATCGTTGCATATTAAAAACCTACGAGGATATGGGTGTGTTTATTCAAGACATTATACTTTATACATATACGAGAGCACGTACCAGATCTTTCCTCGAGTAACTCTCTGGTAGAACAGCTCGTGCTTTTGCAGTACTGAGTTCAAATCGGGGTATAATGGCAACAGCTTTGATGCTGCTGTTCCATTTAAATCGGACGTAGTGGCCGATACCCAACGGTGGAACAGGTGGGGAAAGACCCCAGTCTTCTCCAGCATCAGGCGGGTATTCCGGCAAGACTTCAGAGAGGGGTACTTGTGCTGCTTCAGTAGCTTGTGGGTCTAGCTCTCTAAGGTATGATCCCACAAATCCTCCAACAAGCGCAGCTGTCACGTTGTCGGGGTGGCGCTCGACCATGAGCGCGTAGTCTAACATTCGCTCTCGGGAAAGGTTGAGTTTTCCGAGACTGTCTCCGAGGAGAACGCCTGCAATGACCGCTGCACCGGACGAGCCAAGTCCGCGTCCAAAAGGTATTTGGTTGTGGCAGTGAATACTAAGGTCGGGAGGGAATGTTCTATGGCCATTACAACGTAGCACGTAGAGTGCTACACGAGTCATGAGGTTGCGGTAGGGGTCTAGCGGGACTTCGTCGGCTCCTTCACCCGAATATGTGATCACTGGTAAGGTAGAGGTCTCCCCGATGGTGACAGTGAGAGTGAGATAGAGTGAAAGTGACAAGCCGACAACATCGAAACCAGGACCAATGTTGGCCGAGGTTGCTGGAACTCGTATGATAAACGAGTTGGTCATGTCCGAGTCAGTGATAAACTATATATGATGGGTAAGAAAAGATCTGGATGCATTATAAATAGATCTGCAGACCTTATACGTAGAAGAAGCGGAGGGAGCTGATCGTCGACAAAAGCCGGCGAAGGGAGTTTTTCAAGTCAATATTATGATCTGGCAATTGCGGCCGATCAAAAGATCACTTTGGTTTGTTTGGATCTAAGGCTTTTGCCAAACAAACGCCTCGACTTACATAATCTTATGATAAAGGGAAAAATATTTCGTATCATAGAATCCACACTTGGAGAGATTCAGAGGCTGATGTGGCTATTGCATAGTAACTTGACCCTTCTGAACTCGCTACTAAAGCTATCAACTATCTTTTCTGGAAGCCTCTGATCACTCTGAGCTCGCCAACCAGTGAAGAACATCACTTTCCTCCATTAAATTACTATTGCCCGTGTGCATAAAAATCAAGACTGGGGAGACCCTTGAACCCGAACCACCACCACGGTCGGATTTTCCCACGCATGAAAATGCTGGCAAGGTCGAGCAAACCATGCTCACAGCGAAATACTGGCCCATATCACATCACACACCACCACTCCTCACATGATCGCAAACATGCAATATACAAACCAAATCTACCCTACCACAAATGAGGTACAGCTTAGAAACCAGCCTACTGCAAAATATCACCTGCCAACCCCAACCCAGAAATCACAACACAAGGTACTCACCACGAACCACCTACCATCCGTCTCTATTACGCCTAGAATGCCAAGAAAACACAGCCCAAACCTGAGTAAAGAACGAACCCCCCCTGAAATGAAAAACCTGCACCCCAAAGCTAAAACACGAGGCCAACACACACCCCTCGTCTAACTCTCCACCACGCAAAGTCCACTTAAATTGAGTAAAAGAACACTAAGAAACATCAAATCCCTAAGCGCACCCCCATTAAACTTAACCCTCGCCCCCTAAATACTCCAGACATCAACTCAAGACACTCATTAATAGGTAATAAAACACAGCTCACCTCGAGTTCCCTCCCTGAAACTGCATGTCTCCTTCTGAGCCCGAGTCCAAGCCAAACCGTATAAATATCTCCCACTCACAAAACTAAATCCCCGCCCCCCCAGGTAACATGAAAGAGATATCTAGCATTAAGTCGTTGGCAACTGCTGCACGCCCTAACCCTCTGGGCATCCGACCCCCATCTAGAGCAACCCAAGGTGGCCCAATCCATTTCCCCCCTGACCTCCTTGAAGTAGACAACGATGATTCTATGGCCCCCCCTCCCCCTGTTGGAGACACTGACACCACGCCGTCCCCGCCAGACACCCCAACACCCACGCCAAAAATGACGGCCTGCAGCTACCCACCCACACCACAGAATCGTCTACCTACGTCCCTCCCCCACTGGACAAAGAAGAAATGGAAGAACTCCCCGATATCATCCTTCCTTCCCTCCCTCCCCCCCCCTCATGGAGGACAGAGAACAATGTTATCACACCCTACCCCTCCCCCACTCCCGTTCTCCCCCTCTGCGCCAGAGACCTCTGAGGAAGAAGATCTCCGTGCTCAACTTGAAGTCGCTGAAACGAATAGATCCATTATTCGTGTCCACGCCCCCTCCGCACCAAACACCATGCCCTACTTTACCCCCCACCCCCGAAGGCGGGTTCCCTATAATCCACCTCTCACATGCCGCCTCTCCATTCGACCACATCGATCATGAAATCATTAATGCATGGATCCAGGTCGGAGACCCCAAGTTTCTCGTCCGTGTCTTCGACTATGACGGAAAAGACCATGAGAACATGAACACGGTCATCACCCAGTGCATCCGCAACTCAATTGCAGAGATCGTGAAGACCCACAACCTGGGCCCTATCAACGTGCGAGTTGCCCCCCCTCCCCCGCCAACGGTATAAACGCCAAGGAATTCCCCAAAACATTTTTAGTCTTTGACATCCAAACTGGAGGTGATGAACATGATCATCCACCAATGCATCTGGTCCAGCCAAGAGATCACGATTGAAGCCCACCCCTTCATATCCCGTGAACTACCCACTACATTCTTTTGCCTTAATGGATTCACCACAACTAATGAGAATTGTGTAAGGAAAGCTGTCTACGATACCTGGACCTCCCCACAAGTCCTGGGGAACATAGTTGTAATCCTCGAAAAGAGTGAAATCCCCCTTGACAGATGCTATGACGCAGCCATGTACCTCTGCGACTCCATCTCAGTCGAATTCATCGACTACAAAGGGCCGAAGGCCATCTCACTCCCACACTTTAACATCTATGCAAAATGTCCATCCAACAGACCCAAAATCTGGACGAACCTTGGAGCTACCTTGATGACCATCCACTACCCCACCCCCCTCGATGGCAAAGGCATTGCCATCCCCTTCACTACATGCAGCCTCTGCCATGCCATTGGCCACCCAACTGGCTTATGCAAGTTCCCAGACCTTCCCCTTTGGAATGGTCCCAAACACAAGAACAAATCAGCCAAGTACACCCCAAAAGTGCGGGGGAAAGGGAAAGATGCATGCAGAGTCTAACCACGACATGTGGTTCCACCCCTACATACAATACTCATCCATATCACCACCAACGTAAATATACAACTCACCTATCCCACCAGTCTGCTACTCATGTCGAATAACAACTGCTGAATGTCACCCCCTTTTTTTGACTGAATCCCACACACCGAAATAAAAACACGGAAACAACGAATGCCCGAAAATATTGTATTGACCTGAAGCTTTACACTAACAATCTTGAGCATACCGTCAGGATCTACACAAGAGCGAGATAATGTGTAGAACTACAAAGACTGTCTGCCCACATATACTGACCGCATGCAGGACAGGAAAGCAGCACGGTCATGTCTCCCCCCCGGCATAAGCCAAACACAGAGGCCTATTGAGGCCAGAGCGAGCCGTGCCGAGAGGCTGAAGTCCCTGTAAAGGGCGGGGATGGAGCTTTGGGCCCCCCCCCACCCAATACCTGGACATAGTTCACTGTTAATTGGCCAGGATATGTCAGTTCTACCCTTTGTCATGATTGTATGAAAGGACTAGTACCACGATCACCACAAACCAACACCACCTTCTCCCCTCCCAATACGGTAATGTCACTGGCCTCAGCACACACCTCCTAGAGAACAGAGGAGGGCCACCTTGCGCCACTGGGAGACCCTCCTATGATGTTCCCCGGGAGTTCAGAAGTGGGACCCCCACAACAAAGACTAGAGGCTCAGCAAACACTGAGCCAACCCCTCGCAGGGATTCACGCACAACCAAACAACAACCGAAACACAAACGAGCAACAACAAGCTCTAGCCCAACCCCATACATCAATACCTAAGAAGAAAAAAACGAGAGCAAACATACTAATTGGTACCCTCAACATCAACAGGCATGCTTCGAGCACCCTAGGATCAGGACAAATATCTAAATGGACAACAGTCAACCAAATAATGCGTGAAAAAAGAATAGGCATACTTTGCCTTCAAGAAACCCACCTCATGAATGAACATGAAAACCAAATAGCAAACCTCTTCTCAAGGAGACTGCTTGTACTAAACTCTAGTGACCCTGCTAGACCAGGTAGCTCAGCCTGGAGTCGCCTTCGTAATAAACAAAGAACTCACCACCGCCGACGAAGCAAAAATGACAACACTTATACCAGGCCGTGCCGCAGCTCTAACCATAAGATGGCATAACGAAAAAAACAATAACAATACTGAACATATATGCACCGAACGACACAAGCGAGCACCCGTCCTTCTGGGAAAAAGTAAGAGCAAAATGGAACGAATAAAATTTAAATAACCTAGACTTCCTACTAGGAGACTTCAACCTCACCAAAGACCCGATAGATAGGGCTCCTGCATGACTTGATAACGAGAACACTATTGAAGCATTGAGAAATTTCAGAACAGAAATGTGCCTGCAGGACACATGGCAAATGACCCACCCAAATAAATGTATGTTCACCTACACCAGCGGTAACTTATCGATGTCGAGACTAGATCACATATACACAGCGAGCAACCATGAAGAGAGTATAACAGACTGGATCACAGAAATAAGCAAAGTACCCATGGACCATAAACTAGTACTAACCCATTTTGCCCCCCCAGGCCTCCCACATATTGGGAAAGGTCGTTGGACATGGCCAATCAGCATCCTAACAGACGAAGACCTATTAAAAAGGATAAATGATATCGGCATGGAAGCACAAAACACCATCGAAAACGCAAATGCCCACGAAGGACAAACCAACATACAAGCCACCTGGAAGGAATTAAAATCCAAAATGAACTCCATTGCGAAAGACACAGCCAAAATACATCTAGCAAAAATAAACAAAAGAATAAAACAACTAACAAAAGACCTACACAGAATGGCCAATGAACATAACCTTGGTGGAGAAGAAAATGTAAGAACAAACTATATCCTCCTCGAAAAAGAAATTGAGCACCTACAATCAAAATATCAGAAAAACGCAAACATTAAGGCCCAAGCCCAATGGGCCACTAAAGGAGAAACCATATGTAAGTACTGGTCAAAGATAAACAGCTTAAAAAAACCAAGGGACATAATCCACCGACTGTGAAACCCCGAAACAAACAGAATGACAACAAAATCAGAAGAAATGGCCGAAATTGTGAAAGAATACCACGACAAAATACAAGAAAAGGACGAACTAACCAACAATATATTTATGAGGCAAGCAACCATAACAGAAACATTAAACAATATACCTGAAACACAAAATTTCAACTCACCGTCGAGTCCTCTACACCACCTCCTGCAAGAAGAACATATCCTAGACGCCCTAAACTTCTTCAAATCTGGAAGTGCCGCAGGCATAGATGGAATACCCTATGAAACATGGAAAAAATTACATGAACGACACAAAACAAATAGTGAAGAAAAAAAACCAAGCTTCAACATAATCAAAACCCTTACGAGCGTAATAAACGACATACAGCTAAACAGTATAACACAAGAATCAGACTTCACGTTAGGATGGATGTGCCCACTTTACAAAAAGAAAGAACGCACCCTGATAGAGAACTACTGACCAATAACATTACTGAATACCGACTATAAAATATTAACAAAGGCCCTCGCTATGCAACTCGGGAAAGAAATACATACATTGGTACACCTGAACCAAAGTGGTTTCATACCCAAGAGATCAATCTTTGACCTGATTAGACTAGCCCAAATAATGACCGCATACGCAGACATCACCAAAGAAGACAGAGCTATAATCACATTAGACCAAGAAAAAGCCTTTGATAAAATAAAACATGATTACCTGCTAGAGACATTGAAAAAATTCAAGCTACCCCCTCTCTTCATCAACACCGTAAAATCCCTATACGAATCAGTGTTCACAAAGGTCGCCATCAACGGCTTCCTTAGCACTCCATTCCAAGTCACATGAGGCATGAGACAAGGAGACCCCCTCTCATGTCTCCTCTTTGACCTAGCCATCGAACCATTAGCATGCACCTAAGAAACTCACCGAATCTACAAGGATTCCAAATACCTGGCCTACAAGATAAAATTTTAGTAAATCTATACGCAGACGACACAACAATATACCTATCCAAAAAAGACAAATACCCCAACCTCAAGAGCATCCTAGACACATGGTGCTCCGCTTCGGGCGCGAAATTCAACCTAGAAAAGACAGAAATCCTCCCCATAGGATTGCAGACACACAGAGCCACTGTAGTCACAAATAGAAAATTAAACGAAACAGACGAACCATGGAATGACCAAGTCAAAATAGCAAGCGATGGAAACCCAGTCAGGACACTAGGAGCCTGGATAGGGAATAAGCTAGACCACGAAGCGACATGGGAACCAACACTCACAAAGATAGAAAAATGTCTAGCCAGATGGAAACTAGGCCACCCCACGATAGAAGGGAAAGATTAATCATTCAAATGGTTGTAGGAGGAATGACGCAATTTCTATCCAAAGCGCAAGGCATGCCGAAACACGTTGAACTAGCGCTTAAAAAACAATTAGAAACTTCATCTGGGATAACCGTAAGTCCTCACCAATAAGCCTTGAACAATTATACCAACCAAAAGACAATGGAGGCATCGGCCTTATAAATATAAACACTAGACACCAGGCCATAGAGATAACATGGCTCCATACCTACATGGACATATCACCAACACGCCCATCATGGGCTACAGTAACAGACCACATCATAAACACCCTAAGACCGGAAAGTATGCGAGACACGACTGACCCAAGAGCCTTCTTAACGACCTGGGAACCACCCACACAAGGACAAAGGGTGAACAAATTGCCTAAACAAATCACCACAATGCTCAAAACTGCAAAAAAACACAATGTCAACTTCGCTCCACTAAAATTAACGAAGACCCTACAACAACAGATGCCAGCTTGGAACCATATTGGAGCACCTCCCAAAATGTACCGGAAAACAAAAGACTCCTGCCTTCAGAACACACATAAGATAATCACAATAGAAGAACTAACAACACTCACTTACCAGCTAAACATACCTGGAAGACACCATGCAAGGAAAAACTGCGCCTGTGATGAATGCAAAAGAGATAGAACATCTGGATGTAAAAACCCCCACAAATGCGCTAACACAGCAGACGAAATACTCCGAAAACTCCCACCCAAATTCCAACCCAAAATGCCTCCAACAAAAGACAATTTAACACTAACGCATAGAAGAAAAGAGAAGAACGCCCGAGCAAGAGCAGGAGAACAAGACAAAATCACCTTTAACCCGTCAATAACTGAAAACAATCTATCTGAGTGCTTTAGAATCTTCGCAAATAGATTGAATCTCACCTGCACTCCTGCTTATCAACTAGGACTCCCTCCAATAAGAGAAAATACAAGTGAAACACCCATAAATGCATACATGGACGGATCATGCAAACACAACGGTAAAGCAAATGCAATATGCGGAAGCGGCATATGGATAGCAGAAAATCACCCACTAAATAAGGCAATTAAGTACCCGGCAAAGAACAATCAAACCAGATAGGATAACTCACCGCAATACTAGTCACACTACAAACAGTCAACCCATACACACCACTAAACATAATTACAGACTCAAAATACGCCATAGACGGACTAATGCAAAACCTACAAAGTTGGGAAGATATAGGCTGGATAGGAATATCAAACAGCGAAACACTAAAAGCAATAGCCTACCACTTACGAAGATACACCGCGACAACAAGCTTCCAATGGGTGAAGGGCCATAATGAGAACGAAGGAAACGAACATGCCAACAACCTAGCCAACATAGGGGCCAAAAAGCCCCAAGACGATGAAGTCAACTCAAGTATCCCAGAAAACTTTAACCTACAGGGAGCAAAACTACAATCAGTATCACAAGCCATTGCATACCAAGGCATAATGGAACAAACACACACAGAATATAAGAGAAAAACACTAGAACTACTTGATGTCACAAGACATGCCATCCACAAAATATCGAACAAATGGGAAACAGATAAGACCATATGGAAAAGCTGCAGGAAAAAGACATAAGTAAAAACATCCAAATTTTCATATATAAATCGCTACAAAACGCTTACTGGGTTGGAGACTTCTGGACAAACATACCCACGCACAAACAGAAAGCACTCTGCTTAACATGCAGAGGAGAAACAGAAACAATGGAACATATTCTAGCTGAATGTGGACATCCATCCAAAAACTGATATGGAAATTAGCAAAAGACATTTGGCCAACAAAACACGGCCCATGGCACACATCAAAAATCGGAACAATCCTGGGATGTGGCGCCCTAGAGCTCCCAAAAAACAATGACCCCAACACACAGAACAAGGAAACAGCAGAAAAAAGAGGAGCATCACGCCTACTAAGAATCCTGATATCCGAGTCAGCACATCTTATCTGGACACTGTGATGCGAACGCACAATAAGCGGAACAATACACTTGGATCGCGCCGTGACAACACGCTGGCTGAGTAAAATAAACAAACGACTACAAATAGACCGGGTAATAGCATGCAAAACAAGACGAAATAAAACGTCTATATCCCAAGTTCAAAACACTTGGGCTGACATAATCACTCCCACACCATGTAAAAACTGGGTCACCACCCTCGAGGGATTAGTGGGTATTAAACTATCAAGGCCCCCCGCAGCACGAGGAAACAGGATAGGATACAGAGCCCCACACTACCCTACAAAACATAGGGTGTGCGTAAGAGCATTTTTCCTCGGACGATATCTAGATAGGTATCGTGTTGGAAAATTATATTTTTAGTTGGCATGCCTTAAAATGGATTGGAAGGCCTCAATTTGCCGGCGGCATTACGACTCGCTTGGAAGACAACCCGAAAATTTTGGAAGCTGCTTGGAAGCGATACAGAAAGTCTTTCAAGTGGGTCCCAAGACCATTCCAATGCAAGGGCAAAATTTTGAACTTAACCTGATTGGAACTCATTGTAAGCGATAAATGTCCTTCCAAGGCCAAAAAGCAAATTTGGACCCATTAATTATAATTTAAATAATAGCACTACTAATAATATCCCATTTTCCTTCCAATCTCTCCCATTTCTTATATCCCAGTCACCTTTACAATCATAATTTCCTAGAAATAATAATCCCAGTCAGTCGGAGACAACAGTCAGACACAAGAGAGAAGCAGCTAACAATAAAACGCACCTTGCCGTTCTTAATTGCATGCTCGAGGAATATGGAGTGGAGGCGGATCACAGTGCAGCATGCTCAATCCAGCGACGTCAGTTGACGGGACACTTGTAGTTTTCACGCTCGATAAAAATGCTGGAGTCGATTGGTTCAGAGGTTGACTGATGGATGGCGAGGGGTAAGATGTATAAGTAGTAGAGGGAGATTGTTGTGATACTGGAGGTGGGAATGCAGAGAAGACCAGTTCAGAGAGGTTGATGGATGGATGGCGAGGGGTCCAGGGAAGATGTATAAGTAGTAGAGGGAGATTGTTGTGATACTGGAAGAATGCAGACTACATAGCTCGTTGAGGGTATGCAGGTTGAGCTGGGTATTGATACTATGTTGTCAGAGAAGCGAAGTCGGCCGCGGCAGGTTGAGGGACTTGTGACAGAGATCTCAGCTGGGTCAGGGATTTGACAATGATGGACACAGATGATGCGTACCTGTTGCAGAATTTGGATGTGCCTCTGTGCAGTGGCATCCCAAGCATTCGATTGTAGGGCGTGTTCCTTTCAATGGGTCAGGGTAAATTCAAGTTCGCTCAGGACTTGTGCTCTCGATATCTGACCAGACGTTGCCTAAGAAAGTATTATCAAAGTCAATGAAAACTGTAACCAAAACAAATTTTAACGTACCTGGACCATCGAGCTTAAACTGTTGCTGCATTGTTACCGATGTTGTTGACAGAAAAACGACATGATTGTCGTCTGTGAAGGTTGTAACCAAGTGCAAGAGGGTGCAAGTTCAACTCAATTTACTGGCAATGATTATTATGTAATGCTAACCGAGAACACCCGACGACGAAAACAAAGTCTCTACCATAGAGCATGGCTGAGGCAAACATCATAGTGAATCATGAATATACTAATAGATACATCACATGTAAACCTGTAATCTGAATCTGATTGAGTCAATGAATCAAAAATCTGCTACTTCTTCGATCGGCCAGACCTTCGCACTTCAAGATCCTCAGCAGCAGCACCTGGGCCCTCAGCACCAGCACCAGCCTTAGTCTTGCGCCTGGGCTTGGGCTTGGGCTTAGGCTTCTGAACGAGAGGAATGGGTGGCTGTGAGCCTTCGTTGAGTGCAGCTGTGTTATCAATAGGTGGTATTAATAGCTTGCGGTCCTCTGCCATAGCAAGACCTTGCATAGCCGCAGATATAGATTGAGGTGTGCCGACGATGATTGGTGTTTTGTCAATGGCCACACTATTAGCAGTTGATAGTGGGGCATCTTCTTCAGTGAGTGGTGATGCAGCTCGAGGAACATCAGGTTCTGGCAGATCACCACCCATTTCCATTGCGCGCTCAAAATCCTGTTCCCAGGTGTTGCGCAAAGTATTCTCACCCCTCAGGTCTCCAAGGAGAGTAGTCGTAGAGGAAGAAGTAGCGAAAAGAGAGTTGTTGAAGAAGGTGTAAATGCTATCTGCCCAGGCGCCACCGGTCATCAGAGATTGACGATAATAGTTGTGATACTCCTTGTATGAGATTCGGGATTTATCGCCTATCTCGACTAGTTCTTTGTCGCCAGAAAGAATAAAGATAGCCTGTGACCTAGTTTAGTAGGTATTCCACAGTGTAGATTGAATAGACTTACAACAATTGCTGCCGCTGCAATGAGGCCTGGAGTGACACAACGCAACTCCCATATCTTAGCCTTGGTTTTGGGTGTTGGGGGTGCATTGGCAGCTAGCGAGGATCGCCCAAAAAGCGATGCTTTCAGGATCTATTGAGGTTATTCAGGATGTGCAAGTTAGAAAGGAAAAGAGCCTACAAAAACGAGCTTTGACGTTTTCAGAAAGTCGTCTCGGAATAAATGTTATGGGCGAGGGAAGAGCACGGGCGCAAACTTCGTGTATGCACCTTGAGGGTTAAGGAGCAGGGCGCGGCATGCAGGCTCTGAATCCCGTGCATACCCTCAGATGAAGAACTTTGCGTCAAGATTGAAAATGGCAGCTGCGCAGGACTTGACATCTGAAACCATTTCCGCGCGAACACTATTGATGCCTTTGACAAACTCAAATGAAAATCAGCAAGAGTGAGACCAATTCATACATTGACATACTTACATGGGAACCGAAGTTCTTGTGGGCCATCATGCCATGGTCCGCAGGCAGAATGAAACGAAAGAGTTCGGCTTTAACGCCATCCTGAATTGACATCGGAGAGAGCCACCGCTCTTTGCTCGTGAGATCAATATTAGGAGGTGGTGCGCGCAAGGGAAAAATGGTGGTCTCGACCCAGAGGCAGTGCATTACAGAAAACTTGCGCCCATAGTTCTTGATGATATCTTCCTTAGCGGCAAGCGCAAGGTCTTTATTAGTAAGCTTCGTCTTCCGGCCTTTTGAGAGTGTGGCCTCGAGAAGAGCATTCTTCTTCAGAGCCTCCCGATACTTTCCTCGCATGTCTAGAAGTAGTCTTTGCGCGAGTTCAAGCACCTATAAGAGATTATTGATTAGCTACTATCATTCATCCATAATATAAAGACTTGCCTTGCGAATATCTTCAGCAGATGCATTAAGAGGAGGTGCTGCAATTGCATTCCGAACTTGCAGTAAATCTGTATCATTGTTGGACTCGTCACCGTCAGAATCTGTCGAGTCGGTGGCGTCGGAGCTGCTATCAATGTTCGCAAGATCTCGAGTGAAGTCCTCGCCATGGGCATGATGGTGCTGAGGCATGGTGGTTCGAGTCAGAGGATATAGTAAAGAGCAACCTGGGAACATCATAATCAGTCGGGCGTGCTTTAAATCGGCACTATTCGGATAGCGTCAGACCCTGTGGATGTAATAAGGTGGTAGGATAACATGTACCCTTATCAGAAACATAATAGCCATCGTGTAAGCACAAATTAATGAGCAGATGATGACTTCATGCTTCCAAGATCCCTGGTTGGAGGTGAGCATGATGGCAGATGCGAAGAGATGGTGAAAGGAGCCTACTTTGACACGAGCATGAAGCGGACCACCTTCAATGGAGTAAGTATCGTCGTAGATGACCTTGGATGTGAGCATGAAGGGGACTGGCACCTGGAGTAAGTATCGTCACAGATGACCTTGGATGCGAGCATGAAGGGGACTGGCACCTGGAGTAAGTATCGTCACAGATGACCTTGGATGCGAGCGTGAAGCGGCCCACCTTCAATGGAGTAAGTATCGTCACAGATGACCTTGGATGCGGGTGTGAAGGGGTCCGGCACCTGGAGTAAGTATCGTCACAGATGACCTTGGATGCGAGCGTGAGCGGATGGTCTTTGGTGCAAGTATGAAGCGGACACACCTTAGACTCTGATGTAAGCACGAAGCGAACAACCTTTGACGAGAGCGTAACTATAATGGAGTAAGTGTTGTTGCAGATGGAAGTGATGAGTGAAGTGAAAGAACGCGTTTGAAAAGAAGAAGGATGACTCGGAGTTGGTATGATAAGCTAAGAAAGGTTCCTTTTGACCCGAAGAAACATATCAGTATCCACGTAGTCGACGAGAAAATAATCCCCATGGTTGCCAAAATCTGGGACAAGTAAAGCACCACGAATAATGGAATGAAGAGTGACGAATTCAGACAAAGCTGCAGGCCGTGCATGTAGTCGAGTCAGTCGCAGGTCTCAATCTAGGAGGCACCGACGTGGTGAAGCATCCATGGGAAGAACCAAGGCAAGATCTAAGGTGCAGTTGCAGACAGTAAGCTTGAACACAAATAATAGCTTGACAAAGATATATTTGTCGTGGCCATCCTTGTCCTGTGTGCGGATTAGAGCACAGTCACGACACTCGTTGTCTTCTTAGATAGATGATCTATAGATAAACACCTATAAAACCAAATATCTCCACGGTCAGTGATTCAGACAAATACCAATGACTGATAACGTGGTCGTTCAGTGGGTGGCTGATTAGCAATACCTAAGCCACTGTCAGCAGAAGGTGCCTAGTGAGGTCAGTAATGTGAGTGATCAATCCAACAATGCCTGGACAACAGGAAACAACAAAAGAAACAAATATACCTTCTTGTACCAAAAAGATGCCCAATGGCAATCTTACTACAAAGATTTGTGTGAAGCTACAATGGTCACTCCCACAATGCAAACAGGTAGGATCACTGGTCAGGACTAGTCAATGCTCAAAGAACTTTCAGTACTATTGAACCTGCTGTCAAGGAACTCGCTTCGAGTATTAAACAGAAAACAGGAACGGACGTCCTTGGTGTTTGGCACCAAGTCCCCTTTCAATGACTAAAGCCGTATGGCAATGAAACCCTAGCTCAGTACCACTACTCAGATGTGTGTGGTCAAGCGCACAATTATCAACTTCAAAGCTCCCCCACTAAGCTATGCAAAGTCTTAGGTGGACTAAGGAGACAACACAAAAGTTGCAGGAAAATAAACGAAGAACTCGGAAAAACAAACAAATGGAAGCAGTACCAGGCTTGGTGGTTGTGGAGGATGATGAGCTCACACTCATGGTGTCTCACAGAAGAGTACCTTCACCAATCTTCAACAGCTCTCACTGTTGTTTGGCTACAGTCACACTTCACACTCAAGAACTAGGGGATAAAAACACTTTTATTGAGAGAGAAGGGGCTCTTATATAGACAAAATTTAAGGGCTATGCTACCAGTACGTTAAGGTTCCTGTCAAGTCATCCCCAGTTAAACTGAGTCATATAAGCTAGTGTGAGTCATACTGAATCAAGTTGAATCTTTGGGAGTCACTTCAGATGGTTGAGTCACTTGGTATATAGATGAGTCATCTTGACTTGTTAGTCATGTGATTTCTCATGACAAAGCAGAAAAGGTCTGGACACTGATTATGTAAGGTACCAGTCCATGTGTTATGTTTGTGTTTGTTTATTACATTTTCTGTTAGGGGCTGAAACTGGTGCGGTGCTTTGTATTTAGGGTTTCCTGCATGTTCCCACAGGACAACTTGTGTGGGAAATAATTTTCACAGTCACCTGACATGTGAGAAGTTCATGCTGAGTCATTTTTAAGCCAAACGAAATGAAACTGAATCCAAGAATAAATCTTCGAAAATATTCATTCCTGTAAACCGGGTTTGCAGAAGAATGAGGAGAAAGAAGCAAGTCCTTTTCCTGGGCCAGGCTTCTTCTGAGAATGTTATTCAGCCATGCACCAGACTAGTTTGGTGCAGGTCATCGTGACCATGAAAACTTGAACTGCATCGCAGATAGTCAGTGGCCAACTTCCAGGTAGCAGCTGACTCATAGTGGACTTTGAGATAGCGATGTTCGTGAACCTTTTGAAGTGTCAGAGATCTGATCAAGCACTTCAGAGTGAAGGAGAGACTTACTTGGTCATGTGCTGAAAGTTTCAGCCACTGTATTCCGTCTGGTAATGGTATGTTGTGGGAGGGCAGGAAGTGATTCAGAAATGTTGCAAGCTTCTTCCTGAAATGGTCAAAGGCATGATTTGACCTGTTGTCTTCCTCCACTTGCGCTAGGCTGGTGAGAGTCCTAAGGGGCAAACCGATATGCAGGTGAGCTTCAAATGGCTCGTCGTCAGTGTCATTGTCTTCAAGTTCTTCCCGTGAGAGCGTGAGTTTATGTCATTCCTCATCAAGAAATTCAATACGGCTGCGAATAAACTCGGTAACGAAGCTCTTATGGTCGAGTACAAGGTTCTATAATACAAATATGCGATGTTTATTAGTTATTGATGAGAAGCAAACTTCTTGGCAACAACACACCTGGTTAGTGATATCCTTACAATTGGTCTGCCGTAGGTACCAGCGCTTGATCAGCCCATGCTGCTTTTCGTTCGGTCGAGTGCTGAAGTTGCGGGCAGCACCTTTTGTGAGGATATCGTCGAAAATATGCTTTGAGGCGTGCATCTTGGGAAAGTTCCAGTTCTTGGTTGCATCGGGATCGGTCTCCTCAATAATTGCGATGTAGTCCTATTGAATCACGTTTGAATCAATTTAAAACTATTGTCAGTATATTATTGTGAAGAATCCAACACGAAAATATACCTCTAAGTGCGTCTGAAACACCAGAACCTCCACTTTTCCTGCTTGGATTGTGCTGTCTGTATGCACGTCAAGTGATACGTACATGTCGATATGTAGATAACTCACTATGCACCATAGAAGTGCATAGCCAGCTTCGTCGTCTGTGCGTGTGAGCACGTTCTGAGTGGTATATAAGATTTGCTATCCAAATTGAATTTGAGTGAAGTTTTAGTTGTTTTAGTTGTCAAATCAATGTGCCAATGACATATCTTGGAAATGTCTCGAAGTTTGTTACCATCGCTATAGGTGATGTTGGTAACGCGATCAAAATGATTCAAATTGCGCCAACGTGTGAAGGCAGCGAACCTGGAACCAATTGAATAGAATTGAATAGTGCGCAGATTAGTGTAATAAATCAACTCACTGATCGTCAATCTTCTTCTTGGCGCTGCATCCCAAAGCCGCTGCATGTCGTTTAAGCTCGCCAAATAGATGTTTCCCCCATTCCCCGATATGATAAACGTGGAGGTGATCCTGTGAGATCGTTTCGTGAGGGTTAGAATTCGGGATCTGCCAGAAGACATTCTTAAAAGCAAAATCAGTATCGTTTGTAGGACATAATGAGCACCAACCATAACTGGCCGCAAGCCCCGTTTTTTTAATGCTTCTTCTCCAGCTGCTTTATTCTTCTTCCACAGTTCTACACAAGATTGCGCATCTTCAGGCGATCGGATTGGATAAGTAGATGTGTTGTCGTAGAGTTTATCCGATGGGACAAGGCAGATTGGACAAGGGCAATGACAGTTTGTCCCCCGTATGAGCGCCATGACACATCTAGTAGTTACAGTGACTGATCAGAATATTATCATCAAAAGAATAACAAATGTACTGCTCTTCGTAATCAGCCGACAAAAGCAAAATGAATGCATACAGCCACCTAACAATACCGTCAGAACACAGATGTGCGTATCCTGTCTTGGCATAGAGTATGATGGTTTCAAGAAGCTTGAGAAACCCGTCATGCCACACAACCCATTTGAGGTTCACATAAGACAGTTTACCATCCTCCTTAGAGTCTTCAGGTACCTATTCAAAAGAATCACGATTCATTGACAACAAGACTAAGATTGATAATAAAGACGAACTATCAGTAGCCAGCCGACCATCCAGTCCGCCGCCCAGCCCATCAGTATTTCTGATGTGAACGGGCAAGTTCCCACATTGAGCAAAGACCGGATAAGCTTTAATGGTCCCAGCAGAAGACAGATGCGTCTTGTCTGCATACAGTATGAAGGCAAAAGGGACGCCGTTTTCGGTAAAACGACTATAATACAACACCACTTAGAGCCACATGAATGAGAGTACAAAAAAGTAAGTCATACTTGTACATTCCACCAGCGATCTGCAGTCCAAGGCTCATGGTAAAAGTGTTCGTAATGCGCCCCGTCATGTTTGTACAACCGCTGTGCATCCCAAACAAAGTGCGGCGCCAGTAATGGGTCCTGTAGTAAGTCCAAGGCCCAGTCCCACAATGGGCGTGTATATACATCAAATGTAAGGTCCTCCCGTTTGTGTCGGGCAGTGATAGTATGCTTCTCGAACTGTAAAAATTTGGTAGCTACAGAGGGGAAACGTGATGTTCTCCTCTTACAGGTGTCATCTGAGAGGCCGCCCTGTCCCAGGCCGAAGAAACATCACGGTGGGACTTGAACGTGAGTTTTGCGTGGCCCTCAGCGATTCTCCAAATGAGCTGCAACAGCTCGTCTGTGTGGTCCTTGTTCAAGGCGGCATTGTGTGCGAGTTCAGCAAACTCGAAGTCTGCATGACAGCTGAACGGCTGCCAGGGTTCTTCGTCGATGATGGGCAACCATTGATCTTGCTTGCGCCCGAAGGTAGAGAAAGTCTCTATAGTTGTTGCGCGACCAGATTTCGGATGGTACTCTGTCTTGAATGTATCAAGGCCGGAGGGAACTGAAGTTTCAGCTGCAATTGAGGACAGAGTAGGTGGTGTGGGACCATGAGATGACGCCATACTGGAATCAGAATCTGCACCTGAATTGTGAAAATATTGAATGAGGAACACATCATGAGCAGTCAAAATACGCACGTTGTTGCGAGTCTCCACTGACACTCATTGCATCAACAACATTATCTGATCCCATCGAAAATGACATTGCGCCTGCGTTCAAGTTGTCGTGCACATTCTCTGTGCAATCCTCAGATAGGAGTGATGCTGAAGGGACCAACAGGACATCTGGGCCAGTACCGGCCGCTGTATCTTGTTCCTTAGGCTTGTGAAGGTGTTTTCTCTCTTGGTGTGCCTCTGATTGTGATATTAAGTGCTTGATATCAGTATGACTTGTCAATATGAGGATATATATTCACGACATACCTTTCCTTTTAAGTTGCTACTCTACCGCCTGCGCTGCAAGCACTGCAAAATCATTGTTGTCCTTCTCCTTCTCCCGTCTCCTCAAGCAGCTTTGCTCATGAGACCGTAACCCACGCGATGAGTACAGCTTGTTGCAGTGTTAGCAAGGAACCTAATTATTGGATGACGAGGGTAATACATACTTGCGTCCTCCATTTGTATTTCTGTTCGGCGCCATGTAGGAGTATTACAGGGAGATTATGGGACAAAGAGTGTAGTACAATCAAATGGGAGGAGGTGGATTGAGATGAAGGTAGACAACGAAGATAAGACAATCGAGTTAGTCAATGTTTTCTGAATCATTGCTTGAATCTGGATTTGAATCCTTACCGGCTGCTTCCGACGAACTTAGAATAATTGTGTGCCGGCTTGGAAGCAACTTGGAAGTGCCAAAAATACACCACGGTCCTTGTAAGTGACGACACTAACGAAAGATCCCTTGTAAGCACCTTCAAACAGGTCACACCCCCTGGGAATACGGACCCAATGTAGTTGTCAGGTGCCTAAATGATGTCCCAATATGGAACGCTTCCAAGGGACCCATGGAGATTTCCGACATAAGCATCAAACTTCTTTTTGACAAGCGAAAATTATGGGTCTTTTGAGGACCCCGGCTGCTCCCTATACCGCATGTCCACAAATTTTCTAAATTTTCCTCTTGGGGCGCAACGTTTTTGAGGCTTGTGGGGCGCACTTCGGACATGCTTGCTCCCCGAAACATACCAAAAAAGGAAATTTTCCGTAAAAATTTCGTGCTACTGGATTCTAGCTAGGTACACCCACGATTCTGCTTCTTGCGAGACCGTACAGTGAACTGTGATGCAATAATCTCGCGCACTGTCACAATACCCGCTGTTTCCCACCTATAGAGAAAGATGAATATATGTTTTACAGTGTTTTGTAGAATAAAAACTTGCCGTTCAAAAGCCCACAGTTTCAGGATGTGATACCAACACTGAGCGCGGATGTTCCGAGATTGTAGACAAGTTCCTTGATACTGGCAAGTGTCCATAAACTTGCTGTAGTGCCAGAACGAGTTTTCACTTTCTTCAGGGTGCGTCTTAGAAGTTTGCGAATTAAAATCAGTACAAGCAAGCAGGAAAAAAGGCACCGCTTGCTTGAATAAAAACCCGTAATCCTAAGTTTGTCAATGAAGGAACATCTTTTGTGCCAGCAAGGAGAATGCTGGAGCGTCAAGTGCTTAACTCCGGAGATGCTCTCAGATGCCGGTCCTTGATTGCTGACTGTCAATACAGCTTTTTTCAGCTCGTCTAGGATGTTTCGCCAGGTCATGGAGCAGGCTTCTCAAGGGTGCAGAGATTGAATGATGAAAAGAATGGATTGATCCTCGTTTGACTACATAGACAATATTCTGTCCAAGTATACCATACATCAGACATAATCCAAATTGGTCTACATGGTGAATCACTTTGTCGGTCTGTAATCAATCGAACATCAGTGTGAGTTTTGTCGTCGGTCTGGGCTGTCTAACACCCTCTAACACCCCCTCCGATCCAGGATCGAGGAGGATCCAGGGCCTCTTGGGGCGCTACCGACGGATATAAGGTGGGTGCTACAGGCTCGTGAGGCGCACATTTTAGGACCATAGGATGGGTGATTTGGAGGGCATGTGAGGCGCTACCGGTGGACATGCAGTATAGGGAGCAGCCGGGGTCCTGTCTTTTGCTGATGCTAGTATGACTCTTCTACTAGTAGTAAAATGTCGTTGTCAATGATTCGGCTCGACCTTACGGCCGTCCTCCCTCTCGTAAATTGCTTAGGCAGACCCATAGTAAACCTTGACCTTGAAGGTTTAGGAATACTACTATGCCTGACAAGGTCTAGCAAGACTACATAGCTCTAAGCTAGGAAGGTTTAGGTAACTAACTTGGGCTCGAGGATCAGGACGAGGATACTCTGCAACAAGGTGTAGAGCGCCTACCATGCGAAGGTTTAATCAATCTTAATGTGGTAGCTATGGCCAAATCAGGAAAGGTTTTGTGTCCGCCTAAATTTAACCATTTACAAGAGGACGGCCGTATCGTTAGTATCGACTTCGACTCAACGACATTTTAAATTTTGGAATTGAGTCAGAGCAGCACTAGGGTATCAGAAACCGGTTGGGAGCCGATCTACCTAACTCGCGCCCACAATAAAAATGCTCCCTCGATCAATCATCGCATTGTCTCCCATACTTCTGCAATCATCATTTTGGCATGTCTCCTGATCCCGCGTCTCAACAGCTAGACGAGGAAACGCCTTTGCTTCAGTCAAAGGGAAATGCTCCGGCAAAGAAATCACAGACACCTCTTCTATGGCGCCAGTTCTCAATGATCCTGGTGTTGCAGATTGCAGAGCCAATGACATCGCAAGTTATCTCACCTTTTGCGCCTCAGGTCAGCGTTTAGCGTTGAAGATTCAAATAGACAAAGTTATAACTTGATTATGCTATACATAGCTCATTCGTGATATTGGGATCACTCATGGAGATGAAGCGCTCGTTTCGTTTTATGTTGGGTTGTTGGTAAGTGGATAAGTAGAGAACGCTTTCATTGTGGCAATCTCAATGTTACGGTCTAGCACTCGCTATTCTTTGCAACAGAAGCCCTCACCATTTTCCACTGGAGTCGTCTCTCTGACTACATCGGTCGTAAACCTGTCGTGCTAATTGGACTGTTTGGACTCTCCCTCTCAATGTTCTGCTTCGGTTTGTCCAAAACATTCTGGAGCTTGGTAATAAGGTCTGTCCCATGTCTACGCTATTTTCTTCTGAGTTAACGTTTACATCTTATTGCAACAGTCGTTGCCTGAATGGCGCACTCAATGGCAACATTGGCGTCATGAAGAGCATGGTGGCTGAGATGACAGATTCCACTAATATGGCCCGTGCATGGGCATTCATCCCTCTTGCCTGGTCCAGCGGTACCACACTTGGGTGCGTTCCGTGAAGTTTCGTTCCCCATATGTACTGAAACAACCATAGGCCACTCATTGGCGGACAACTTGCGCGACCTGCGGATAGGTTCCCTAATATCTTCGGGGGTTCTGAATTTTTGAAGAAATATCCTTATTTCTTGCCGTGCGCGGTCCCTGCCACGGTATCAGCGTTGACATGGGTTGTCATTTTTCTTTACTTGAAGGAGGTATGTTGTCCCATCGTGTGACAGGATGAATCTTCATATCAGTCGCAGACCACAACTCCCCAAATAAACATTAGTCAACTGCTATCTTGGAAAAAGCGCAAGACTGTTCCTTTACCCGCTCTAGAACCCCCGCCAGTATTATCTTCGATCAGCGATAAGCCCGTCCCCATTCGAGCTCTTTTCGTTCGTCGTGTACTCATCGCAACCGGGAGCTACGCCAGTATTGCCCTTATTGATATCGCATTTCGCACTGTACAACCCGTGTTCTATGCTACTCCCATATCGTTGGGTGGTCTAGGGCTCGATACTCCAACCATTGGAACCATCCTGGCGGTCCAGGGAATTGTAAATGGCGTAATGCAGCCATTAGCCTTCGCTAGGCTTCATGACATCATGGGTGCCAAAAAACTTTGGCTGTTCGCCGTAACGTGCGCCCTGCCTATGATTGCTCTCCTCCCGGTATCGAATACCCTGGCGAGATCTAGTGGCGTTGTTCAGAGTGTATGGTCTTTGGTGGCTCTACAAGTCGCTCTTATGAGCTGCATGAATTTTGCATATGGTTTGTCGTCGTCATTCTCTCACTGATATTTCTGATGTGTTATGGAAGGCGTCTCGTTTATGTATATCAGTGTGGCATCTCCTAACCGAGCGTCCGTAGGCGCAACAAACGGGTTTGCACAAGTGATCGTCTCTGTTATGCGTGCTGTTGGACCAGCTGCAGCTAACTCCGCGTTCTCAATTAGCATTGAGAGACAGTATCTTGGAGGGAATCTGGTGTATTGTGTCATGGCGGGTATGGTGTACGTGGCGATGGGCGTCGGCGTTTTGTTACCTCGTGCTATGTAGACTAATTAGCTTCAAACGAAGATAATTTTATTTGTTTGGTCGATGCGATTGTGACTGTAATCTCGAGCAGACGTTCGAGGACCTCCTTTCCAAACCGTCTGGCTCGCGATGACTTATTATCCAGTCTTTAGCAGGAAAGTAGATGACGGGTGTCCTGTCCTGAACATTGATTGTGGACATGAGACCTGCCTGCAGGCCCCAGGGCACACGTACTTGAACATGTTAGCCTATGCAGCGTCCTACCAGCTGGCAGTTTGTGTCCTGATGCACTAGTAGGGAGTCCCATATTTTGCAACATTTTTCTTCAAAATCTCCAGAGCTCCAAGTTATTGACCGAAGAGCAACCTGAAGACTAGTCTCCCCTAGACACATCGTATACGAATCGTAGTCCCGCTGTTTTAGATGCGTCGATATCTTGTTACAGTGACTCAAAAAGGTAACGCACAAAATGAGAATCGGCAATCGTCAATTTGTCTCTCGTCTCATCAAGCGCTTCGACGACTTGCTAACCTTGTACTGACTTGAACTTGAGGCCCCTTCTCACCCGCTCTCTGCTGCACTAAGGTTGGCCCTTCATGCATCCATGCTCCATCAGGTAGCTAGGTATAATTGATCATTTTCAGTTTCAAAAGCCGTGACAGGCCCGAGGCTTGTGATATGATATGGCAAGATATGGCCCATATCTAGATTTGGGACTTTTGGTGATGTGCCACGGATGTGGCCCTGCATGACTTATTATTTGACCATCTCGTGATACCGCCAATGTCCACACCCGATTGCTATGCCCCTCCATCTTCTTCAACACAACACCTGTCTTCAAGTCCCAAAGACGAAGTGTCCTGTCGTTCGAGGCTGTAACTATTCGTCGCTTATCGGGGAATACTGCGACTGCCTTTACGATCCCCTCATGATCTTCAAAAGTTCGAATGGGTATGGTGCTTGGAATGAGCTGTGACATTATACTGGAGGTTGATGGTGTTGAGCACGGTCGAGGGATTGTGCGTGTCTTTATCAAAGCTGCAGAGGTGCGTGCATTTTGCGTTTTCGAGCCGCTTCACCACGCTAACCTACCTCGTTTCCATAGATGCTCAAGACACAAGTAATTTCGCCATCACCATTCTAGCAAGAATACTCCTTACGAGTCATAACCGCCTTGCTCGACTGCACTGTATACATGCGTCCGAATCCCATCTCCACAGCTTCCAGAACATTACCCTGTCCAATGGCGGTAGTGCAGACTGTGCAGTTGCTACTTCCCGGTCCTGGAATTTGGCTGATAGCTATCCATCCTAGATTGCCGCATGAATATCATTGTTTCTCGTGTCGAGCAGTTTCTCAACACTTCATGTAACTTATCCGAGTACATATAGCTTACTGCAATATCATCTCCCCATCTCGTCGATTCCCAAGATCTGCCTGTGCATCAGATGCGACCAAATTTCTCTATCGCGTCTTAAATCCGTTCCTAATGAAAAAATTTCCCTCTCATTTTATTCAAACCATAATTTCAAAGGTGTCAGCCTTCCAGCGCTTTGCTTCTCGCTCATCTCAATTCCTTAGGCAACTCCTGGTCCATTTGGTTTCAGTTTGTTTCGTTCGTCAATTACCTTCCTATGTCTATTCTTGTTGCAATCCTGCACGTGCAACATGGTCATCACACTCTACTAACATTAGTGAGCTCTCAAGCTGTGCGAATCTGCATCCCCGACTCCACGAAGTGGGGAGGGTTCTGTAATCTCTAAACGTCCAGGTACCCGTATTTACATGTGCGCGCGAATTGTTTAAAGTTCAGGCCTAGATAGACTACCCAAAGTTCAAGCGAGGCCGCATATGCTACCTCATTGGAAAATTTTCCTCTCCCCACATTGCGCTTTGCGTTGGTATGTCCCTATGTCAGTCTGCCTGTCTTACTACGATGCATGGGTTTTGTTGCGCTGGACATCTACTTTGGGCGCTCTTTTGCGGTCTACAAGGTCTCGCACGCTGTCTTGGTTTCATGTTGGTCCAATTCCATCGTTCGAAACTTCTGCCAAGGACGAGTCTCATTCCAATCTAAACGTTAGGCGTTTCGCCGATCCGCATTTCTCGCACGTGTCTGGCTGTTCAGCACCCTGCGCTGCTGTATGTCTTCGCTTTCTGTGACCCTTCCAATTTCACGCTTTGAGCTGCCAAAGCTCCCTCCCTCCCACCGATGCTATCTCTGTAGAGAGTGCCACATCTGATGTTCTGGTACGCCTGAACAGGATAACATCTTATTTTCACGCGCTCACTTTGAGATAGCGCCATACATGCACTGTACTGTGTTCCGGCGCTTTCCCCATCAGCCTAGCGCGGTTCTTTTGGACATGCATTCGTCTCTTGTAGCCACATTAAATGCTGGTTTGCTCATACGTGCCATGTAGATAACCTAAGTGCACTGTCGGCTCCCGCTCTCTGCACTGCTGTCCAGTGTCCTGGCTGCCACCGATCTTCCGCACGCGTCAAGAGAGACATGAAAGTGACTGACAACTGATACAGTGCAGGTAAATAGGGGATGTGGAATGGGCCGGTCAAATGTAAGAGGATACTATCCATAACTTAGGGCGACCTCGATAGCTTGCGAATACAAAAGGCGTTGGGCAGACTGACAGGGTGGACTAAAGCTAACGAGATTCTGCATGAACAGGGCTAAATGGATGACGTTGACGGAAAGGCCGTTCCTGTGTAGCCTGTGTCTGAAGGAACTCGGGAGAGGCTGTGAAGGGTGCTGAACATGAATCTGGGAAACGCCGGCCAGACAACAGAGACAGGTAGAGACATGTATTGCACAGATCATGGAGCGTTGTACAAGCCTTCTTGGGAAGGAATCAAGTAAAGGAATTGACCGGTCAGGGGAGTCGGGAGCTGGCGGCGAGCCGCCGCTACGATATAATATACAAGTACAGCGCGTTGGAGAGTGAGACCTTACGAGTCGTTGAAAGTTGTCGCATATGCAGGTCGCAATGGGAATTGTTTCCGGAGCGCAGCGATGTGCACGCGCACGCATACTTATGGTCTGTCACATCGGCTAGTCCGATATAATGTGTCCTGGTCTTAGACTTCAATGCATTGCATCAATCTACGATAGGCGCTGTGAAGCCCTTTGTCCAGGAATTCAACATGCTGGCATGAACCACGGAAATTACCTTGCGCCACATTGAGTCGTGCAGTGCTGCCTGCTGCCGAGAAGCATTCCAAACTTCGTTATAAAGGTTTGATAACTCGGTCTTGATCATTCGAAAGAAACACACCTGCGCTCACCTCGCTTGAGAGTCCAAAGTTGGATAGCAGAAGAAGAAACCCCTATACAGTAAAGCATGATATCTGGACAATGCCACTGAGTCTGGACAACTGCGGGCACCAACTTCTGATAATATACATGTATCATTTCTGGGTGTAACCCAAAGACAATTGGCGCATTCGCCGTACACGTGCTCAAACACAGCCTGATTAAGTAGCGAGTTACACAATTCATCATAGCTCGTTGAAGGCACATATACATACCTCAGGAGGGCAGCCTGGTGCCAGTCTGCCGTCTGGATGCCCGCATGTTTTTTGGAAGAGTCTCTTTGAGTGCACACCAAGCGAAGAGAGCGGGCAACCACGCCCAGGACAATATTTCTATTGTTGTCAAGAATTGAAGCCACCACACTCCAGAAGCGTAACACGCGATCATAAGAGCTATGGGATACTATCAGATCGATCTCGGTATCAATATAGGACCACTCACATGACATCAAAAAGAAGATAGAAATTGTGAGGGATATAGTCGGCCAGCTGATGAACAGAAGTGTACAGCACAGTCGAAAGCGTGTAGCCGTCAGGACCTGCAATTTTGTGAATACGTATAAGTGCAGTCAGGTCTGCTACAAACATCTCTAGCCCAGATTCGATCACAGGCTTCGTATATGTTGACCACAGCTAAACCAGAAAGCAAGCCGCCGAGGGCATGTGCGAAAGATCCTAGAGCTAAGATATAGCAACCGCGTATAGTGTAGGGAAGAAATGATGTCAGTGGCGGTTGTGTTGAAAGAAAGACTGCCGAAGTAGTGAGCACCTGCAATCCAGTGTTAGATTTTTTTTCTTTGACCCTAAGAAGTGCTACATACCAAGCCCGTCTGGAATGTCATAAATCAGTACATGGTTAGGTCATACCGATATTTCCTACCACTATGTTAGTATTACTCAGTCTGTCAATAAAAGTCTTCCTATGTTTCTCCCATTCATCATCGTTGATCTTAGACTTCCAGTGATGTTCGAGAGACGGTCTTCCCAGTGAGATCATACAGAGTGAACGGAATAATGTGGACGGTATAGGATGTTTATTGAAGTCTGGAACCGCCCAATGGTCTGGTACCGACTGGGATGGCCTACAAAACTTGATCAATCAATGGTCCGGGAGCAGTCGGGTTACTTGCTGATTGGTTAAGTTTCGCTGATTTGTTAAGTTTTGCTGATTGGTTGAGTTTTGCTGATTGGTTAAGTTGTTCTCCATCGACGCAATGGGTAAGAGTAGTGGAATTACTTGCTGATTGGTTAAGTTGTTCTCCATTGACTCAATGGGTAAGAGAAGTCCTGAAGTTGAGGTTTCGTCCTGTTCCGTGAAACTGGAGGCGGTCTTATGTAGTTCGCTGTAAATGGTATAAGCAAGCACGCCATGCTGGTACTAGCCAAGCTGGGATGGGTGGCGGCATACACGACCATAACCAGATGAGGGCGACGATCTGCATGGACCTCATCACAGAATCGACTAGCACGCTATCAATTCGCTTGAGAAACATGCGTATCATTCATGAACCTCGCAAACAATAGATTCTTTATACCCTGAACTTATATATCAAATTCATAGGCGAGCGTTAGAAAGTCCTCAGGAGAACATCCAACTTGCATGATCTTGACGTTATGTCAATTAGTGGAACATTGAATCCGCATGACGTGCTTTGGTAGGAGCGTGCCAGAGCCAGGGAAATGACAACTGACAGAATAAGCGCCTCTAGACAACATGGGGATACGTGGATTATATCTCACCGTTTGGTGATGCGGCCGCAACATTAAGCTAAAGCGAACATGCTGAGTAGAGTCTGGGGGTCTTTTCATTATGAATCATCTGACCGGGAGTGTGCGATACCCTGTTAGCCTAGTGTTGCATATGAAAAACGTTCAGTCCACGCAACTTGATTGTATATATTTGTGCCCATAACCTTCTTTGAAATGTGTTTGCTCTGTGACTTGTCACGCTCTATCATGTCTGCCGCAGTGTGCAAATCTCACGGAACAGCTACAGGTGAGGATTGTTTTGAGTAGCAGAAGACAGCTCGACTTGCTGGGTGCAGTCAGCAAAATGTGTACAAAATTTTATAACCACCCAGATTTTGGACAGACAAGAAATCCATTTACTCGCTGTCGTGGCAGGCTTCGTATTCTCAACTAGTATCAGGACCTCTCATTTATCACATCCATTCTTGATGCCAACTCATCCCTTTTCCTCGATGAAATTCAAGAGCAGTTACTTTAGCGTGGAATGTTGAAGTCTCGACTGTCGCATAGTCTTCGGTCGGTTCATCGACATTTTCTGGCCTCCCGACTCAGCCAGCCCAAGCCTCACCCTACTTCTTCCTATCATTCATAACTAGAATACACCCAATAGAACATCCTGGCCGCTATATGTACCACCAATGCATCAGAGAAAGTGCATAGTGACTAGTCACCATAATACTTGGTACCTCATTTACAAGCAGAAGCGAAGACCTGGTTCACCGCTCAGCGCTCAGCAAGCAACAACCTTACATTGGCACTCATGAGTCTATTGGTATTTTCACTCTTTCTGTCACTGAGTTAATGTTCGTACCTTGCTGCAGGAGCCAAACAATTTCGGTGTGATAACAGGTCACACCATCACAAGAAAGTTGTCCTTTTCGTGGTCAAGAGGTTTTTGTCGCCGCTGTTCCTACTACTCGGGTAAGTTGGGCAAATTTGCAGCTGACAAGGTTTTCGAGGTCTTGTCGTTACGCTCTTAAGGGGGCACTCATTGCTCGGTTTGAAATTGTTCGAAGGAACCGAGTAAGTTCCGACTGATAATAGGACACCTTCATGATGAGTTCGCATCCCGTACCCCCGTTTATATATCCAGCAAGCTTGAAGCAGCTTGCACAAACTTGTGCCCGCAATACGTCATGGGCCTCCTGTGCCTCGGAACACCCTTAACATGGGATGAAACAAAGCGGTATACAGACCATGTTCGAGAACATGGTATCACGCAGTTCCTCCATACTTGGGATCGAGTCAAGGACAGGTGGTGTGATGAGTTACTGTGGGGAGACGAGGTAAGTATTGCCAGTCCCAGTTTTGCCTGCTTACATATATAATGAAAGGTGGAATACATGGTCGTTACCTTTGACGATGAGGAAAAGAATGCAAAACTTTCTCTCCGCCAGGCTGAGATCCTCACAAAGCTTGGTCAGGTCGTAGGCGAACTCACCGACGACGATACACCTGCCCAGTGAGTGTTTGGATCCTCAGGACAAGCGCCGTAATAGATTCGTCCCTCAGCGTGACGGTTCCGACTTTCCACCCAGAGTATGGAAGATACATGCTGGAGTCGACTCCTGGCTCTCCGTACACGGGCTCTATCTCAGACTTGTTATCCGTCGAGACAAATATGCATTACAGGTAATGTCGCGTCTCGCTCGATGTCTGCGGGTATTCTGCCTGGTATTGAACCTTGGCTTTAACAAGACGTACGCTCACAAGAAAGCACCTGAAGGCAAATGAAATCCCATTTACCTTCACATCTTTCCCTCGCCTTGGAACGCACGGCGCCTTCACTGAACCAAATTTCTCGTCAGAAGATGCCAAGTCTAGTTACAGCCTCTTTTTGCCTGAGGAGATTACGAGCCTTCACCCACGTTTCCCGTCAGTGCTTGAGCCTTTTTGACTGCATATGGGCGCAGGACTTATCCAATTTGTTTAGTATCATAGTAGCTAATGCCCGCAGTAGACGGGGCTCCAAGGTCGCAATCAACCTTCCCATATTCATTGACAAAAGAACGCCTCGACCATTCATCGACCCCACTATACCATCGCGACGTTACCCAGAAGATCCAGGTAAGCGCCAGTGCAATCCTATCCCATTTACTAAAACGTATTTAATCTACCGGTGAACAGAGGCGGAGAACGGTGTGGCATTGATCGATCATATTTACATGGACGCATTGGGCTTCGGGTTTGGATGTTGCTGTTTGCAGCTCACTTTCCAGAGTTGCAAGGTAGATGAAGCAAGGCGCATGTATGACGCTCTTGTCCCCGTTGGGCCAATTATGGTGCGCAGGTGCTCTTCCGAGGCAACCCTTTGGCGTACTGAGATGTTTTGCAGCTAGCCTTGACAGCAGCTAGTCCTGCATGGAGAGGTTACCTCGCTGATGTAGACTGCCGCTGGAATGTCATCGCCGGCAGCGCCGATGATCGCACACCAGAAGAACGCGGTTTGAAGGTTAGTATCATTTCAGTTCCTTATCAGGGTTTCTGAAATGAGTATGCTAGCCCTCAAAAGACAACTGCATAATTCCTAAGTCCCGTTACGACAGCGTTGACCTCTATATCTCGAATGATTGGATGAACAAACCTGAATACAACGACGTCCCTGCACCTTATAATAAAGGTATCTTGCAACGTCTTCGTAATCACGGTGAGTATGGGGCCTTTATGACTTTATTACGACTGACTCCCTTGGGCTTAGGCATAGATGAGATGCTTGCCAAGCATATAGCACATTTATTCATTCGAGATCCTCTCGCTGTATTCTTTGAAACCATTGATCAAGATGACACTACTAGCAATGACCACTTCGAGGTGATATTACTCTTCGTCCTACTTTTCTTGTTACCCTGAACGTCTTGTCAGAGTATTCAATCCACAAACTGGCAGACTCTTAGATTCAAACCGCCCCCACCAAACTCTCCCATCGGCTGGCGTGTAGAGTTTCGCACTATGGAAGTGCAAATGACAGACTTTGAGAACGCTGCATTTGCTGTCTTCATCGTCCTCCTTTCCCGCGCCATCCTAGCATTCAACCTTAATTTCTATATTCCTATTTCCAAGGTTCAAACGGATATTTCTTGTCGATGTCATTTGACTGATGTTGTAGTAGGTTGACCAGAACATGGCCCGTGCGCAGAGGAGAGACGCAGCTCGTTCCGGCAAATTTTATTTCCGAAAGGACGTTCTTCCCCCAGGGCATACTACTCCTACCATTACTCCACCTTCGTGCTGTGGATCATGTTCGCCTGTGGAAAGTACTCCAGCGAAGGAGAAATTACTTCGCAATTGGTTTTCCCGCGTTCCTAGACCATTGTATGTGAAAGATGGACCGATTGAAGATGAGTATGAGGAGATGACTATGGAAGAGATTTTCGTTGGAAAGGTGGTTATATATTCTTTTCCTATCAAATGTTGACAGTTATCTCAGGGATCCAAGTTCCCTGGTCTGCTTGGCGTTGTCGAGGCTTACCTCGACACCTTAGACATCGATGAAGAAGACAGGTTGCAAATAAGCAAATACCTCGACCTTGTCCGCAGACGCGCGATAGGCACAGATATCTTTTTTTTTTCTTTTCGGATGTGTGCTTAAATCACTTTTAGGCTCTTTACAGACACCCGCGACTTGGATTCGTAATTTCGTGCGCTCTCACCCAAGCTACAATCACGACTCTGTTGTGAGCCAGGAAATCAATTACGACCTTATGGTCGCTGTGGACGAGATGTAAGTGGTTTGCATGATGGATATATTGTTAGATTCTCAAAACTTTTTATGATAGTGAGCGTGGCGTGCGACGCGTTCCAGAGCTGTTACCAGAGGATTACATGCCTCTACCATTCCAAGCCTAACAGTCCTTAACTTATAGCGATATGTATTGTTTCTCTTGGTTTTTTTTGAGAATTGTATTACCACCTATGTACAAACCATATTACTGTCATTCCTGTACCTTCTTCTAGGGTACAGGTCTGGCAAAAATTCCCGCTACCTTTAGTTGTGTATGCGTTTGTGAATCGAAATAAACCGTGAATTCTGAGTGGCGGTGAAGCTTTGAAGGGCCGGAAAATTGTGCAAAGCTGTTGAATTTTTCCACGGCTAAAATTTGACTGGTGCACGCACGTCGCAGTGGCACCAAGTACACCACAAGCTTGGACCCATCCAGCCTCCAATATACTCTCCCAGCTCTCCAACATGCTTACAGCAACCAGCTGCACCTTCTCCTTACCTAACTCATTAAATTTCTGACTCCTTCGGATAACCGGTCTCGCTGTCTTCAGGCATTTTTTCTTCATCTCTCCCGTCACCTTTAAATACTGTTTCATTCTCTTCAGGGACATGGCGTTGCAAACCTTGTCAGTACGGCTTCAGGTTCTAGATGTGTCTTTTTTTTGGCCGAGCTAAGGATGCACGACGGTACTTCCTCATGTTGCAGGCACATTTTACCACTTGTGTGATCTGTTACTTTCGCCATTGGCTATTGACTCTGCCATCATTCAGACCTCCCAGGCCAAGCCCTCAGTATATCGATGATGCTCTCACTCGTCGCGTGATGCTGAAGAGTCTCCTCCTGACAGCATATCACCTGGTTTATCAGAAGTTTTCACTCGGTTAGCCAGTTCATGTGTGTAGTGTACAAATAAAATTATCTTTCATAACTACGGGCCTGTCAGGCATAAACTGGCAGATGTGATGGTCGATAAGCGGCGATTCCTGACACGGTAAGCTGAGGCATGGCCAACCAGGGCACATGCGATCCCCGAACTATCTGGCGAACTTGAGCTCCTGGAACTCCGGGACTGTCAGATTCGCTGAAAAGTTGTGGTATATGGTCGGAGAGACTGCGCTTAGGTTGCTTCTGTGGTTCTTACACACCCCGGTTTGCGGGGGCCACATGTCATCCTAGAGCGGTGAGCACGGTGAGCATATAAATCTCTGTCAAGCAGTATTTACCATTTATCATGTAAATCCATCTCAGCCATGCGAGGTTCAAGTTCAGAATACTACAACCAGGAAATCCATACGTCTGGGTCTTTTGCCAAGTTCCATCATTTTGTTGGACGCACCGTCACGTAAGGTCATTGAGCTAAGTACGTCCAATTATATCCTCTTCAGGCTTCTCTTGCGAAGCGAGTAACACCGGTGGTGTCAACTTGTGTGTCAAATTGCAAGTGTTACACTGCCCACTTACAACATCCTTCCATGGCTATAAAAAGTGCTTCCCCGACTATGGTCATGTCATTTAACCCCACCCTGACTGTCAAGGCTCGACATGATGTGGATTGTATTGCTCATCCTTTCAGGCCTCGCCCGGGCAGCTATCCCCAACGCCATGCTTCGCGGCATGCCTTTTCTTCCAAAGCTCTCAGGGTCCCAACGTTCCCTCACTTCATTCAATGGCACAACGCTCCCACCTATTACGACCGTCTATTACTTTGATCAGCTCATCGATCACAATAATTCAGACCTCGGAACCTTCCAACAGCGATACTGGATGGATTGGGAGTTTTACGAGCCTGGTATGTTGTGAGGATCAAGGTACAGCTTCCAGTAACGTCGACCTGATGCATTGAAGGTGGCCCCATCATCTTGATGACGCCTGGAGAAACTGACGCGGATGGTCAGTTTACCATCCTTAATTTGCAACTTTCTCTCAAGCACTTGACTTCTAGGCTACGAGGGCTACCTTACCAATGAAACCATCAATGGTCTCATCGCTCAACAACAAAATGGCGCAACCATCATCATCGAACATCGTTTCTTTGGCTATTCCAATCCATACGACAACCTCACATCACAATCCCTGGCTCTCCTGACCATCCAGCAGGCTGTTGATGATCTCGTATATTTCGCCACCACTGCTGACCTTCCCATGCCTGGGGGTAACGCTGTAAAACCAGGTCAAGCGCCATGGATACTGATCGGAGGAAGCTACTCGGGGGCCCTCACAAGTTGGACGATGGTCAAGTGAGAATTTAAAATAAAATTTCGATTTTTCAGCATAATGATTAACGTAAAGCAAGCCGGGAATTTTCTGGGCTGGATATGCATCTTCGGCCGTTGTAGAAGCCATCACGTATGTTATATCACCGCGCATCTCCCATTGTTCTGATTGCTTCTCCTTCCGTTATAATCAACTGAATGTATCCGCATACAACGTGCCGATTCGCTGAAATCCGGCATTGGATTGCTGTTCTGACCCAAACAGCGATTATTATGCTTATTTCACACCTATTCGCGAGTATATGCCACAGAACTGTTCATCTGATGTACAGGCAGTGATTGCATACTTGGATGGGATGTTCACGGCTAATGACACCGCTGGAATCCAGACGCTCAAGGAAGCATTTGGCCTCGGAGATGTTGTACACGTAACCGATTTCGCCAGTGCACGTGAGTTATCGTTGTCCTTCATTCAGCTTTATGTATTTGCGTAGAACGGACAGCACGGTTAGCATGCCCTCTGACCTGGGCAACACTCGTTGCGATTTATCTTCCCTTCACCAACGCGCGCTGATTTGGTCACAAGATCGTCCTTCCTATCTCGTTTTCTTAGGTTTCCCTTCTGTAGTGTTCTTTTTGTCAATTTGATCTGCTGCCTTTTTGAGTCAACTAACTTTTCTTGCGCCAACAGTTCAATACAACCTGTTTGATTGGCAATCTCTGCAGCCCGATGTTGGCCCAGGAGCAATGTTCTTCGAGTTCTGTGATGCACTTGAAGTCAAGGACGGCATTAGCGCCGGACCTCGGGGATGGGGACTAGATAATGCTATCTACTCTTGGGGTAACTTCTGGAATACCACGTACTACAGCTACGGTAGGCGGTCCCATTGATTTCTGATTAATGTGGCTAAACTTGATAGTAAAGTCTGTGGAGACGAGGATGCCGAGTACGTATCCTTGGGATGTAGTCGTTCAAATTGGCTAATGGTGAAGATAGAACTTGTCTTGGGACGTATAACACGAGCCAGTCGTTCTGGACTGACGTTTCCGTGAATAATGCAGACAGGTCGTGGCTTTGGATGGTGTATGTATTCTCATTAGTTCGAATATCCACTCTAACAATTATTCCAGGTGCAATCAAGTCGGATGGTACCAGGTTGGCCCTCCTGAAGGCCAGCCCGCAATTGTGAGCCGCATCCTCCAAGTCCATTTACAATGAGGTACGTATATTGGATACGAAACATGAGCATTTTTCAATATAATCTTCAGCGCCAATGCGTGAACATGTTTCCTCAAGCCTTTGCCTATCCACCTCAGCCGACCACTGCACAGACTGATACTACGTATGGCGGTTGTAACGTGGACATCCAGCGTCTTTTCTTCGCCAACGGCCTGCGTGACCCATGGCGCGAAGTGACTGTCTCTGCTGATGGGTTGAATAAGCCTAGCACTCCCAGCATGCCAATCTATGAGGGCGATGGATTCCACTGCTCAGACCTGATCACGGAGAATGGCATTGTAGACCCGACTATTGCGGTCGTGCAGGAAGCAGCATTGATGTACATGCATGAGTGGCTTTCTGAGTGGAAGCCTAATGCTTGACGACTTCTGTAGAATGTGGAAGGTGCCGATTCCTGAACGCTCGGAAGGAACCGGCACCACACGTCCAGCTGAGTGACAAGCGTTTTCTTCTTCCTCGTGGTTTTCTTCTTCACTGCATCATATGATCGATCCGCTCGCTCCTTTCACAGTACTCTCACTCCTTTCGCAATACTCTCGTTGCTTACGCAGTACTCTCGCTCCTTTCACAGTACCCTCGCTCGCTAGTGTACATTTGAGTAATCGTTCATGAATACCCGCTTCGTATAAAATGGTCATTCATTTAGCCCGCATGTCGAGTTTTCCCGGCGGCAATCTTGCCAGCGTTCGGGCCGAGTTAACGCCCGGCCCCAGCCCACTGTTCGTCTGACTTCAACGTGTGTGCGATAGACGAGGCTGGATAGACTGCTGATGTAGCCTGCCGGGAATCGGGATGTCCCGGCACCATCATGATACATCTAGGCGACTCCCGAGTGAACGTTGTCCGCTTCCTGCATTCGTTTTTCTCTCTGCCACGACTTCGAGTTCGTCGTACCTCGCACTTCCTCACTCGCACCCACAGTTTTTCTTTAGACTCATCCACCACTCCCTTAGCCAACCTATTAAGATCGGATCATCGTGTCAGCGACTCTCGCCAAGTCTCGAGCCAGACGAAGCTGAACTCTGGGGACCAAAACGGTTATGTAATAATAACTTATACTGTTTTATGTTTCAGCAAGAATATTTGGTGCGTTCCGAGCCGTACCAGGAATTGGCATCCGCCGCATTCAGTCATATAATATGCCAGCGCCACCAGAGTAAGTTCGTAGATGTAGATATATATAGGTCGGTCCCCTCATTTCTATTTCCAATTTGGCCATTATAATCCAGTGCCGCGGAGGCTCTCAACCTGGAGAAGATGCCGATAGTTGATTGAAGTCGGGGTCGTCTCAACTTTCGACTCCTTGAGTTTCAGTGATATGAAGCTCAAGATACCATGTTAGAAGGCGTCCGGGAAAGGTAAATTTCGTGGTACAGCTTGGGCGGTTTCGACTCCGTTCGTTACAGATTCTTCATTCCTCTACTACCTTAGCTGGGATATAGATGGATGATCACGTTCAAGCTACGTTTTGCAACCTGGTGCGTCCTCGCGATCTCTATTATCCCATGCTGCGTGTTATGTTCTTGACTTGGATCACATCGAGGCATTCGCTCGTGCTCCATGTAGTCGATACCAGCTTGCCTGAGACTACGATAACCGCTTAGGCCCCTCCGACTATAGTAGCTGAAACTTGATGGCCGACATCCCGAGATCCGTGAACGTTGAAGTACAGATCTGGACTATTGAGCACATCAATTTAGACATAAAAGCCTCGGATGACAGGCAAAGCTTTGGGGTCTCTGAGACCGTGCCCATTTGATGCCACGGCCCTCAGATAAATTGATATTGACCGGTCGACCCTCCCAGCTACATCTTCGGAGCGCGACAGAGGGTATGTATATATAGTCTCATGGTTTTCAAGGACGTACCGGAGGAAACGGATTGACTGCAAGGCGACGTGAGTCAAATGCTCTTTGTAATGGCATTAACGTTGCTCCCACAATGAAAGGGTACTCAAAAATTGCTTGAATGCATCTCGTGAAGGAGAGGGCTACACGTGAAAGTTTTTGTTAGTCAAGACAATACTAAACCTGTATACCAGTGGATCGAGTTGTTACTCGATCCGAGGGAAGTTAATCCTTGAACGTTCGAACGATCGAACTGGTAAGAATGGCACATCTAGCATTTGATATTCGGCGTCCTAGCGCAAATTAGGCCTCTTGAGTGCCGCAAGGACAGCAGGTGACACACAGGATTTAGGCAGAAATAACCAAGGACCTATTCGTATGTTGATCTGTGAAAACTGCAGCTTTTGCGCAGCGAACTGGGTGATGATTCAGCCATCTTTGCGATCACGAGTTTGTGAAAACTTGTGCTCACCTGCGCCACGGCGCACGGCTGCATTGGCCACATTGTCCCTACGGCGTAACTGTGGATCAGGACTGAGAATAAGCCAAACTAGACAGTCAGCGACTCGTATGGGAAATCCCTACGGCTCTCGATGGCTCCTGAGCAGTGTTATGTTTGAGACCAGTCGGACAGGAGTGTGGTCAAAAATACTATGTGATTGCTGAATAAACAGAATGGCATGCCGAGGCTGAGACAACAGTACACGAACTCTAGGGAGTAGGGTAAGCCAACCAGCCGAAACACTGTATAAACGATGAGTATATAAGGATTAGAAAATGTACACCGACCACAATCAATGACCAGCGATCTACACTATGGGGCGACATAGATATAATATACGCGCAAAACAAAACATGAAGGGACAAGAACAGGGGTGCTCGTGGAAAAGTGCTTTAAACGGATCATAGTACTGGGCAATATGCATAGCGAAGGTATCAAAAGTAACAAGACAAACCTAATATTGACATAGAAGACGTGCAAAGCATGAACTGGGGTAACCAAGAGACGAGATAGAGGAATAGATAGTTCACGAAGGTGGTGAGCTGATGAATAAAAATGCTCAACAGATAGTCCCGGACCGACCGACCGTCGGTCAAACATAGAAAGCAAGATGATCACAAGAGCGACGTGTCGTGAAGGGTGATGCGAGTGGGGGTTATGGACAAAGCAATACCGATAAAACGAATTTGCAAAGCTAATGACAGCGATGACGTTGAAGTCATTTTTGGAGAGTCAGGGGAGAGTTGGTCATTCGCGAGGGGGCTGCTCAGGCGACACGGGCCAAACAGGTTCTCTAATTCTGTCCTTGTCGCCGGAACGAGTCAAAGGCACCGCGGTGGATGAGACTGTAGTCTGCTGTGCAGGCTGTTCGGGGGAGGCGTGAGAATGCTGGGGCGAGTGCTGTTGCTGTTGCTGCTGATGTTGCTGCTGGGAAACGTTCGCTATATCGTCAAGACCTCGCTTGACACCAGCCATCAAAGCATCCGTTTTTTGGATCATCTCCTCTAACCGTTTCCGCTGCTCGTGTAGTTCGAGGTAATGTTGCCTCAACTCACTCGCTGTTGGAACACCTGACGTCAAGACACCGTTCAAAACATCATGCGGCGGGGGTGAATGACCGAGGGATCCGTAATATCCATGACCCATGCCATGAGGTGGCGGTAAGACGTACCCCGAACCAGGAGCAGAAAGACCAGGATTTAACGGCGAATGCGTCCTGCTTGGCGCATTGGAACCAGAGCGCATGTAGCTAGATGGCGTTCCGCCGAAATCACGATTACCCAAGAGACCAGGGGGTCCGTAGCCGCCAAACCGTTCACCAAGAGCGGCATTGAGAGGAGGAAGATCGAATCCAGCATGGGGCGCTGCCATGAATGCGCCATGGCCCGATCCAGTGCGCGCAAGATGGTGAGCATGTGCAAAGCGTTCCATATCGGAACTGCGTGGTAACGAATGGGCGCGATCACCAGTGACACCGCTCAGAGCCTCTGCAATCTGTTGTATGCTCGTGCCTTCTGCCCATGCGGAACCGTGCGAATCGCGGGACGCTTTCCGCGTAGTCCGCTCGTTCTTCCGCCGACTGACAGGTTCTTGTTCCTCTTCTGCCTCTCCCATGTCTTCATCGTCATCCTTTTCGCGCAAGCGGCCCTTCTCCCGATCGCTCTTTCCACGCCGTGCTCTCTTCCGGCGAGGTTGAGGCTCTTCTATCTCGCCATCACTCTCCTCGGTGTTCGCGTGTTGGCTACCAAGACGGCCAACCGAGACAAGTGCCTCGGCAGCAGCCTGATCTGACATGCGCCCCGACGACATCCCTGCGGCTGCTGGGACACGTTTCCGTCGCTTGATGACAGTCTTTTTCATGGAGTTTGGACGATGCGTGCCATGAAGCTTGAAGTAAAGACCTGGAAAGCAACCCAACGGTCAGTGCTGAAACTGACCAAACGACGATAAGGCCAAAAAGCAAATGATATCAATCAATATGTCAAAATTAAAGTGGTCCGACGGATGCCAAGAATATCCATCCAATATGGCAATACTCGTCCCCACAAATCGTGGGAAGGAAGATAAACCAAAAGGATAAACTGAATAACTTGAATTCCCATTTTCCCATTACGTGAATGGCGAATTGGGCTGGCGGGCTCCCTAATTCTGGAAACGAGGTATGATAGACACGCGCGACAATCGCGAGATGAACGTGCGCTCCGCAAGAAATTTTACAAAGTGAATGGAGTTTGCGGGGATAAGGCGAATGGCAAGGGCATGTGGGCCAAAACGAAAGCTGAAACGCACCACAAGCATTGCAGATGTTGTTACCAACATCATCTCTTCTCCACAATGGCGTTGTACTCGTACCACAGTTGGCACAACTGAGCGCTCCGACAGTAGACTTGACCTTCTTCGCGGGCCCCGACGCTGGGCTTTCGGTATCTACGCCGGGCGACGGTGCATCACCGGTGGGAGTTACACCTCGCGCAGGCGCGGACGGTGACGATTCGTCTGCAGGGGCCTGTCATCTCTAATCTTCCGGATATGGCGAGTGCGTTGTTGAGTGTGGGACACCCGGCACAAGCACTAGATCCTCCAGTACCATCACATCGTCCGTCACCTGGACATGTGCCTCCAATAGAAATGTTGTGTGCACCTGAAGCGGATATGGACTTAGCGGGGGACGAAGTTTTCGAAGAGGGTTTCGGCTGAGACTGCCCAGAGCTCTCAGGTTGAGATGATGACAAAGTTTCCTGATTTTTTGACGATTGTGGTTGGCTAGGAGATGTCGCTGGTACAACCAAAGATGCCTGATTTGGGTTGGACATATCTGTGTCTGCACTTCCGTTTGGGGGTTGGCGAACGGGGGCTGCAGCTGTCGCAGTGGGCGTTGGCGTGCGGGCCAGGGATGGGGGACGTGCGACTTTGCGTGATTTGAGGTAAAGGCCTATATCGAATAAAGAGCAAAAACCCAAGCGATGCGCACACGAGTTGCACACATTTTAATCAGCACACTGTTACTGCACTACCAAGCGGTAGGTAGGGAAAGAAACGCAGGAAATGACATTGACCAATCAACATGTTGGCCGGCAGAAGCATGCACGGAACACGTTTCAGATGCAACGGAATGCTGCAAATGTGATATGGAGTGCACGGTGTGTTTTGGAAACGGACGCCCACGAGCCCACCAACCATGGGTTGACACGTGACGGCGTAGGACGGGAAATGAAAGAGATGAGATGAAGAGAGATCACTTACCACAAGCATTGCAGATGGTTTTGCCCTCGGTGTCGCGTCGCCACAGGGGCGTGTCAACGACTCCGCAGTTAGTGCAGCCAGTACGCTGCTGCTGTTGAGGCGCCTGCTGCTGGGGCGCGCTCGGTGTCGAGGTTGGTTGGTCTTCTACGATAGGTTGAGGGCGCTCTTTTGACTGTAAAAGTTGCTCAAAAGTGAAGTCGCTTGGGTTTATCTTCTGCTGAAGGGACCCGGCATGGACCGGTGAGTTAGACAAAGAGTCGCGTTGTACTGCAGCATGTTCTGAGGCTGTGCTGGGCGAGAACTGCTGCTGTATCCGGGAGAGGGTAGAAAGCGCAGGATGATGCATGTTCAACGCAGGAGATTCCATTACGATTGGCGACATTTTTTTTATCAGACAGTAGTAAGATAGACAATATGTTGGCTGCAACACGTTGAACGTCAGCTGGTGTCTAAAGACCGCGCACGGAACAATGAAATCTCACTGATGCTGTACAGGTTGACGACGAATGGTGCGTGGTCGACGTGGGCGACGGTGAGGAGAGGGGTATTATTGTGAGCGAGACACGTAGAGGGAGGGAGAAATAAACGGACAGAGGAGAGTCGGGCACCGCAGTGTTTATGATTTTTGGTATTAGCGGGAGCCGATAAACCCAAAAGATAACGACCATTAACTAAATCCAGCCAATCAGATTACAGCAGTTTCAAAGATAATAACCATATTTCCTAATTCTTCATTCCTCCAACCTCTCTCCACACTCTGGCATTATTTTTTGTTGAAATTCTGTTCATCCTCCAATATACCAACAGCTATTGCAACAGCAAGTACTCTCTACAATCAATAAAATTTTATTCCAGATCAAATATTATTACTTGTACGTATACTTCCTTTGTTCATGTTGACTTTGTGGCACTGATCCTCCCAGGCCCTTCCCCAATCTTATCTCAATTCCCATTCACTATTATTACCGTTTCCAAATTTCAGATCTTGGAAAGGAAGAACCCGGTCAATTTTCAGCGCCCGTGTCGTCACGACGGCAGTAATTCTCAGCTATTGCGTTGTCTCGCGCCATATACGCGAAGAGAACAAATGTTACCGCACCGTGTGCCACCGCCTACCCTATTATCACGACACCGGCAAACGTGGACGTCGGATCCGGCGTGAGCTGGTTATGTACACTTGAATGGCAGCATGCGTACGTCAAATGCATAAGTGCATACGTCAAAGCTTTGACCTAATAACCTTCCGACGCCACAGATAAGATCAGACGATTCGCTGACTTGGAGAATTGAAAATTTGCCTCCGTTCGTGGCTTCCGATCAGGAGTCCGCCCACCGGAAGGGCAGCACTTCTTCGAGAATCAGATTAAAATTTTCCCATTCCCTTATCAGATAACGCGCATTTGACATCCACTTACAACGTTTCGAACTAAAGAAAGCAAACTCGAGTTCAGCAGGCTGGCAAATAAAACATCCGTTACCTACAGCCCGAACCCAACCTTGTCTATGCATGGCCAATCACATCAGATGAAGCCTCAAATCAATCACGACGCATCCCTACGCCCAACACGAGGTTCCGCGCTTTCTCCAAATTCTTCCGCGGATTTCAAACGTAGCCTTCAGGGGGTCCCGGTGTCTTGGAATATCCTCGGTGACATTTGCCTTGTGTTCAGCCCTAGCACTAGGCTCTGGCAGCAGTTAATCTACTGACTGCAGCTGTTGATAATTGACGCAAGATGAGTGGTGGGGAACGCAACATCGCGAGGCTAATTAGGTGCATCATGCAAAGATGCATGCTGCACACCACCACAGATCTGGGACGGTGTTCTGGGTATGATCACGGAAAATTTAGTAAGGCGATGACGGGCTATAGATGTGCAGGCAGGACACAGCTATCCGATCGTCGCAACTGGCTGCTGCACTCTAATCTGCTCACCTGTGGGACCTTCATGTTGCGTCGATTATGCTACGAGACTGTGTCAGTTTATGGAAACGGTGATCATCAAACTTCTCCTGCCCTTTATCCTTGACTTACTTGATGCAATGATTTATCTGGACTCATTCCAAACTCCGTGATGCAGTAATCCTGGTGATTCAGATAGAGTGCAAGGCGGTGGTATGAAATTGTCACAGTGCGACATACTTTACTCATTTTGCAAATCGAAAATGTCCAATCAAGCGACGCCGCAAGCAAACTTGTTGCAATCATTTGAACACATCAGTTCGCCACAAAGAACAAAGCCAGAATCTCCATGACCATATTTCCGAATGCCACAGCGTACGCCACGCCCTCAGAAGCAGTCTCGAGATACCACCCCTGTCGGCACTATGAGAACCCACGCATGAATAGCACCAGCCTGTCGAACCCTCCACAGCAACGTCATGCCACGATAACGGAGCGGCAGCCGATAATTATAGCGATAAGTGAGGGGCTAAGTGCGAAGCTGTCCCCGAAGCAAGGTCGAGATGCCATCACACCCTGAGCACGTGGATCGCGGGGTGATGCTGTGATGCCGTTCTCGTCAGTGAAGGGAGGCTTCAATGAAGCAGTATAGATGATCAAACATACTTACTCACATCTGGCACCCCCTGCGTGAGGATATCGCCAGAAATCGGAACGTCGGAAATGGTTGTGGTTCGTGGATTACATATTCATGATGGAGGCATTTGGGACATCGAAGTTTGAAACGACACGCGTATGATATCACACTTGCCTAGCTTGGATGAAGATCGGTGAAAGGGATTTTTATGGGTGATTATGGCAATGAATCGATTTATGCCAGTGGTGACACACAGTAGTACCAGCCGCGATCTCCACCCACAGATATCCATTGGCCATGGAAAATTCGGTCATTCCAGGTCGTTGTTAATCGCAGTTATGTCGAGAAAATGACTGACCATAGCACGCTAGATGTTCAAAACACGGGGGATTGTAATGTAGTGGCCTGGGGTATTTACATAACTAGGTTCAACCGACCCCGCTGAAGAGCGGGGTCAAAAATTGTCTCACGGTCCTTCACATCCAACATGCATGTGCAGGAACTTCATCAACACTTGTATTCTACAACGTACTTGAGACGGATCGTGACAATACCAGTATAAGCTGGCCTTGTCACAGGCCCTATTCTCCTCAGATTCAGAGTAGTACGGTAGCATGGCCTTGAAATGTTTTCACAAAACATGCTTCAAGCTTCTGCAACCGTACTACTACGAAGTCATTCATCTGAATTTAAAATGCTTCAAGCGCAACGCTTTGCATTGGCATCGAGCGACGCGTTCAAGTTGCACAGGTTGCACGCTTAAAATATTCGCCTATACGCACGATAACAATGCAGTAGTATCTGGTGTTGTAGAGTAAGAGGGATATCCGTGTCGCAATAATACTGCCAATGTTGCTCGTAGATCCAGACGATGACTATGATATTCAACACAGAGCGTTCAAAATCCTTGAATTGCACCATCTACATGCAAGTTGAATATACGTCTCTAGCGCTGGCGCTCGGGCCACTTTTCAAGCAAATGTGGACTATGCACTGGCAGGTATGTTGATCGTTGCGAGTTAGTTAAATAATACCGGCGAGTATTAATTTCCTCTCTGTCAACCTGATGGTAGCATATGCAGGCACCGTATCGAGGAGACGTCGACATTCCCTTAGCGTTCCCGTTTGTTGGTCACGAACTTCTTCATCCTCCAGCAGCGCTCACCGGTCGCATGGTTACGAAGAACTTGGCGGCGTTTAACTGGGAAGGACTGAGAGCGCTCTGTCGGCCCTTATGCTCAGTAGGGTTAGAGATATTAACGGTTGCCATTAAATTTCTTACGGGCTAGCAAGTTCCCCACAATACGGGATTAATGCATTAATTGAGCACTCTGGTAGCTTCTAGTAGGCGAGTCGCTTGAACGGAGGGGGAGAGATCGCTCGAATGAGAAGACGTGAAGAGGGGGGACACGGAAGTACGCGAGAACCCTTGTGCAGTTATAGTGAACAACTCCAAGGGAATGGAAATGCGACCGACATGTTTTTTGTAGAAGCATATTTTACGTCCTACTGCGAATCATCGCGCTTGACCACCTCCATTATGACCTGACCACACGGATGAAGTCACTTGTATACGGCTTCAACTGGCGTTACCTGTATGTACAAGATACAGAGTGACCACGTGAGAGGACGAATAGTGCGATATTCTAATACCTGCGGTGGGATGCGCCAGGAGCATTTTTACCTGTACAAAGCGGTGTTGCCACACAGGAGGGCCGCGAAAAGGTTGAGATACCTAATGACCCACTGGTGCCCGTTGATCCATCGTCTCGGCTGACTATGAGGCAACTGCGCTTCGCTGAAGGTGACAACAGCACACGATGTAAAATCCCCGCAGCAGCACCCTGCTCGTAAGACATGGCATGAGGCTGAAGGCGAAGACGCGATGGACAAATACCGATCACTTGGGGGTATAGGGGTTGCAAGGCAAGGCGTGCCTAATCCAAGGTGGAGCCATAATCTTGGGCTCGGACGCAAACTCGCAGAGCCACAAGAGCTCAAATGATGTTGATGATAGACGGCCAGATCCTGCCAGTACTGATTGAGATTGCATAGCAACAGACGACAAAAAAGGGTCCACTTACGCCAGAAGCCCTACTAGGCTCTGGATCACAGCCCATACGAACGGGACCCAGCTTGATGAATTTGATCAGTATGTGCATACTGCGGGCGCAGAGACAACAAACGCACGTGGACATGTAAAAGCCGCCTGCCTTGTATACACCTGCAAGTACGAAGCCGACTACAGCTGCTCCCATGACAGCACCAGTGAGACTAAGGAACAGAAACGCAAGAATAACGAGGAGGGCGAAAGTGAGTCGAGAACGGCGAACGTTAGGTCGTGGACGCTTGATCCATTGTTCGGTTTGGTTGGAACCGGGGGAGAAGGGAATGCGGGGAGACGTTTCAAGCGGGAATGTCGCTATTGATCGACGCGGAGGCGGAAATGCAAAATTGAGGAAGGCATAGATGCCACAGATGACATAGAAAGGAATGTGAAAAATAAGAGTCCAGTAAAGAGTGAAGCGAAAGATGTCTGGAGTTTTCTAAGCTTTCTGCAGTAAGAGGGAACAGAAAATGTCCTACCATCTGGATTGACGAGATAAGAGCCACCTGGCTGCACGGGTTGCAGGGGACCACGGCTGACGGAGAGCTCGATGGCTGGATTGTAGAGAGAGGGCCAGCTCACGGCGGTGACATTGAGTTCCATGGCCATGATGGACTGTTCAAGTAAAAGCACATCAAGAAAGATTGAACGTGAGTCTGCTGGCTGAGCCAACCTCGAGCTCATAGTAAAGGTGTCGTGCTTGTTTAGGAATGTCCGTAAACACTAGTAAACACGGCGACTACTGTGGCAAGGCTTCCAACGAACTCCCAGTCACTAGTGTCTCATTGAAATCCATGTTCTAGCCCGATGCTTCTAGTTCAAGAATGTCCACTCCCGGTGCTCCAGTGCTGCTGCTCCCGTGAGGATCGCCGGTGTTATTTGTGTGTCCTCATTTGCATGCATACACCCGTTACAGTCAGCGCTCAAATGAACTACCTACGAAAGAACCCTTAACAAAGATGTTAAACCCATTTAAAGACTACGGCAGACCCCGCTCTCTTCGTCCTGCACACTCACCTATTCTCAGTGCGGAGGATAGTGAGCGCCTCGGCCCTCAACGGAGAAGACCCTGATGTGCTACAGGATCGATGGAGGTCTGCCTAGCTTGTTCGCATGGAGCAAGATGAGGGGGACATTGCAATGTCCTCAGAACGTCCACTCCATTAGACCTTAATGGTGTAGGTGCGGCACTGACACTGTGTTGGTATTACGTAATACACCTGCGAGAAGTTCTAGACCAGGTGAAGACTTGACTTGCTCATCATCCACACTTATTTTGCTTGCCATACTTAGCCGTTTGTCTGGTTTGTACAGAGGCCTTGAAAGTCAAGTAAAAGTATACTATCCCCGGTCGCCAACCCGTTTCCTGAAGAACCACTGACTCTATCCGGGGAATGGAGGGGTTCGATTCTTTCCGGCTAGCCTTGGGATGTAACTCGACAATTTTCGCTATAAGATTTTGAGAAAGTTGGAGAGAGAGCAGCTTTGTTGACTTCAGATTCGTAAGTCCGATTATCCACACAGGTATCACTGAACGCTCAATGTTTACATCCATTCCCTCAGAGCGGAGGGATACTGTGCCATCAAAATTCTGACTGTTCATGCTACCCAAGGTCATCACGATGGCCACCTGCTCGAGTTGGAGACCATGCCAGCTATCGCAGAATCGACTAAGACATCCCTTCTGCCTCGCCTCCGTGATGACAAATGGACTTCATGGTCAACGTTTCTGCTTGGTTCTTCCTGTTCTCAGTATAAGTCTGAATAGCTTTAGGTGTTCGGCGCCCTCAAAATTACTCGACCTGCAAAAAGTCAACATTATCGTTGCTCAAGTTGTGGGAGCCTTGGCTCCGCTGCATGCCGCAAATATCATACACACATATAGGCACAGGACGCAACATATTTATGTCATTTCTACTGAAATGGAACTCAAGCCTGACAATGTGCTATTTGACGAAGGAAATGCCACACAGACCATTCAGGAGCTTCTTGTCCGAAGTCTTCAGATTGTCGACAGTAAATTTGAATTGAAAGGTGTAATCATGCGGCCGCAGCCTATTCCTTATCCTTTTCGGTAGAACGACCCCGGCATCACTGTAGGAACCACTGGCTTACATATAATATCCTGCAGCACAATGGACCAATAGAAAACCTCCGACGAGAACAATTAGTGCATATGCTTTGCGTGCTCCAGAAGTTATCCTTGGCGCTAACTATCATACCAAAGATGATATATGTGCGCCCGGCCGTATGGTATGTTCGAATTCCTGTTTGTATAGGTGTCATATCATGTATCCAATGCGCTTCTCACTGGACGCTGGCTGTTCAACCCTCAAGGAGGCCAGACTTGGTGTATCGAAGATCTGGCCAAGATAGCGGAGCTGATGGGGAAGGATTCCTCTGAGAAGATCCTTGCGAGGTCCCGCAAGCGTGATGAATACTTTGACGAGAGCGGTCGGTGCACCTCTCCTCGTGGCGTCCACTTCATTTCTGTTGAACATAGTTTGCTCATATCCGTATCAGGGAAATTACTGCGTATCGACCAACTATTCCCGATGACTCTTGAGAGCGCAATGATGAAGTATGGTCTGACGGAAGCTGCAGCGTTCAACCACGCGTGTTTGTACTTTCCAGATGAACGATCTTCAGCCAGTGATTTGCTTGGACATCCATGGCTGGAGTCTACATATACGTGCTGTTAGTTTATCTTTTCTGCGTTTCAGTATCACGCCGCTGAGTATCTTGAACAGCGATAGAGAACGTGCAGAACTGGCTATTTGATCCTGTAAGTAAGTGAAAGAATCGGAGTCTTCACGTCAAGGACACTACGATGGCTCCAGTCTCGTATTGAAAATAGCCCAACAATGTCGGACTGTTCAAAGGAGGAAGTGTGTGGCTTCATTGAGCAGTCCGACGTTACTGTTGTTCGCGAAGAATGCCAGCGGAGTTCACTTCGCCATTATTAATGAACTTCGACCGTGTCCATGCGACAGGTAAGAGAAAATTCCGATGTCATTGACGCGGTCAGTGACCCGAGATGAGTCAAAGGCGTGATCCGGTGGTCACTAAATGGTGTGAAAAGGAGCACTTTGCTCCAATTGAACTAATTAAATAGCAGACCTCGTAACGTCTTGAATCTCAACACAATTCAGGACCCGCGTGAGGAAAGATATTGAATCAACACTTACATTTATTTATCACTTATCGCAAGTGATTAATAATTATTAGTAGGTGCACAAATTATGGTTTCGAGTTATGAATGACTGCTGTGCGTCTCGAGCGGGGAATGAGGAAAGCACAACTTCCTTTCGACGAGAGATCACTGGGAGAGCATGCAACAGCGCGTAAGGAAATCTGAGAGAAATCGTAGCGCCCCGGCATCATCCTGAAGGAGGTGCCTTGATATCAGGCGGTGTATCCACCGTGCTGAAATGGATCCCTGGGCCTGGGGGATGGAAATGAAGTGCTCTCGTATGCTGCAAAGGGATCTTACCATATACAAAGCAGCCATGATATAAAGATGCTACAGTCTGCAGATTTGCATGCATGCGTTTTATGTCGACTCTGATGTGAAGGGTACTGCGCCGAACTAAGCGTTATAGATATCTTGTCCAAGTGAGCCGGTATACGGTCCGATACGAAAACAAAAGTAATACAGATACTGTCAAGGTGTAAACGAAACCTACCTGAGAATCTCCATGTTTCAACTGCATGAGTAATCGCGCTGCGAATACAGTGTCTCCATCGTAAGCATAGAGCGCACTTGGTTCTTACTAGAGGGCTAAGCAAAGTCCGGTTGAGGATTAAGATTCTTAGGTTGGGCGGCATTATTGGAGACTTACCAGTAAACCAAGTATTTAAACGGGCCTTCGTATCCTCATCACTCTTATCCATGGTGGATTGGAAAGATTCTACAGCTGCTCCAATCCTGCCCGCCCGAAAGAGCGCATGGCACAGTTGCTGGTTCGCGCTCTGCCACAAGGACTCAAGGTCCCAACCAAAGAGCTGCAAAAACACGCAGATGAGCACACTATTCGGTTACATCACATCGACGTACCATGACAAATTCCTCGTATGTAGAATGAATTGCCGATTTATAAAAGAAAGCACTGGCATTGACAGCGGCAGTGAAGTGGTCAACAGCTTCGTTGTGACGCTCGTTATCCAAGGCTATTTGTCCTAGTTGGACGCGTAGATAGGCCTGATGTGCGAAAAGCAGAAAGATCAGTGCCAGCACACTACCTGAGCCTCATCAAATGAGCAATGCTCACTTCCACGACACGACAAGCAAGAGGATCGACATTGGGAGAGGCAGCTAGCTCTTCGACACGCAGCATCGCCTCTTCATGTTCACCCGCGTTGAACAACGCGATGGTCTGAAAATCGCAATGAAGCACGTAATACTATGTAATTTTTTTTACCTGCCTTGATCAAGAAAGGGAAATGAGTGGTCTTTAAATCTCCGTTGGTAAATGCCGACGCGAGATCAAATGCTGTCCTCGCGGCCCGAACCTGCCTTTTTCCGCACAGGGCAATGCCCTTGGAGATATTGCCTGCAAACGAGGGCTGAATTCTGACGGACTATGCCACCATAAAAGTTAGCTTTCATAAGGGGGTCATCGAACGTCAGGCTATATCACCTTAATTGCATCATGGAGGGCGCGGTCCCAGTCGGATTTTCGTGCCAGAACAAATGCGCGGTTGGCATAGGAGGTGTAATTGTTGGCATCAGCGTCAATTTCTTGATTTAGTACTATTTTAGCGGTGCGCAAATCCCCAGCTATGCACGCATTTCGGGCGTCCGAGTTTACAGCGAGGACCTGCGTCAAGCCTATTCGCATTGCATTACAAGAGACAAAGGTGGGGACATGCCTTGAAATCAGAGTATGCTTGAGCCTTGGCATCAAGAAAGAGGTTTAAAGGACGAAGGGGCACGAAAATGAAGCTAAATTACCTGGTGCATCGCCTGCTCCTTAGGATCATCATTTGAACCATCCTTGGGAACATTCTTTGGATGATCCTCTGGCAAAGCGTCCTCAGATACTGGCCACTCTAAGATTATCTTATCCTGATCTCCGCTGAGGACGCGCCTGTCATCGGCGGAGAAGGCGACGCACTGTACCTCGCTAGGGTGCTTGAATACGACGATGGTTCGTCGATCTGAGACCCGCCAGAGGCGGACGCGGTTATCATCAGATGCGGAGGCAAGGAGGGTGCCATTAGAGTTCAGGGAAATGGCCTGGATATTATTAAAATGGCCCTTCCAGGGACCACCGACCTGCTTCCAGGTCGATGTATCCCACTCCCGTATGGTCGGATCTGTGACACCGCCCGCTGACAGAAGTCGTGTACCATCAGGCATCCAGGCGAGCGAGTTATTGTATGATCCATTGATTGCAGTGTGTCCCTTGAAGTTTGCTACGCATTCCCTCGTGCCCGGAATATAGATTTGGATATTATTGTGTGTTGCAATTGCAAGAAGTTCGCCAGACGGCGAAAAACGAATGTAGCGGATATTCGCCTTGTGACAAGTGATTGGATTTCCTAGCAACTCCCAGGTTTTTGTGCACCACAGCTTAATCGTTCCGTCTCCTGAACCGGTCGCCAATAGTGAGCCATCGGGAGAAAAGGCCAGCGAGGGGATCCCACTGGAGTGGGCTTTGATGGCTTGGGTGAGAGATTCCCCGATGTTTAAATCCCAGGCGATGAGCGTCCCTAGTTCATCACCACTTGCTATCAATTGCCCATCTCGCGATACCGCCAATGCAGTCACGGAGTTCCACTGATGCCCCTCCAATCTTTTCAACAAGACGCCTTCCTTCCATCAGGAAATCATGAGTTTACTTTTTCGACTTTTTTCAGCTTTTTCTTACTTCAACCACACCTGTGTGTCACCATAAACCGTTACTAATTAGTAAGAGTGATGTGATAGCATGTTCCTCACTAAGTAGGGGCGTTTACCTATACTGCAGCGCTTCAGCACGTTCCGCAGCAATCAGCAGTGACTTTGCTAGGAAAACAAACCTCGGGTATACCGGTATATTATATAAGGTTATAATTAGGCTGCAAGACTATATTTAGGTTTCCCATGGTATTATTATATCCGCTTACTCTTGCCGACACTTCTCTGGCCTTTCCCACATCCTCCACACAGCCGTGCTCACTGTCATGCACGACGAGCACCACTGCAGCCTTCAAACCTCATCGTTTTCGAGCGCCCTTTTTGCGCTTATGATACCATGGCCTATCCTATACCATCTGGCGGTTTGGGACCCCTTTCAACATTGGCATTCGCTTGCTCATCAAGAACACATGTTCATCACCACTACCTTTTGCACTGTACACGAGCCTGGACGCCTGTTGCTGAGCGCTGAGCTCCCTTCAACATGTAGGCCACATGGCAGCAGCCTTGGTGGGCTGCTCGCATAAGCGAGATGTTTGCTCACGCCCTTTTTCAGGTCCATACTTAACATTCAACATCCACCATGCCCCCAAAGCGCCCTTCGAAGATGTCTACATCTTCACGGGTGAAGATGACTGTTCTCAATGGCGCATCTCACTCACTACATACTATGACAACTTCGTTGATGCAAATACGGCGTGAATGACTACAGGACGAGCGTAGACGAGCTGAATCAACACAAGGTATGTGCTATGATAATTTGCCCATCCCCCTCAGCAACCGCCCCCCAGAAAATAGTCGCATCCGTTCTCTTATGGCGGAAGCCCAACTAGAGGCTGGAGAACACTACTGCGACACGATGTCGCATGATGATGCTGCACCTGAATATGACGACAATGATAACGACAACGACGGGATAGATATTCGTGAGGGTAAGCAGTTGGAGGACAGTGAGCTGTTTTCAGATTTCTTCCAGAGCTGTGGCCCGCAGCGGTCAATATTTCTGTTCCTTGCTTGTTGCTTTGCTGATTTATTTTGCAGCGGTGTCACCAGTCATAAACGCCAAGACCATCGTACACGATCCGAACGATATCGTCATGCACACGCTGCATGGACGCAGCAGATGACGGCCCTTGTTCATGCTTATATGTCATGGAAACATCGGTCACGTCCAGAACACGCCACAGATAATCAACCTCAAGCACTCGATGAGCATATCTTTGGTGTGTCTGTCATTGGGCTCTGGGGTAAGCTTTTAGTTTATGCTCTTGATTGTTATCACAAGCGTTCTAGCAGATTTTAGACCTAACGTGAATGTTGCCCAACGGCCCGACGAACCTGCCAACTCAGCGCTGCTGCGCATGGGCTTACTCGGCTGCTCGCCAGTGCAACCAACAGTCGCTATTGATCTCACATGCCTAGAACTTTATCATCAGATTCGCCGTCGTCAATCGTCATTTAGCATGCAATCGATTACGAAAGTTCTCTGCGCGCTTCACAATGTAAGTCTTTTTATGTATCAAATAATGTGTTACTGAACCGATGTTTAGGTAACATATTCGCAGTACTTACGCAATCAATTTTTGATTGCGTTTGACATCTACCTCGAAATTCAACGACTCATTCAACTACAGGTCGACCGTGCACTTGGCAGAGACCACGCTGACTGGCATATGTCAGGCGCTTGTCCATGTTGTGCCTTTGAGGTGAGTATTGAGATTTGAATAAATTACTGATTTAATATTGTGTTTTCAGCAACCGAACAAGCCACCACTTAATCCCCGAAGACTTCACAGCATGGACGGCAATCATTCCGCCAAACGTCTGGATGGTTCTGGCTCAGCAGATGAGCGCATCTTCAACAGCAAATATTTCATCCCCACGATTGCGGTGGAACTTTTCAGAGATGATGTTCGCAATCGGCCTGGTGAACATCATAGTGGTGAGACTGCTAATTGCACAGAAAATTGGACAGCTGCCAAGTCTGTGGAGGAGAACAAAATTTTCGTCTTCGAGCAAACTGGCATCTTTATCTTGGCGTGTCGCCATGGCTTTGTAGAATGCGTTGTTGAGATGAAACGAAGTGGAGAGCTGTGAGTCATTCTCCGTTCTACTCATCTGATGCTGACATGATCTTGTTAGTGCCAAGTATGGACTCGCCGTGACCAATCGATTACTTGACATCTGCGGGAATGACCAAGCTCTGGGCCATGACATTGGCTGTTCATCGCGCAAGACCATCGCAGCGAGTTCTATTGGGGCGAGAGCCAAGGCACTAAATCTTATTGTTGCAGTGAACAGTTTTCATGGATATGCTCATAACCGCCGCTGCCAGCTGCAAAATCATCCCTTGTACCTCGAAGGTTTCGGCAATGAGGATCTAGAAACCTGTGAACGTATCTTCTCAAGTTCTAATAGTGCTGCAGTTCTCATCCGCCACGCGTCCCATTTTCATTGGACGCAATTTCTGGATCTTCACTTTGACCAATGGGATCGCGACAAGTATCTCGAATTAAGTAAGATTAAACATTGTTGATCAAACTACGATCTTGTTCGTTAACGTGACTAAAGGTCGCTTCTTATGCAATAATTATGTCCAGGCGCTCAAAATCATCGAAGATTATATGCCCTTGCTTGAGGAGTTCAAGTCCCGGAAATCGCTTGCTGACCGAGACTTCATCCAGTGGCATCAAGAAGAAGTCGAGTTTCTTAGCAACTTAGCTATTGAACCACCATCCGATGTCCTTGCAGTGGCATACATTGAGGAGCTTGAAAAGCTTCGGCTCGCTGAGTTTGTAGTTGGCGCTAGCATTTTTTTTTTCACTTACCCTCGATATTGAGGTCAGCGTATGGCAGCATGACATCGGTGCCTTTCCTCACGTATACACCCACCAGCTTTACGCAAACTTCAGGTTTGAACGCCAGTGCTCGGCGGCAGTCAAGAACAGTCGAAGCAGAACGCGCATCAGTGCTGCGCAGATATGAGTTGCAAATGAACGTTGTGGATGATTTTGAGCGGCGGAATGGCATCAATGAATGTTGGACAATAGCGCACCCTGAATACACTCAGGCACTGAAGTATTCTCACGAGCGCCGCTTCATTCGGACTGTGGAGGAATTAGAGGGCCTAGTCGTCCAACGCTTATTTGAGTTTTCAAAGGCCAACCTCGTAGGCACAGGTTTGTCTCGCAATTATCTGTGTGGTCTCATGCTCATTACTGCGAGGAGGTTACAAAATGCGGAAACATATTTCCAAAGCCATCGCACGTCGATCTGCCGCTATTCGCTCAGCGCTCGAGAAGTACAACAAGTTAGCCCCTCTTCAAACACCACCTCGGCCCGTCCTCGATTATTCCGAAGTTGTGGGGTATGCTACCCTTGGGGAGTTCTCGCTTCTCAAATATTCTCGCCATGACCTCCTTTCCAAGCCATGGGCCATCCCTGACAATCGGGAAATGGCAGCTAGATATTTCAAGGTGGTGAGGTCGCATGAGGAGATTACCCGCTTAAATGTCGAAATACGTCGCCTCGACGCTTGGGTCGAGTATGATGACGCGAAGATGCTAGAAGTCATTGAGACGTTAACGGTTGAGGAAGCTGACTCCCTTCTTGCTGCAGAGTTCAGACAACAGTACAATGAACGGCACCGCATCAACAATATTCACCGCCATCGTTTGAACAAGATTCGTTACCTCAAGGGCTACAGTGGCCCGGCTGCAGCACTGTTGCATGGTTCTGTGGAGATGGAGAACTTGGATGACGAAAGGGAACCAGTTGGTCTCGGGGAGAATGACGAGTTGAACGACGAAGCTTTCCGTCTTGAAGATGCCATTTCTCACCTTTAGGTTGTAATGTAGCGTTGTATTCATTATCGTGACCTTATGCCCAAAAATAATTGCAGCAGTGCACTGAAGCACAAATTCAACTACTACTACCCCTTGAATCTCTAAGTACTTGTCTTGAAGAAATGGGGTGCAATGAGCATAAATCACAATGCAGTGGTGCGCTGAAACACGAATTCAACTACTTCTACTACCCTTTGATCCGTGGATAGGCTGTTGAAGCATGAATTCAATGACTTCTACCCCTTCGCGAAGGGGTAGAAGTCCCAAGTTGAATTCATGCTTCAACAGCCTATCCACGGATCAAAGGGTAGTAGAAGTAGTTGAATTCGTGTTTCAGCGCACCACTACATATATGCTTGCCATCGATCATTCTGCAAATTTGAGAGAATGAAACAAAGTATTACTATTACATGAAATGCATCTTTTTGGCCAGGTTTGCATGCTTATCCTTATCCTCGAAGTTCTTCCTCCAGCGGTCGAGGTCAAAATTGTCATCTTTGCTAGAGATGGTGGCCTCCAGCAAAGATTTGGTCCAGATTAGTATACTACAACAATTTGGCAATGCAGAGGAATTCATTAACTGTTCGATGGCATTTTGATAGGAGACTGGAAACGATTACATACTAGTATACTCGCTTCAAGTTCAACATGTGCGAGCCTCAAGGCTTCCTCAAGTCACTTTGCTCCAGCGCTGATCACACTACTGTAAGTTACCAACAACCATGACTCCTGCGGACCGTCTGGAATATCTTGATCTGCATGGTCAGACAGTGAGTATATGTATTCTTTAAGTTTGGAGTTGTTCTCATCATGTTATGAACAGAAACACTATTTTGAGATCAAGCTCACCGCCGAATTCATTTTCGAAAAGCGTCCTAACATGTTCTGCTGGTATCCCACTACCAAGACTGCCGTCCTTGCATCTGAGCCCATCGAGTGCCAGATTGAGAAGACTATGCTTGAGAAGATCCACACGGACTTTTCTAGTTCAATCGCACATCAAGTCTGTCGCCATTGGTTCGACTGGAGCCCTGTAGAGCTTCCTCCGAAGCTGCTTCAAAGTAAGTGTTTCTTCATTTTGCATTGCGGCATCCACTGAGAAATTTGATTGCCTCAGGGCTAGTTGCATTACAACAGGAAGAGCTTGAATCCAAGCGCCGAACTCAAGACATGGGCACCTCATCTTACATTTTCCCCAATCCTTTGAGCTCTCCTGCGATCCCTACTGCCAGCATACACGGATTTTCGATTGCCGATCCTCGATCCTCAGCCATTAGTACACAGCCGGATGACAACTGGAGATATTCTCTTAGTATAGATTCCTCGCATTCATCGGGACACTTTTCGTCAAAATCTGATCGTTCATCGCTACACTCGCTCTCTGACGAAGACACCGACGAGCTTTCAAAAACTGCTGAGCTTTTAGCAGAAGGTATCACCATTCGCACCAATCGACAACTTATCACACAGCCATCATCTGCGCATCCTCTGAAGACTCATAGACAACATGCGGTCCCTCTTGCACGGCCACAGACTCCAACAAAGACTGATAGACAAGGTCCAGCACCCAGTATCACAGGGCCACAGACACCAAGAAAGAGCCGAACTACACGGGTGCAGACACCAATGTCTACATGCCCTTCGCAGCCTCTGCCATTTGTTATTGCACTACCTCCAAGCCCTCCTCCATTCAAGCACACGGTCTCATCGCCCTCAGCATTGCACACTGTAGTGTCACCCTCTGCAGCACCTATCATTCGAAACCCTCCTCCAAGCCCTCCTCCGTTCACAATCGCACCTTGCTCTCCTTGCTTGAAACACATGGTCACATCACCCTCATCAGTGGCGTGTGATGTTGCGTCGCCCGTCAAATCAAACACGCATCAGCTTTACGTGAGTAGATCACAAACCAATTTGGCTTCATGGGACTGACGTGTACTTAGGACAAGACCGGAGGAGTTAGCACGGCATCGCGCCAAAGGTCAAGGGTCGAAAATGGGCCACAGAATCCAGTCCAGACCTCAACATCAATTCGAGGGACTCCCTCTGCAGTACCTATCATTCAAAACCCTCCTCCAAGCCCTCCTCCGTTCACAATCGCACCTTGCTCTCCTCGCTTGAAACACACGGTCTCATCACCCTCATCAGTGGCACGTGCTGTTGCGTCGCTCGTCAAATCAAACACGCATCAGCTTTACATGAGTAGATCACAAACTAATTTGGCTTTGTGGGACTGACATGTACTTAGGACAAAACCGAAGGAGTTAGCACAGCATCGCGCCAAAGGTCAAGGGTCAAAAATGGGCCGCAGAATCCGGTACAGATCTCAACGTCAATGCAAGGGACTGAACAAGGTAATATATCGATCACAAATCACATTTACCTGATGTCGGATTCGCGTTTGACTGGGCATCCAAATGATGCGGCCTCCGAGCATGTTTCCATGGAAATTAGCGCTTACCTTCATGACCTTTTGCTTCACGCTATAACAATGGATGAGATTTGGAGGTGCATCAACCAGGTTGATGGGTATGGTCCCTTGACCTGGCAAGCAGTTCTTGTGAAGCTGGGAATACCTGAGGAACGGATGAAATATATTCTTGCTATCATGGCATGTGCAAGTAATGATCATTGTCAGACTTGTGAGTTTAATTTGGCACTTCAGTGTGCGCTGGCTAATTTAAATTTCTGTTCTAGCTAAATAGTATTGTTCGTTTACCTTTGTTCGTTTACCTTAGCAATGCATTTTTTGCTCTAACCCTGTTTGACTTCGGCAATTCCAAGCTGACGCACATGGAGCACTAGGTTTGATTTGTTCCCCCCACCACTGGGGCACTAGGTTTGATTTGTTTCCCCACCACTTGCACCATGGCTCGTGCTCCGAAACCTCACCGAACTCGAGCAAAGTTGACAGCCGCTCAGAAAACAGAATGGCGGAATAAATTGGACGCTTTGACAGGTGCCATCGACAATGCCAAGGAAGCCTATGCGCAGGAGGCTGTCGACATTGCACAAGTACATGGTCGGTAAGTTTTGTTTCAACGACCCGCTGTTCTTGTGGCTGCTCGACTCACTCATGTTGTCCAGTTCCCTCAAGTGGACTCGTAGCCAATTATTCCTCAGGAGTCGCATGTCACAACAGCGCCGAGGTGTTAACTCGTGGAACGGCTTCATCAAGGCAAAACTTAGGGAAGAAAATGAAGGTGAAATTCAGTCTATATTTTCTGAGCTTCATACTGACAATGATTTTTTTTAATCGAGATCGTGAACGGGGCGATCGCATTAAGCTTACCCAATTCATCGCTGAGAATAAGGATGAACTCCTTGAAGCATATTCATGCCTCACATTTGCTCAAAAGCGTGCTTACAATGCAGAGGTTCTTCAAGCTCGGACAGAAAAGAGTCATGTCGCCCGAGCAAATCCAAAGGCAAAACGTCACGACATCAATGCAACATTCACAACGATGGATCGTGAGGTAAGTCCGGGTCTCGTATTATAATGTTTGCTGACAGACATATATTTGATTCTAGTGGATGGCCCTCTGTGCTCGAACCGGCACGGAGGGCTTTTATGTTGGAGTGCGCGGGAACATCGAAGATCTCTCCGAACCCAAAATATTTTTCACCCCAAAAGCCGAGAAATTTGTCAAAGAGGTCCTTCACGTTGAACCACGACACTTGGGTCTCAAATTGGAGGCTTTTGTGGTTACTGGCCTTGGTAAGATTCTAAACCTTTCGATAGCGAGGATTATATTGATTTTTGGGTAGACGAGAACACGATAATTATGCGTCAACGCCCATTGAACAAGCTCATCAGCGATTGTCGCACAATCATTCAAGAAGAGCTTGGTAAGTTTTAATCCCTCAATGCTGATGAACTACTGATCATCAAGTCATAGAATCTATTGCACTTGAGAAGAACATCAAGAAGGCTGTCAAAATGAACTATGTCAACTACGAGCGCAACATAGTCGAGCACTGCAGTGTTGCTCTCGTGGGCTGGCCACTGCCCGGACCTGTTTGCAACCCAAGCAAAGCTGGCGGAAGGGTCGAGGTTCAGAAATTGCTTGACGCTCTACAGAGAGAACCTCACCACAGGGAATCGTGCCATTGGGTTGTGCTCACGGACGAAGAATTGGTTCAACGAATGACGGAAAATCGGGCACGCCACTCACGTGGAGAAGAGGTATATGTTGCACAGAAGAGGAGGAAGGTTACGGGCCCAGTGCACAAGAGCAACGCCACCATCGACACTGATACCGAAGACTCGTCAGATGACACCTCCACCAGCGATGAGTAGTTAGTTTTACGATCAGTTTATGCATATCTTCTGCTGCGTGCAATATACTGCCGAAGTTTTCACCCTCCGAACTTTTCAGTCAATGCACTAAGTAACGAATCACAACCGCCATGACATGTGAAGCTAGGGCGAGTTATTGATTGTCATGCTATGCACAGACCACTAAGACCAACGAGCTCGGTGTCATCAAATAATATCACATTAATATACAACATAAACTCCTTATACATGTATGGTTCTAGTGTTTCTGGCGGTCTAAAGCAGGCAGGTGGTGTGGGATAGGCCATGGTATCATAAGCGCAAAAAGGGCGCTCGAAAACGATGAGGTTTGAAGGCTGCAGTGGTGCTCGTCGTGCATGACAGTGAGCACGGCTGTGTGGAGGATGTGGGAAAGGCCAGAGAAGTGTCGGCAAGAGTAAGCGGATATAATAATACCATGGGAAACCTAAATATAGTCTTGCAGCCTAATTATAACCTTATATAATATACCGGTATACCCGAGGTTTGTTTTCCTAGCAAAGTCACTGCTGATTGCTGCGGAACGTGCTGAAGCGCTGCAGTATAGGTAAACGCCCCCTACTTAGTGAGGAACTGTCACGAATTCCAAATACAAACCATTATTCTTTCCTAAACACTCGTAAGACACCCATTAAGCGCCCGTCACAAGCGCCTGTTGTTAGCGCTCAGTCAGTGTCTGTACCTATAACCTTCACAAACCCTAACCCGAACTTCTCTATTCCATTAGCGCCTACTACTTCTATCTCCGATATCCCTGATTTCGACTTCCTTACTCAAGCGATCAAGTCACGTGACTCTAGAACCTTCGAGAACCCTTGCACAGCTGTTACACGTTTCATGACATCATAGTGTAGTTATATTTAAATCATCGTACGATTCTCTTGTCTATTTAATGATTGGCTAGTTAGTTTAGATTCAGATTCAGTCTCCGTTTCAATATATGTATATAGGTAGCTCGTTGTAGTCAGTAGTTCTTTAGTTCAAACCTCTTTTGTATTAGCTTACTGCTAGCAATCCTAAGACGTACCTGCTATCCTTTATCTTCTTGTCGTGATACCTTTGTTTGAGTCCTAGTCTCTGCCCCTGCATTAATTCGTTATAAGGGTTGTGACAGGAACATGCTATCACATCACTCTTACTAATTAGTAACGGTGATGGTGACACACAGGTGTTCAACCACACTTATATTAGTAGCAGGGACTGAAATAAGTAGAAAAGGAGAAATGCACTCGAAAAGTTGGCACTAAACAAAAAAAGTTGACACTGCTCGAAAAGCATGTATTACACAAAAAGTCGTAGTAATTCTACGGATTTGCAGGTACTATACTCTCGGATAATTTGAACATGCAAACATGCACCGGAGCTGGTGACCCACATTCAATGAGCGACCTGAGCATGGTCACAATATCAAGGGCTCCAGCAGCATCATGCCATCATCATCCACATCCAACCTCGTCCCATCAGCTCTGAATGTCCATGACTAACCCGCACACCAGTGTCACCATTCCTTCCTAGTACTCCTTCAAGTCCAGGTGGCATCGACGCGCTCGCATGCACGTGAATGATGTCCTGGATATTAGTACAGGTAGCAAGATATAGCACTGGCAGACAGTGGGAGCAAGGGCCAGAGACAGAAAAGTTGCACACTTTGCAAGTAGAATTAACTGAAGGATAGGACAGATTACTCGAGTTATGTGTGAAGGTCTTGAGTCAACGACGTGCAAGACAAATGATTAAACATTACAGGCGTTCTGCTGAGCCTGAATTGGTATCGGAGTTTGCCGATCACTGTAACAATTTTCTCTAAGTTCGAATCTTTTACTCTCTACTCTTAACTAGTCGGATGTCTGTTAAATCTACTCCCAAGTCTCACGTTCGGCTCGGACTCCTCCACTGCTTCCTTCCAAGGTCGCAGCCTTGACCAGAAGACTGACCTGACGACACGAACGCACTAGCCCAGAAAAAACTGTGGAGAACCTGATTGTGGACCATGAATTCAAACGAGGGTGAACACTAACCCCGAGTGATGGACCACAAAATCGAACAAGGCGAACGCTAACCCCAAGTGATGGACCACGAACTCGAACAATGTGAACGTTAACCCCGAGAATTCATTCGATGGACCGTAAACTCGAATGACGTGAACACTGGCCCCGTCGCAAACTCGACCACGACAATTTGATGGACCTCATCACAGCTCCCTTGATTTTTAAATGAACGCAGTCCCCATGTTCATGAGTTGCTGGCATATAGTTATAAATCTTCCCGCTGGTCTACGCCCTCATGCTTGTCTTCTTTTTCTACACTTCATCTACTTTTTTTTGTTGGTGTAGTAAACTTTTTTGATGCAATCCTACTTTGTTTTCTGCGTAAAAAAAGTGTGAAACAGTTGGGAATACAGTGGCCTCAAAAAACCGTCCGTATGTTTTGGCATTTTTCACTATCTATAATATTGTGTGAGAACAAACAAATGCCTCAAAAACATGCTTATACCACATTGTAGTATGGCTTCAGGGCTTTCATTTGAGCCCTACACCGTGGGAATCGGCGGAGATATGGTGGAGATACAAGGCTCACAAAATGGTGACTCATGCGGACAGTTTTTTGACTCAAGTATTTTACAGTAATAACCAGGTATTCTAGTATTTTGTATGACCTCCCTTGGCTTTAATTACTGCCTCTATCCTTCTAGGCATACTCTCAATTAATTTCTGGCAATCCTCAGCTGTGATCTTCCCCCATTCCACTGCTACTCTCTCCCAAAGCTCCCATACTCCTTAGGGGGGTTTTCATAGGCTTGAAGCTTTTTCTTGAGTGTTCCCCAGAGATGTTCAATGACATTGACATCAGGAGACTGTGCTGGCCAGTCAAGAACATTGATGTTATGTTCTTCAAACCATTCCCTAGCTCTTCTGGATGTGTGCTTGGGATCATTATCCTGTTGTAAAATGATATCTTCTTCATCAA